TGCATGTTTCGTCTGACATGTTTGAAGATATCTAAACCTGAAACAGGGTGCTGGTAGCTATGGAGATATAGTTTCTTTTCTTAACGGCATAAAGTACGTCAAAAGGCGATTGTTTCAACACATGATACCCTTTTTCGCCCCATTACAAATGTCCAAGCCCATAATACCCAGTTCCTCGTGTTTTGTGCTACCGGCTGGTCTATCCAACGTGTCGGGCTGGTATATACCGAGTCCATGATCTAGAAGTCCGAGTACACGCGAGTCTATCTGTCTGGCCAATGGTTTATTTTTTTCTATTATTTTTTTATGTATCATTTTTCTTCAAGAGAAATTGATTTATTTCATGTTGTACATCCGCAGATTGCATCATCCTATCCTCTTGCGGATGATTCGAAGTCTGTGTATCTACTCCGTTGTATTAAACATACATATTCAGTACAGAGTACTCTCGCGAGTACGATCTATATTGTATATGGATAGGTTAAATGTTTAAAGGTAAATTTAATATGTAGATCATTCGACAGAAGTATAACCCGGATCTTGGACCGCAGCAATCAGTGGATTGCCTCCCAGTGTGTCGGATAGGAATACAGAGATTTAAGCTAAATAGTAAACAAATACCTTTATCCCGGTACTTACGGAGTACAACATATTAAATGATAATTGCTTTTCTCCCCCTTGAGACCTGAGCAATCAGAAACCCGAGGAAAAGGAAACTGACGTATGTAGGTGGCCGTCAGGGTGCAGATCCAATGCTCCACTATTTGAATTGATTTATAGCTACCATCTAAGGTAGTTTCATGTATGTTGTGGAAATGCAATAATCAGATGACTCTATTCTTCTATACTAAGTATTATTATTATATCCTATTATTATCTTAACATATCAGCCTCATGCATCTCCGCGAGGTTCCAACAGCTGCCCGGCTAATCTCCCCGGAATGTAAATAGCATCCCCTTTTTTTTATTTCCCAACTATTTTGTTTAGTTGCATTTAGTTGCGTTTAGTTATACTTTGACTTTTGCTTTTGCTTTTTTTTCTTTTCTTTTTTCTTTCCCTTTCTACATTCTACGCAAAGGGGAGAATATTTTGTCTCATGTTTGCTCTCCTTCATTATCAGCCCCAGGCAACATAGAGTGTTACACACTAGAACAAGAGAGTGAGAGTGTTAGAATAAAAGAAAAGAAAAGAAAATATATACCACCTGACCTCGAGAGCTGAATTAAATAGATTAAATTAAAAATAAAGACCAAAATACTCCATAATAGTTAAAAAACAATCTATTAAATCCAAAATGTCAAATCCCTCGGGGCCAAGAACCACAGCACCGGGTTCCCGATTATCACGCCAAATGGAGTTTAGGTGTAGATCCTCGATCGTCGATCATATTATATGGCTTTAGGGCTTATTTTATATTTTATATTTCATATTTTACATTTTACCTTGGATACTCCGTATTGGATGCTATATTTTGATTCTATACCCGGAGCCCTTTCTTGTTTTCCCCCTTGGTCTCTTTTTTCCCATATCCACTCTTATTATACCCTCTATACCCTTTTTATATACTATACTAGACCCATTCAAGGACCGGGCTATACATATACTTGATCTATCTTTTACTCTGAAGACTTTTTGGGTCTCTTCTTTTCGGATCCATCACCCTAATATTTCTATCTAACTACCTGACCTTCGCCCTTTCCTGCCTAATTACATATAATTCTGGTTTTTCCCCCTTCTTTCTTCTTCAGCCTTTTTCCCCCTTAATTTTTTATTCATTGCAATTATTGTGTTAATTTGTTTTCTCTGTTACTTAAATCGGTGTCGCAGCTGTGTCAGAGGGACAAGATTTGAATGTCTACTTGAACCGCAAGGATCACGTCTCATCCTTTTCTTTCCTCACTCTCCCCCCACCCCCAACAAGGGAAAGACTTCATCCGTGGAAAAAAGTTTCCTGGAATCCCTAAAATTATCCAAGCTGGCATACTACGCAAGCCCACCGCTGTCCCCCAAGCATTGGGCTGAGCTTGATCTGCACCGATCCTGGGACAACCTCATGGATGGCGATCAACGTATGAAGCAGAATGAAAGGTCAATGTCTCGGTCTGGAAATGCCGCTCGCAGAGCACCTGGTCGTGCAACAGAGGGTTTTGACCCGGCCATACAACCACGTGGAGACCAAACGGGGATGTCGCAACCCCCGGAGCAAGTCCCAATGTCCTACGACTACGGATACACAGGCAGCTCCTTCCACGGCGGTTCCCTGCAGTCGAGCGACTTACAGAACTACCAACCCCAGGACTATGTACGTGCTCAACGGCCTCAACAAGCGGCTATTCAACACCAGCGACGGCGCGCGCCACCGCAGGATCCAGCTGCATTCTCACCCTATGACTCTACCATGCTGTACGGGTTCGGTCAGCAAGGTCCAGCCCAAGGACACTTCGAGGTTGTGCCACAGTACCAGACACGGCAGTCTGCAGCTATTGATGTCCTGTCGAACCAATTTGCCGTTCCACAGTATTTTGCGCCAGAGGAATCTGCAGGGCCTGGGGTCGCAGCACTCTCGCCTTATCTAAATGCGCAACTCCAGCCTTATAACCAAGGCCCCATGGCACGCCCGAACACCACCCAGTCCTTTTCTGCACCCATCTCTGATTTCTCTACAATCGGGCCCGGGTCCATGAACCGATTGGATCAACCCCAAACAGAGTCCCAGCAACAGCAGTCGGATCAGCCCAGCCTGGAGGAGACCATAGGACGATACCAACGCATCCTGCGCCGCACTTTTGATCAAACGCGAGCCGGAAGATTGGTAGAGGCTGGAGTATCGCTACTCGAAATTTCCGAATGGCTTGTGACCAATGCACGGGATCTTGGTAAGATGCACTCTTTTCCAGTTTCTTATTGTTTCCATTTTTCGCCCCGAGAAGACAGAGGAACAAGTGTCCATACTTTACTATGACTGTCCTCGCTTAGTAGCACAGAAGTCGCACTCCCAACTGGACCCTTCTTTTTCTTGTTCTTTTTACCCCCCTAATGTTTGTCTCGGAGCCTGCAGGCGCGCGTCATGCAAGCATAATCTGACACCTTGATGGGTCTACAGTGAGAGGCTAATCCTTCTTGTCTGATATGTAGGCCTCCTCCATGACGACAGCGTCCAGTACCCCGACCGTCTGAAGCTATGGAGCGAATTCAACCTATGTTGGCTAGCCCTCTGTCAAAAGCAAAAGGATCTGGTGCTAGAAGTGATTGCGACAAGTCAGCAACCGGCGCATACGAGTCTAATTCGACGAGATCGCATGGAGACTATGGGAAAGGACCTGATTCAGCTTTGCGATCAACTTGAACCCCACGGGTTAGTGGATTACCAAATGGGCATATGGGAAGAAGAGATACTGTCCGGTGAGTTTGCGCCATACTCCAATACACCTATTTTACCTCCTAATCAAACCTCAGTGTTAGGTCAATGCCTTGATCTCATGGATAGTAGACCCGACCTCCACCACATCCCTACTAGACCCGAAGCCACGGCAGTACCACGACCATGAACCAAGTCCCGAGGAAACAGAACAAGGGCAAAGAAGCTAAAAAAAGAAAAAAGAAAAAAGAAAAGAAAACTGCAAAAAAAAGAAACTACCAAAACGTCGCATCAATTTGGACCCATTCCCCAATAAGAAAGACACGACTGCGCCATGACGATCGGAGACTATACGCAAGCCAATATCACCCAAGCGCTGCCGCCACGGGGAGGCTATTGCCTACTAGCGTCGCGCCAACCCCGATGTTGATATTTGACATCGCGAAGAGGTAACCTGTCACCTCTCACCTCGTTGGGCACCTATCAATCTCCCATTTTCCCCGAGAGATCGACTGGCCTCTCCTTCCCTCCTTCCGTCTTCGGTCATCGGTCTTCCGTTCTCCTGTGAGAGGGGCGATCATTCGCTGGCTCTCTCTTGGCCATAAGCGCTTGATCCTTCCAATTATACCTATCGCCTATCTAACTCGAGCTAACGAGGTGGCTGTGCGAAATACGGAGTACATTGTCGATTCGCTATCATGATTTCCACTATCACGTCCTCACTCGCCATAACCACGACCACTATCACAATCTTCACAATCTTCCGCTTCCCCGCTTACCATACCCTAATGACGAATCTGACGAGTTGTACATAGTCTCTGGGCTTCTGTGGGTGGTTCTCTTTGGCTTATGTTGTTTCCTATCATCTTACCTTCCATCTCCTACCACCATCTCTATTTGTATTGAAACGATCTGAACTGGCTTTGCATTGGGGCGTGGGCAACGCGAAAAAAAGGCAAGGGGCATCTGGCGCAAAAATGGAACGGGACCTTTGTGTTCCCGTTTTGGAATTGGGCTTGGGCTTATATCTCGCTAGCATACCCTTCCGAGGATGGGATCTGAGACGGAGTCGATCTATTTGATATCAACTATTTTCACTGTTCAGCATTTGCATATTTGGGTCATAGCAAGTTATATTAAAGATAGAATCGGTAATACTTCTTCAATCTGTAGGATATAGAGTCCAATCGCTCGATTCATGCCCTAATTGGTGCGTGATAGTCGGGTATGATGTTCATTCTGCTGCTATCGCATCTGTCCTGTCAGACATGGGTAATAAAATGTTCCGGATACCTCTAGGTAGCGTTTGACCTCAGTGGCGTCCTCAATGTCTTTTCCTGTGGCTGTTCTCGGCATGCGAAGCGGCAAGACTAAAGAGGACGAAGTATACGATGAACTTCACCAACTATCCATACTGGTTATCATGTATTCAGTGAAATTAGGATCGTGCCTCGAAATGATGTACAACACGCTGATTTAATCATTCAACTCAAATTCAATGTAAAGCTTAGAATTGATGCCCCAGATGCATTGAGAGTACAGGATATAAAACAAGTCGCGAACTCGGGGTGCCGTGGTGGAATAATACAGTATTGAAACAAAAAAGAAATTGGAAATGCTCGAGTGATCTCGCTGACCACTTTAACGCTTAACCCAGGTAGGCATCTTGCGGGCCTTGACGTGACCGGGCTTCTTTCTCTCGACGCGACGGGCGTCGACCGTGATGGCACCGGCTGTAAAGAAATCCAGTTAGCAACTGCGCCAAGAACGGGAACAAGATATAAAAAAGGAAGCAAGAACATACCCTTCCTCAGAACCGGCTTCAACCCAGGCTCGTGCAACAGCAAAGCCCTACCAAGAGCCAACGTAATCGCCTCAGCCTGACCAGTAACACCACCACCCTGCACCCGAATCCAGGCATTATATTTATCCAAGCGCTGTGTACATCTCAGCGCCCAGAGCGCACTCTCACGATCATGAACCCGCTTAAACACCTCCACCAAACTCTTCCCATTAACCAGTACCTCACCCTCGCCCTCAACAAGCTGCACAACAGCCGTAGACTCCTTCCTCTTCCCCTTCCCGCGAGCGCGCCCATGCTCATCCACCGTCCGCGGCACATTCTCCACCGCATACGGGTTACCAGGACGCAAGAACGCGCTGAGAGTATTGCGCACCTCGTCCGGCACCATATCGGGCTGGATGCGGTTCAGTCGCTGCAGGATCTTGACCAGGGACTTGTATTTCTTCATGGGCACGGGCTCGCCCACGTAGTCGCGGAACTGCGGCAGCTTGAACCATGCCATGCGTGGTGCTTCGCTCGTAGCCACTGTAGGGAGTGAGGCGTACTTCGCTTGCAGAGTTTCTAGCTTCAGGACGTGGTCGGTGAACCGCGGGCTGCCGGAGAAGTAGGATGGGGAGGCGGGGATGATGCGGGCGGGCTTTTGGGTGAAGGAGCCGAAGTTGATTTCTGGGGCGGCGGCCGCGGGGCTGGATTCGGCTTCTGTTGCGTAGGTGCGTGTGCGGAGGGTGTTGAGGGTTGTTCGGGGGGGCTTGGAGGGAGGGTTTTGGGAGGGTTGAGGTTAGGCGGAGGGATTGCATCGCCTGTGTGAGGCTGTTGGGCTTGTGCCACGCCATGGCTGGTGGAATTGGAGGCGGATTCGGGGCTGGAACTCGGATCTCAGGTCCTGGATGGAGGCCGTTGACGGTCTCCGAGTGTCATGTTTTTTGTTGGGTCATGTGATACCCGGCAACATCAGTTCCTCCGGGCACCGAAGTCGTCCCGCCAGCACAAAATTCTTGTTTCGCCCCTCTCCCTTCTCTTCTTTCTTTTCTTTTTTCTTCTTCATCTTCCACACATTATATTCAAGATGGCCTTCGGAAAGCTCTACGGTCTGCCTGTATGTTTTTTATCCTCGTCTCTGTTGATTCGATTCAATGTCTAACTTTCTTTAGGACAACGGTCGCACCATCTCCATCCTGGTCGCTGCTAAGCACAACGACCTCGAGTTGGAGCTGGTTAACACCCAGGCTAACTCTGCCGCTGAGTTCAACTCCAGCGCTGAGTACCTCAAGATCAACCCCACTGGCAAGATCCCCGCCTTCGAGGGTGCCAATGGCTTCACTCTGTCTGAGGCCATTGCCATTGCTGTCTATGGTATGTGAATATTTCTTTCGATACATTCCAACACACATCACTCGATCCATCTTTATGCCTCTCCTTCTTTATGATGAGATATCATTAGTTATCCCTGTCAGATTATAACAATTGTGTTATATTAACTGTTGAGAAAAAACAACTCTGAAAAAAAAAAATTGGCTACCCCGCTCTGCGGGAAAATTTGGACTCGACCACCCCTTTTTTTGCATTGGACACATTGTGCCATTGGCACCTCTGATTGCTCCATTGTTCCATCCAATTGAGTTTCAAAGCAACTTGACTAACATGTCCTGTTCATAGTCACCTCCCAGAACGAGAAGACCACCCTCCTCGGCAAGACCAAGCAGGACTACGCTTCCATCCTCCGCTGGTTGTCCTTCGTCAACGCTGAGGTCCTGCCCAACTTCGGTGCCTGGTACCGCCCCTTGATGGGTCTCGACGCCTACAACAAGAAGAACGTCGATGACGCCTCCAAGGCTGCCCTCAAGGCCGTTGCTGCCCTTGAGACTCACCTCACTGCCAACACCTACCTTGTTGGTGAGCGTATCACCCTGGCCGATATCTTCGCTGCCTCTCTCCTTACCCGCCCCTTCGCCACTGTCCTTGACAAGACCTGGCGCGAGGCCAACCCCGCCACCACCCGGTGGTACAACACCATTATCAACCAGGACGCCTTCAAGGCCGTCGTCCCCAGCCCCCAGTTCGCTGAGGAGGCGATCAAGTACACTCCCCCTAAGAAGGAGCCTAAGCCTAAGGCCGCTGCCCCCGCTGCTGCTGCTGCCCCCGCTGAGGCCCCCGCCGCCGAGGCCCCCAAGCCCAAGCACCCCCTTGAGGCTCTTGGCAAGCCCACTCTCATCCTTGATGACTGGAAGCGCAAGTTCTCCAACGAGGACGTCCGCACCGTTGCCATGCCCTGGTTCTGGGAGCAGTTCAAGGCCGATGAGTACTCTCTCTGGAAGGTCAACTACCGTTACAACAACGAGCTCAAGCTCACCTTCATGGCCAACAACCTGATCGGTGGCTTCCAGGCCCGTCTTGAGGCTTCCCGCAAGTACCTCTTTGGTGCCCAGTCCGTGTACGGCGAGAACTACAACTGTGTCGTCTACGGTGCCTTCATGGTCCGTGGCCAGGAGTGGGAGCCCGCTTTCACTGTCGGCCCCGACTACGAGGGTTACGAGTTCACCAAGCTCGACCCCTCCAACGAGGCTGACCGCAAGCTCGTCGAGGACATGTGGGCCCAGGACGTCCCCGTCACCGTCGACGGCCAGGTCAAGGAGTGGACCGACGGCCACGTCTTCAAATAAGCGTGTTCGCCCCGATCTACCCTCCTTGTCTCCTATAAAATTTCATCCCCCAATACCCCGATGGACGTGCTGTGCATGAAAATATGATGTCTCATGTCCATTCTCTTCTTTCCTCTGCCTGAAATCTTTTGGGTTTTTCCAAATATCTTGACCTCTGGTCTTACGTGTTGATGTTGAATCACGGTTATGAATACGTTGCGACGCAGAATGATGATCGACTGGGCTGGCTTGGGTTTTGCTACTATGACAATCCCAGCCAGTCAGGTCGCTGCTAGTTTAGCTCTAGCAATGAAAGAACAGAGACAGTTCTCTGATATCTTGAGTGCATATTTATTTCCTGTGTAGTTTTAGTTATCAGTAGTATCTCGTACAAATACCTCTTGAAACTGTGCAGCTTTCTACATGTGTGCTTTTAGCCAGGATATGTGACTACATACATTCCCTTCCACACTCCGTTTGCTTGCATATACAAAGAGTCTTGTCATCTTAACAATTGTTCGCTTTGACAGTTGTTTGCCTCCGCCTAGGTATAAATAGCCAGCGTAACCACTTGCTGCTTCTTCCTTCTACAACCATCCTCTCACACGCATCTTCTTGTTTCTCAACCAGAGCTGCCTATACACAAGCTGCCTATATACCTTTATCTTAGGATCCTCGTTTGCCAGTATTGACGGAGCGTCATCACCAGCCTCGAACTGCTCGAACCTTTGATGAATAGGACCATAACTCAAAGCTCCCTTGCATTTTATCATCATCAGCTTTCATCATCCCTTACTTCCATTTCTCACCTTCTATCATCATCCCCCAGTTCCGTTTCACCTTTCACATTTCATGTTTCACATCTACTATCCCCACTCTTCATGACTATATATGGGAACCACAAGTCCTCTCACGCCTGACCCATGACTCTCAAGATTCTTCATGTATGATATATAAAGACCTGGCAGGCATCTGATTGTCCTTGACGTTGGCTGAGAAGTGAGTGGGGCTCGGTGTGGTGAGGTGAGTTACACCTGAGAGAAATGTCAATGATATTTGACTAACAGCGTTACGAAGTCGAGCCAGATGAGACATTTATTGCGGCCTGGCAAAGGACATCGCCAGATATTGCGCTAAGAGACGTGGACAGGAAAATCATACCTGGATGGGACAAGCTCCCAGACCCTTCCTTTGGACCGCAGGTGAACACACTCACCCAGGTTGTAGCGCAACAGACTTGGCCATTTCCGGGGTAAAAGTCACTACCTGTCATCCATATGAGGGTTCATTGGCCCTGTGAGCACTCCGAGACGTTGAGTTCCAGCAGTATCTTTCGGCAAATCTACACCCAACAACAAGCTGAGCATTTCCCCATGTGCAGGTGGATATGCCAGTACATTCGGCGTCTTGCGTCACGCCAGACTCAGTCAACACATTGTCGAGAAGCCAGGAATTCCATTCTAGGCTGGGAGACCCAAATAGCCATGGCATTGTGGTAAGTTCTCCGATGTACCAGCTTGAGCTTGATTCTAATCAGTTATTACTAGGCTCCCAGGTGCGCCAAGATATGCCTGAGCTGTGACTACGAAGTTATGAAGTGTTAGTATATTGTGGGGTCCGCCTCGGCCCCGACCTGCTCCCCCATGGGCTCAGAACGAGGTTCGGCGCAATATATAGCCCCAGTCTGCACATGGATCGCATTCATCTTTGTCGGTTCTTCTTCCTGGTCCTTTTGACAGAGCTTCCCCGGAATATACCAACCTTCGGCCTGGGAGTTCGAGTCTCTGATCGTGATCCTTCTACGTTGCAGGAATGAGTGTCGTGTGTCTTTGAGCATCTTCTTTTCAAGTCTCGGCCTGCTTGCTGCCTACTACCTCTTCCACAACAAGTCGGCCGAGCCAATCTGCCACGATCATCTCCAGAAGCTGCCAAATCCATTGTCGAGCACAGCCTGATCGGCTACTTGGCTCGAAAATGGCACAATTATACGGCGAAGAAGAGAAAGAATGCCGTCCATGTGGGGACAAACGCAATCACCACTAGCAAACAAGCCGGACCTCACAGAGCGAACAAGAGTTGAAGCGGAGCGATTGTGTGTCTGCAGACCTGCCCCGTCTCAGTGTCATACGTGCAAGCTGTAGTTGTGCCAAATCCAACTACACCACCGCATGCATTCTGCTTGGGGTGGGAAGCAAATAGCAAGGTTCGACTGGAAAATGGACCCCGACCTGACCTGCTCCGTCTCAGTCATTCGAAAGGCATCCTGGGCATGTCGTTCACCATGACGCATCCGCCATGCTGCTCTATACCTCATACTTCCAAGTTCCGGACACCGCAGGAAAGGCCTTCGAGAAACATCTACAAGCGAGTTAGGACTCCTGACATGAAAGTGACAGCTTCATTTGTGGCACGGGTTTCCTGTGGAAGATCGAGGGCAGTATTTCTCCGGGACTTTTCCGCCAGTTAGGGTTCGAGAAGCCATATATATATATGGTTTGTTGATGCATCGCCAATCATTAATGGTTGTCTTCTCTCTTCAAACCATCGTTGTGTTGAGTTCGACCCGCACAAATGAGTTCTGGTTGGGCCTATGAGAGCGTCAGATAGCCAGATTTGACTGGCCAGTGTCGATCAAACGAAGACGGTCGACCTGGCTTCCAACGGTGGGTGAGCGAGCAGACCAAGATTCTGAAGAGCACAGCAAGAACCATTTGCCTATCCTGGTCGACTGTCAACCATTCGAGAACACCGCACTATCATGACACATTGGTCGAGGAGTCAGAACATCAAAGCATTTCCAGACGCAAAAAAGAGGCCTATTCTGACGGCAGAACCTGGGGGCAGCGGACATCATCCCTCATCATCTCAGCTGTCGACTTTCACTGGAATGACCTGATGCGTCATCACCATCCCCGGTACCATACTTGGCTAGCTGGTGATGCAGTCATGTGCCGACGCATGTATGGGTGAAAGTCTAGGACAACCCTCACATCGTGGCGCATTTCCACATCCGAGTCGAGGCTGCCGGAGATGGTGACCAGCGTCTCCGAGTATACAATCAGCAGCGCAATACACAATATTGATTTCGTGGACAGGTTGGTGCCATGGCCCAACATTGAGCGGGATGTGGTGTCTCATATCAAACATAACTTGGAGCCAAATCCTAGATGTCGCTATGGTCTCTCACGAACATTTCATGCGAGACGAGTCAGATCCACCTCGCCGCCTCTAACCTTCGTCTGGTGGATTCGTGAATTTCACATTTATTTCCAGAATAATGGAGGTCAAGCAACACCTGATCGCCCTATTATCATCAAACATGGCCGGCTAACGTCGCTTGGTTGGTCTTCTCAACAGTCCAGCCGACCAAGGTATTCTCTGCTCGCTGGCTCGGGGATTCCCGACATGCCCGACTTGACTCGACTACTCAACTGTATTATACTATACAGTCCTCGTGTTCAACATGGTCACCGTCTCCAGTTTACCCTCGACCCTCGTGGGCGTTTCCGCCTTCCAAAGGTCTGGGATCTTAATCGGATCTCATCATGTCGCCCTGAAATAGTCGAACGGACCAACTTCCCACAAGGTCTTGTTGAAGGGCGTTCCAAGTTATGGACTCTACGGGCACTGGCAAAGGGCTCACAAACCCACGAAAGGGATTGGAGCTATGGCCATCCTGCTGACAGTTGACACATTGGTACAAAGATGCTATGTGTGGGCTAGGGTTCTTCTGTGATATCTCCAGAGTTTTCCAGAGCTTGGACACTGACCCTACGATCTTTCGACTTCACCTCTTCCTCACCTGATTCTTTTCCGTCGTTGCTGGTGGGAATGGCTGTTGGTTAGGATAAGCCTCTCCTATAGCCCACGTTGCTTTGACACTGGCCCTATGGTCCTTCGACTTCCCTTCTTCCTCACTTGCTTCTTACCCGTCGCTGCTGGTGGGAATGGGTGTCTGTAGGGAGGAGCCTCTCCTCACAGACTAAGTTGTTTGCTGTCTCAATGTTCTTCGACAAGCGATAGGATGATATATACCAAAATCAACCTCAACATACACTAGCACAAACCTATATATATGTCGAGGCTTTTCTGTGATAACCTCCGAGTTGTCCAGAGCCTAGGCATGCTCGACAGCTGTCTCTTGTCCTTCGGGCATTGCACAGCCAACTCTACACCACGATCTGCATCCCTCTTTAGTGGCGTTCGATGAGGCCATGCCGAAAGAAGAACGAACCAGAGATTCTACCAATCCTGGTATACTTGTTCCCGATGCCTTTAGCTCTTCGGGGATCCGAAGCAACTAAGTCCACGATTCTGTCAATACGGAGACGAATTCGTTCAGATCCCAACTTGCTATATCCCTTCTCTCGACTCATCACCTATCTCTCGACTCATCACCATAGGATACGACGTCGAGAAGCAGATTGTCCAGCGAAGACTGGCAGGAGATATACACGATCTGGTTACCAGTCTTCCATGGGAACACCTCGTGGGACTATGAAGATAGGATCGACCTCACTGGTTGTGTCAATCTTGTCAAGACATTCAACAGACAAAACCTCTGGCTCTTCCGTGGTAACTTTTGAGTTGTCCAGAGCCTGGGCACTGACTGTACATCTTTCGAGTCCGCTTATTCCTCACTTGATTCCTGCCCGTCGCTGCTGGTGGGAATGGGTGAGGGGTGAACCTCTCCCTACAGTCCAGACTGTCTGTTGTTTCGATATTTCGACAGGTGACGGGATATATAGCAAAAATCAACCTCAGCATTGAGTGGAGATGGACATCACGGATGGACATGCGGATGGATAGGTAGTACGTGCAGGCATTATGTAGTTTTGACATCTTTTCTGTATTTATTTTTCGCTCGAGATATATACTATAGAAAGAATCATACCTATCCATGAATGATTACCATAGTGCTATATAGTAACCTATTCTTGCAGGTCTATTTACTACTCTACTTCACTCTACATGATAAACAAACAAGACTGGTATAGTATGAAAGAGCTAATGTATCGATACATGTATGCATGCAGTACCTCTGTCAGAGCTAAAATACACAGAATGGGATATCATGAAACAAAGAATAAAAAGATCCCTACGCTGGAATCCACACATAGTTAAACGCTAGCACCTCAACGCTTCACAGGCCTAAACCCAAGCCCCTCCTCAAGACGATCAAGCAGCGAATTTCTCGACTCAGCCGACGAAGCAGGCGAAGGCGACCGGGTATGCTTAGTTCCCGTCACAACATCCGGCGGAACGTACTCATCAACATCTAATTCCATACCGACAGTCAAGTCCGCGTCGGGAGGGAGGTACTCAGGTGATTGTCCTGCCACGATGCGAGCGGCATTCGCGGCGTGGGCAGCGGCAGATGCGGATTCGAATGCTGGTCCAGAAGCAGAGGCAGATTCAGCATTAAGCTGGGGCATAGGAGCAGCAACACTCCGTTTTCGGAAGTTATATCTTTCCTGTGCGGTCTGAGACCCAGGAGGAGGTGTGGGCAGATCAACTTCCCACTGGGCCATTCTGTTCATGGCCTTCTGTCTGCGGCGAAGTGCTTTCTCGCTTTTTCCAATTTGAGCATGGACTTGGCTCTTCGCTTCTGGTTCGATGCTGGCGACGGCTTTGTCGCTCTTTACGTTATTGTAACTCGGCGTTGGAAGCCCGTGTGTCTTTCGGTATTCTGCTTCGGCTGCGGCGGCTGCGGCGGCGACTTCGGCCTCTCTGGCTCTTTTGCGCGCCTTGCGGGACATTTTGGTTTCCGATTTTTGCTCTCCTGTTTTCTGTGGGGGGTTGCTGTGTTGGATTTGTGACTGGCGGGTTCGCGGTTGCGATACTGGCCGTTGCGGGTGTTGTCGCTGCAGTGTTCGGGGGTATATTATTTGCGGCTGCTTTTTCTCTTGCCTTCGCCTTCTTATTTTTCTTTTTGGGCTTGGCTGTTGTAGGAGCAGGGACATCGTTGGCACCATCAAATGTGATAAGGTCGCCAATAGAGTCGTCGTTCAACTGCTGTGGGAGGAGACTCGTCCCGCCGTCCTCGCTGTCAACAGAATCCTCATGGACCCCGATATCCAATTCGAGGATACTGCCCTCGCCCTTGTCTACGCGCTCGTTCCAGATGCGGAGGACCTTGCTCACGTCGTCGTGGTGGGCGAGATAATCAAGGCGGGTAAGGACCTTAGTAAAGAGTTTCGTCTCATCGATACTGGGATCACCGTTGAACTCCGGGATCTCGAGGATATTGAACGGCTCGCTGGAAGCCTTGAGCTTGCTGTCGTCGATGAGAATGGTGTTGGTCTGGTCCCAGCGGTGGCCCGCGGGGAGCTTTGCAGCCTCAGCATCGCGAAGCCTTTGACTGCGGTTCTTCTGTGGTCGCTGGGTGCCTGGTGATGAGGCCGGGGGGTCTCTCAGATGCTCGTTGCCTGGGAATGCGCCCTGGATATCGGTCACCGCCCAGACTTTGTGCAGCTCCTTGTAGACCTGTAGCTTTTTGTTGTATTGGCCGGAGGTGAGGCCGAACTTGTCGCGTCCCCAGCGGGCGACGAGGGCGTCGTGCATAGGACCTGGGAAGATCTGCTCGCAGACGGCATTTACAGTCTGCGGTTGGGAGCTGGACCAGATCATGACTTTGTAGTCTTTGACTAGCATGGCTAGGAAGTGATCTAGACCGGTGCGTCTAGCGAATTTCGGCGGGAATTTGCGAAGTTTGCGGTAGATTAGGGTGCCATTTAGATCTAGTATAACGAGAAGTGGCCGCTTTTCGGTCTTCTCCGGTTTCAGTGAGGCTTGATTTAGGTATTGCAGTGTTGGAAGTGGGACTTTGACTGGCGGTGTTGGCGATCGTTGTCGTTGGGGCGCGGATGCGAGCCGTTGTCCTGCGCCGCCAGCCATTGTGCTCATGGGCCGGGTGTTTTGGGAGGGTAGTGGGGCATTCATATCGAAAGGGAGGAGAGGGAATGGTGGTGGGAATGGCAATGGCATCCCGCTATCAAGGCCCGGATACATCCAGGGCATATTCTGTGCCATTTGGAGGAAAGTTTGATCCATGGCCATTAGGTCTGGCGGCAAGGTATTAAGAGCGCCAAATTGTTGTTGGCCTTGTCCCAAAGGCATTTGTGGTTGGAGCTGTTGCATGGCAGGAGCGCCCTGAGGTGGATAGGCCTGTGGCGTTTGAGTGGTCGGTGGAATCTGAGCCCCAAAATTCGAGGTGAGACCCGACGTAGAACTGTACTGCAACGGTGGAATATTGCCTTGTACAGAATAGTCCCCATATCCCACACTCCGATGTGTATTCCGAGGGGCCGCATTTGGGTCCCCAGAGGCGTGCGAGGGAGCCCGCCGGCTGGCTCCCCGCCCGTTTTGTGTTGGTGCAGAGTTCATATTCACTGCGCAATAGGCTGAATCGGCATTCTGGGGAATCGAGCTCGACTGGTGTTCAAGATCCGCGGCGGTAGACACAGGTTTCGGTCTCTTGCTTGCGCGAGACAGTTTGAAGGACGTGGGACGTGACGAGAGCAAGGTGGAGAATCTCAGTCGGTATTTCAGAGCGCCAGAGCTTGAAACTGTGAGAAGCTATTCAAAAGCAAGTCAGAATAAATCAACAATTGGTGAACATGCTATCCACGTAGTGAGTGATGGAGGCAATACCCGATTGGCTGCTCTGGGAAGAGGCTGAGAGTGAGGCGATGGGGAATTTATGAGTGGGAAACGAGGGAAGGCTCGGCCATGCAGAAAATGCAGGGACATTTATAAAACAACAAACGCAAATTGGTCAAAAACGTTCTTCGCGACATCGGGGCATCGCGAAAAATATCTAATCAGTTCTTATCGCGCTGACCGCCCCAAGCGGCAATATTTTATTTTTGACAGTTCTTCTTCCTCCGCGGGGTCTTCTAATTACAGCAACAACAAAATGGCTATTTCCGATTTACTTAATCGCCGAGTGCGAGCTCGACCAGAAGATGACGAGGTCTACTCCGAGGAATCAGGTTCCGACGAAGGCTCGCAGGATGGCTCTGATGCCGAATCCAACGGGTCCATCCATTCAGTAAGCCAAGCATACAATTACTTTAGAACCAAATCTAACAACCAACCCAGCAGGAAGATGACTCCAATGCCGAAGGCGAAGAAGGCACAGATGCAGACTCCCAGTCCGAAGCCAGCAACTCCGACATAGAAGAAGAGCCCGAATCCGAGCACGACGACGGCGAAGACTTCAAAGCCTCCCTAGCCGACATATCCTTCGGCGCCCTAGCCAAAGCACAAGCCTCGATGCGCGAGAAGAACCGCAAAGACAAGCGCACGCCGAAAGACGACACCGCCTCCTCAACGGTAGACGACATCCGCACGAAGCTGCGCGAAGCACGCGAACAAAAGCTCGAAGCGGCCGCGAAATCCAAATCCAAAGAAAAGAAGAGCAGATCCTCCAAGCACGCGCCGATGGAGCTATCGTCCAAACGGGCCGTGACGCGCAAGCGCACAGCTGTCGAACTCCCGCCTGCACCCCGGTCCCGGGACCCGCGCTTCGACGCGGCTGTTATGGGTCACAGTGGGGTTGGGAAGCACCCGCATGGTGGGAAGGCGTATGCGTTCCTGGATGAGTACCGGGCGTCGGAGCTTAATGATTTGAAGGAGCAGATGAGGAAGACGAAGAATCTTCAGCAGAAGGAGAAGCTTAAGGGGGAGATCCGGCGGATGCAGGATAAGCTTCGGTCTGCGCAGAATAAGAAGCGTGAGGCGGAGGTGCAGGCTGAGCATAAGAAGCGGGAAAAGCAGTTGATTCGCGAGGGCAAGAAGGCTAATCCGTACTATCTCAAGAACTCGGAGTTGCAGAAGCAGGTTCTTGAGCGGAAGTATGGAGAGATGGGATCGCGGGAGCGTGCAAAGGCGCTCGAAAGGAGGCGCAGAAAGATGGCATCTAAGGAGCGGAAGGAGATGCCTTGGGAGAGGAGAGGCGCGGGGGGTGGTGAGGATGGGGGCATGCCTAACGAAGGAAAGAGACGGAGGTTGGAGTAGAAGCGTTTTTGTATTGGGTTACGGCGTTGATGTGTCTGGGAATGAAAAGTACATAGTATTATGCATATGAATATTGAACATTTGTCTACATGTCCACGGGTATGTTGTATGTACGATCTCGAGGTATATTAGGATTATCAGTCTCGGAGCTGTGGACCAACATGGCAGCAACAGCAAAATATTGTAAAGAGAAAAAAGGAAGGCATTCGAAACGGGCCAATAAGAGGCAGAGAACTCATTACCATAATGCTTTGTCTCCCAAAATAAGTCCAAAAGGTATAATACGAAGCATGGAACCCCCAACGCCCAAAGCAAACTTGATGCAGAAAAGAACCCCAACACTAAAACTTTACAGGGTGTTAAGGTGCCCTGTCGATACTGTCGTAGCATAGATAACATGATATATTGATGCAAGCATCATTGATGTGGGAAGGGTTTCCCGACTCGATCGTCCAGGATGAGCCGGGGATAGTGGACATTCACATTTGCCCAGGCACAAATCGTTTGGAATTGGACTTGCCAATGGAACCAAATGAGTGCCTAGGACTTTATAGCATCATAGCGAGATCTTTGCATTCCAAGGCAGCAAACTCCTCAGATATGATATACATAAGATGGTAGCGCTGGGGATGATCTGTTGGTCGGGCATTTGCTAGCAAGTAGGTTCAAGCAAATTTCATCATTGCTTGAAGCCCGCGAAGCAGAGCCAACCCTAGGCCTCTGCAAGAGGCATTGCTTCTGAATCTAACAGAGTAATGTCGTATCACGAGTGGAACAGATCCCAAGCCCGTGCACAGAGACCCAAGAATTCATCCTTCTTTCTGCGCTGCGTCTCAGGCGAGTCTCTTCCTGCGCCAAAAGGTCCAGGGAATGAAGCATGTGGACCAGGCATGGCAGCTGGGTTGGGCCGGTATTGAGATTCGGGGCCATGGCCCAGCGGCGGACTTCCGTTATCGCGTTCATACTCGCTCCGAGGACGCCGGCGTGCCGTAACGTCAGACGGAGCGAACATACCAAAGGAGGCAGGAGGCGGACCGTGGGGCGCTTGGGGTTCCGGGGCAAGAGGCGCAGTCTTGGGGCCGGGGTGAAGTACTTGTGGGGATGGCGGAGTGGGAGGTTGGTGACCTCCATAGTGGACAATGCGAGGCAGTAGCTCCTCTCGTCCACCGGACATCTCTTGCACGGCCTCTTCGGCTGAGTGATATTCGCGCGGTCGGTTGGGGGTGTGGGCCACGCTCCGCGGCAGACCAGGGGAGGGCATCGGCGCCAAGTTGTTGGATTGGGAGGAGTTGGTGCTCGATGCATTCAAGTGGATATTAGCGAGGCCAGAATCCCGGTCACGACCCAATGCATCGGAACCGAAGACATCGGAGAGGGGAGGAAGACGATTGTTTGTTTGGTTTGCCGGCAGCTGATGCATGTGAGAAGTTGAGCTCAAGGTCGGGCTCTGGTTGACAACATGGCGGGTCAATGGCTGTGGCTGATGTCTACCAGTGAAAGTCTGGTGTAGGGGAGCAGATTGGATGACTCGCTCGTTCGCGAACTGGGAAGCGGATGGAGGGACGATGGATAGACCAGCGGGAGGTCTGCGCTTTGATGCAGTCTTGGGCATTCCCATCAAATTCGACTCGGAAGGCTTAACACCGTCCGGACCATCATCCTTGGCTGATCTCTGCATGCGCTGTTCAATGATTGACCGCTGCTGGTCCCGCACAGAGAGGCTGCGCTGCAGCTGCTCTCGCATGACCGGATCGTGGGTCTGGAAGCCAGGCGACAGGCACGCCAGGCCTACATGTTGCATCGAGGCTGTCAAAGGTCCCCCCCGCAGCGCGAACCGACAGCCCACTGGAGGATGGAAGACTAGTCGAAAGGTCCAATTTCCGCGGCCGGGGCCGACTCTGCATCCGTGGGGAGGATCCCGGTTCCTTCTTTACAGTAATTTGTGGGCCTCCGCTGGCACCTTGGGATCTGAGAAATAATATCAGCGTGTGAAGCTCCGATCTCATGAATCTCTCGACTTACGGAGATGCTCCTCTCTTCTCGGTCGGGGAACCGTGTACCGTGGATCCATTCTTGGGGCTTTTGGACATCCGGGGCGGAGAGAAGTTGTTATTATTCGGAGGAGCCAACGACGGGAGGTTTCTGGGGCTGGGGTTGCGAGTAGGGTGTGGTGATGACAAGGGGGCCGCTGCAGATGCAACTGCAGTGGACATGGTCGGAGACGATCGAGTTTCCCTCTAGGGTATCACGGCAAATGATGTAAGTACGAAGTACTGTGTATTTTGATAAATCTCCTTGAGATGCAAGGGCATCTGGAGTTGATGCGGGCAAGGTCCGGGAAAGCGGATCGAACGTGGGATCGGCCTCGATATATCCAAGAGAGTAGAGAAACTTCTCAGACAAAGGAAGGGCGGTTAGGCGTCAGGCGGCAGTGTGACAAGAACAAGAGTCCAGAGTTACCAAGCGAGAGAAATGGACGAGAAATGGAGAAAATCTGAAGGAGGGGGGTTTCAACAGTCTGGGCCCTGTAAAGGGGAAAAAAAAAGAAAAGGATGAGATCGTCCAAGCTATCCAGGGGGAGTTAAAAAGGTGTAAAGTACACAGTACGTTGATCTCAGCAAGTACAAAGAGGGGAAAGAGGTATCAGTGGTCACCCCAGCTAAGTACCAGATACCCGAATCTCCGAGACACGATGTGTTTCTGGGAGATGGGCTGGTTCCAGGGGGGTCCACCGTTCATTTTATTTTTATAAACAGAGAACATACATGTATTATTTATTACTCCGTACAAGTAGGACAATAGTTATATTATTCATATATTATATATTCTTTATATAATTCTTTATATAAATCTCCGTACTATTAACCCTCCATTCAATAGTTCCCTCATTAGAGATCTACAACTTCTACTCCGTATAATTCCAAGTGGATCCCATTTCTCTAACATTAGTATAACAAAAATAATACTAGCACCTCCTGATATCCAAATTTATCGAATCATAAACCCCAGTCACTATTACACTCGGCACACAAAGAGAAAAAACAAAAAACAAAAAACAAAAAAACAAAAAAAACAAGTCACATCACCTCCATCCACTCGTGAAGCGTTATATGTCAAACAAGGCGCAGTGGGCGCTTATATCGAAAGGGGCCACTAGTATGTGGCGTTCACAAAACCAATGACCAACTGTCCCATGCGACCCTGAACACGAAACTGAAACTGAAAGAAAATAATGTTTCAGTCTATATTGTAGATGTCACATACCATTTGAATCACTACTCCGTACGGAATACGGAGTACATAGTGAGTAAAGACACATTCAATACGGAGTAGACCTGAGATTAGAGTCCACTCTCCAAAGGTGTAAATGCACAGACCAGGGGTGCGTGCCTTTGCATATTATTGAGTTCTTAAAGAGGTGTTGCCGAGATGTCCACGGGTCTCCTACAACAGACAAAAGTACAAAAGTACCGTCCCCAGTCCCGAGAGATGACAAATGACATTTCCCTGAACCTTCCAAGATCCACCTGAATCCTTTGGGTCCAAAGGATGAAACCCAACATTACCTTTGTTTCAGAAATCTCTTACCATTCCGTGTCAGCCTTTCACATCCATGGATGAGTCAGGGTATTATTAATCTATTTTATCCGCCCGCGTGACCTTGTACTCTATCAAGTTACTACTATAGGTGGAGTACGGAGTAGAGAAAAGACATAGACCATTCGTCCCCCCGCATTCGGAGATGTATTCTCTCGCATATGAAGAGACTCTACAGAGTATACTTGTATCAGGTTTCCAACATCATTAACATCATTATGCGCATATGTATGTATCTACTCTGTAGGTACTTATAAGTAAAGGCCAAATAGACGATAGCGGCAACCCTACAACATAATTGAGAGGAGCTCGTAGTAGACCCATACCTAGGTACTACCTAGGTAGTATATGGGTTGACTAAAGCCTTGGCGTACCTACGGGAATTTGTCCACCGGTGCCCGAGTCCAGGCCCGGCCCGTGACATTACGGCATATCCCTCCCCAGGTCTACCCTCAGCATAAATTTGCGCCACAATGCCCCCTCATATCTATACAGAGGGGTTGCCTGAAGAACCGACCCCAGTTCCCGCATGGGGGGGCTCTTCCACTCGACCTCTATCTTCTTGTGTGTACCTTCTCTCCTAATGTGCCATGCACTGTCAAGTTGACTAACGTTTTCCAGGAACAATGGGATACTCCTTATCCAGACTCACTTAACGAACTACCCGACCAGCGTCGCGGACGCCTCATTCGCCAGTGGCTGAGTATTGGGACTATAGGTAGAGAGAGGTTAATTTTGATTGTCACCTTTTCGCTGCTCTTTCCTATCTGCCATCTCTATCGCTTCTTATTCCATTATTGATCCTCTAATCCCAAATCTTAGCCCTACTACAACCGCACTAGAGAGGACTCGCAGACGTACGCGCCCGCCCAGCCCACACAGCAACAAATTGATGCTATTCTCCGCCCACTACGTCCAAACTCCCTCCGCCGCTATGCCGCCGGCTACGAATCATGGACAGGTGCCGAGGGCATGTGGATCCGCACGAGCTACGACGCGGAAAATGAAGAAGCCCACCAAACGCTCTGGAACGAATACGTGGATATTTCTCAAGTTATCGGACCCGACTCGCTAGTCCTCGAGGACGAAGGGTTATTTGCGAATGCAGATATTGCTCGTGTTCTTGAGCGATTCCCAGAGCGCGTGACGAACTATTCGGCGCTAGAGGATGTCGACTGGCGTGAGAATACACTGGCAGATTTCTTACGAATGCGCGAAGAAGCGGAGGGGCAGACCGCAGGCACACGCGAAAATGAATCGTCCTTGCACTCCGATGATTTGTGTAAGACGTACTGGACGTATCACGCTGCTTGTGTGGTGACTCATGCGTTTATTGAGGACGCGAAGGCTCAGTGTGGCGGAGGGGTTTTACATGTGTTTTTAGACGACTGCGGGAACGTGGTTAGGCAGATGAGGGTGGATTCGAATGAGGTTGATAATTTTGATGGGGCTTGGTCTGAAGGGAGTTGGAAGGATGGCTGGGTTTATCCTGGAGAGCTTGGGCCGGCCTATCTTCCTGGGCATATGAGAGGGCCTCCATATAGGTGATATGTGCTACTTACATCGGAAATCCGGGAGGATAGGTTCCCGGGTTCCCCGAGCTGGACAGGTAAAGTTCTGGTAGTTGAAGAATTGCGACGAAGTATCGGCATCTGGCATGTCTATGTCGTCGTCACCCGCGCGTTTGTAGAGAGCCGGTTCTGCGCTCGGCAGGTGGAAGGTGGCGTTCGCATGTTGCCAGGCATTTGAACCCACGGTCTTCCGCCGGTCATGGCGGAGTTGCTTGGGTGGGAGAGAGAGTGGCTTGTATGGCCTGATTTCACCATCGTGCCAGATGTCCTCGGCATCATTATCGTTACCATCATCGAACACACCGAGCTCAGACAGTTCATCTAGAGGACCATGGTCGAATTCCATTACCAGACGGCGATGGTGATGCGTGTGCGAGTGACCATGGTCATGATGATTCCTCAGATGACTATGTCCAAGATCTCTTTTCAAGTTGAGAGTGGTCTCAGATTCCACGTTGTCGTTATGGTAGATCGTATACTTCATCCCCTGGCCACTATAAAGGGAGACTGGCTGGAAATGCCAAATCCAACTACCGCCAAGTATATTGGCGTACGCGCCATAACTCAAATCATAGTAAAGGTCAGCGCCGTACTCGTAGCTATATGTTGGTTCCGTGGATGTCCCTACCCATACGCGGACAGTAGCCGAGAACTCGAGCGTCGTGTTCATGAACGCGATAATTTGAGCATCAACCAGGTTTCCTGGACCCAGTACGGAAGGACCAACCTCAATTCCAATCCGTGCGTTGGGGATACGCCAATGGCGAGATTCGCCGATGCTTGCGCGGATGCATAGAATTGGGGCTCTAAACCCGTCCGTGGTCGTTTATGCTACAAGCCTTGGAAGCCATGTTTAAGGGTCGTGTATGGAAAACGCAGAGATGAGACTTTCACAGTACGCCCTGTAGTATAAGATGTGAAATGTCCGGGCGGAAGGAGGACATGAAGAATGCCAGATACGGCTGCTCAAAGTTACTTAAAGAATGACCTATGAGGTAGGAAGCACCCTGAAGGATTATTCTGTCATAGAAAAGGGATGCTCTTTGGAATTATCATCTGCGAGCGATACTAACAAGCCCGTGCATATCAAGCAAGGTCCAACGGCTATATTAAGATTCTGTAAGCCAGATTCAGATGAGTCCGGTGGTCACCACATTGAGGGGTACCCAATTAACTTTTCAAACTTTAGACTCGACCCTTTCGACAACTAGAGTACAATAGATTATAAAATGCCATTGACGATCGCAACTTGGGGTGGCGGCGGCGAATGGCGTTTCTTACGAACGAGCTCTCGAATTTTACGGCAACTCTATTACGTCACGTCCAAGTGTGCAAAACATATAATCGCATTTTCCCTTTCTTTTAGGAAGTGCATTATTTTTTCCTATTAGATGGAGAAGATAAAAAAAGCCGAAATTCGAGACAAACGCGATCCGCAGCAAACTGAGGCCTGGATTCTTGGAACAGGGACCGCATCTTTGGCGTCCGCTTTTTATCTGATCAAGCATGCCAAGATACCGCCTCGGAAGGTGCATATTCTCGAGTCGTGTGATTCGTTGCAGGAAATTTGGCATCATAAAGGCGACCCATCGAGCGGATACGATCAGTTTGCAGGATGCTTGCCTGTTCCAATCGGTGAACCTCTGAAAGAAATCCTTTCTTGTATCCCATCCGCTTCCCCAACAACTGGCCGTCGGGCACAGAGCTTTTTGCATGCCATACAGTCAGCGGAAGTCAACCGAACCTTTACAACGCAAGTTAGTACCACATGTATTGTGGTACAAAGGGATCGCAAGCTGCGGAATATCGTGACTAGGTCGCTGGACTTGAATTTTAAGCAGCGACTGAAACTTGTTCAGTTTATGCTGAAAGGAGAAAAGCGGTTGGGAAGGAATCACATCAGTGACTTTTTTCCACAAAGCTTTTTCGAAACTTCGTTTTGGGCTATCTGGTCCGCTCAGTAAGTACATCACATGCTCGAAGGCTATCTCAACCTAGTTTAATAGCATCTTGAAATTTCTCCAGATTCGGTCTTCAGCCTTGGCACAGCGCAACTGAGTTCAGGCGTGCTTTGCATCACTACCTCGGTGATTTCCACAACCTATCTATTTTGAACTGCCTTGATATTACCGGTTACTACCAATTTGAGTCCATATTCCTTCCTATCTGCCTTTACCTCGAGAGCCTTGATGTGGATTTTCAGTTCGATACCAAGGTTAGGGCCATTGTGACTTCTTCTGATAACGATACTCGAACTATTTCACGACTAGAGTTGAGTCAGAATGGTTTCCTAACCCGCAAGGACCTTGGGCCCAACGACATCGTTATAGCAACACTGGGATCTACAGAATCAGGGGCTGCGGTCGGATCGAATGATCATCAACCGGTTCTGTTATCATTCGATGCGTGCGATCAGTTTGACGAGAACTGGTCACTATGGCTCACCCTTGCCCCCATAGGCAGAGATTTCGGCAACCCCTATGCTTTCTGCACACGTCGGCCTCAGTCAATGGTAGAGTCCTTCACAATCACTACTGAAGAGCTCAATTTTTTCAACTATCTCACTTCTCTGTCACAATCGACGTTAGCAACAGGGGCATTGATCGTCCTTCGGGAGAGTCGGTGGAAACTAAATCTCTGTATACCCGCGCAACCAGTCTTTCAATCTCAGCCAGGAGACGTGCGCGTTCTTTGGGGATTCGCACTCTTCCCAGAGGGTATAGGTGACTACGTTAAGAAACCGATGCTACAATGCTCGGGTGCAGAGATTATGGCGGAACTCCTTAAACATCTAAACTATCCATCTGAGCTGGTTTTTCGACACACGGTCAATATTCCACGGGTTATGCCACGAATGAGTGCAATCGTTCTAGCTCATTCTCTGGATGAACGTCCCGAGGTTGTTCCCCCGAACACCTCGAACATTGGACTGGTTGGGCAATTCGTCGAGATACCACAATACAGCTGTATTGATATGAGTTATGCTGCTCGTTCGGCGCAAATGGTGGTATCCAGGCTGATGGGTATCGACATACCGTCGGCCGAAGTGAAGAGGTCACTAACTGCACTTTTGATACGGATTTTACTCTGGAAATGATTTCGGCCCGTCACTATCCAACCAATTCCATGGTCCACGGGAAGTTCGGGCTCAGTGACTCTAGTTATTGTGGCCTGCTGTGAGTATAGTAAAAGTTACTAGTATCATACTAACTTGTCTATACTAATTTGTACTTCTCTACGAGTAATTTATTGTTGGTCTACAAAGGTTTAACTTCGCCTCGGATATTCATATATATCTAGGGATAATTCATTGTCATTGTTAGTATCCTTTCTGTTGAAACTTGGCATCTGAGAGTGCTGTCGGACTAGGTCACGCTTGGCCAAATAGCTTAAGCAATGACGAATAGTCCCTGTTGCCTTCTCCCTGCTGTCAAGCCCTAAAAATGGGGCAGGTAAGAGTTGGCTCCTCTATCCGGAGGTAGGTGCTTGAATCGAATGATGCTGTTGGAGGGGTGTAATTCGTCAGTATGCGGGTTGGTAGGGAGCCTTGGGGGTAGATGTTGCAACAAGTGTAGCCCGTAGGGATTCGTCGGATAATGACGTTTTCAATAATGTGCGAGGCATCCATTGATTGTAGTATCGAGTAGGAACTGGTACCAACAGTTTCTAATAGGAACGGAAGAGCAAATAGCACCACAGTATCTATATAGAGTCCTTGTCGAAGGTCCCAACGCCCCATATACTTCGTCGCCTAGCAGACTATTGGCCTTTCACTTTTCCATGTGAAGGTTGGTTTCGTCGCGTTCTCAACCGAACTTATTCCTTCTACGAAAGGTAGTAAGATGCCAATCTTGACACCCTTGCCGGAAAGACAAAGACTTCCGGACCTCAATCCCTGTACTCAATGCTCAAGGTCGAGACCCTTCGCGAAAGCGATGACACTAAATGAAAATAGACTATACCAGTAACTAGCGAAGGAGTTACTTTAACTTGCATTACATTGCATCTTCTCTTCTAAAGGTGCGTTTCGAATGCTCTTTGTGAAACTCGGTTATCCTCCGATTGTGTACGACGCAGACTGAGAAACCGGAACCTGGCTGTTTCAACCGATAAAGTTGTGATACAAAACACTCGACACATCTCGTCAGCCATTTACCATTCCGGATGCGAGGCACAGCGTGTTGTACCATCATTCTATCCGATATCCACCGAGGATGCTAGATTGGGTATGAAAGAGCGAAATTGGAACATTTCCATCGTCCCCTTAACAAACCCTCTCCGGCTACGCCGTCGTCAACCTGGTTATATTAACTCAGGTCTGCTACAATAGTGGTGTTTCCGCCAAGGTTGAAAGTCTCCAGAATAGTCATACTGCCCGGTAACATTTCGACGTACGGTATCATAATTAAGCAGGCCCATATTTTCAGTAAGTCATCGGTATCAAGTGAACTAGCATTCTTGTTGGCTTCCGCAGTTGGCTTGTTTATTTTCTCTAACACTTCTGAAGTGAGGTGCCTGGGCGATTTTCCCACCATCGCCGTCAAAATTGACTGATACCTCATTTAGAAGAGCCTCCAATAGGTTAGAGTGTCCGACAATAATGCAGAGGTGCGGATCCCGACGGGAAGCCTCTTCTGCCAATTTTGCGCGACACATTCGAAGCAGATCGATTTGACACAAGCTCATTGATACTCTAACTCTTTGATATGTTAAGTCGAGAAGCTAGGTGCCAATGTGATGCCGAGGTACAATGTTAAGGTTACCTTCTCAACTGCTTTTTTACGGTTAAGCCCTAAATGTAAGACTGCACACAGGGACAATCACTGGGTTTCTAGTCGTTCATTGCAAAGCCAAGGGATTCAGTGTTCTTCCAGTGTCCGCGCATCGATCCTATAAATATGCTCGGAGATCGACAAATTCTATATAATCCAATCGTGCCACTAAGCAAAGCGACTTGCGGGGTTAGTTTCCCACAACCGCGTCCTAGCTCGGTTCGCGCCACCCCGCCACACCATCCCCACCTTTCACAGTCACAGTAACTTTCCGCAGATTGGTCTAGATCCCCAGCAGTATGAGGGAAAGCAGGCCCAGACCTGTTTGGTCCTAGGCCTCGACTTTCACCTGCCCTCTCCAACGTTTCTACTAGGTTGTTTTTAATCTGTAATTACGTAATTAGCACTTTGTTTTCCAAGGTTGTTCTGTTGCTTGATACCCATTATCATTTAACCTGGCAAACAGGGGCTTGTTGTGGGGATGTTTCCTTTAACCGGCCGTAAGGGGCAGGGATAAGGAGATATGTATGCTTCCTTCCTTCCCAAGGAAGGTATTTATAATGACTTACGGATAGTCAGATACTGTCGGGGAAACTGTCTCTAATGTCATTTTACAGAACTTACACGCCCTGGAGCTTGAACAACCCCCCGACGACCGCGTCCATCACTAATGGAGGTCAGGGTCTGCCTGTAGCTAGGTAATTCGCCACACTGTCTACCGCGGTACCTATTCGGTCTCGTGATTCGTTGCGCACTCAGCAGCCATATCGAAATTACAAGTGGTTTCTGCAAATCGAGTCATGTGATGAGCGAGGCAGCTGATAGGTGTGTATTGCGGGTGGCGCCTTCATGTCCTTCGAGAAACCGGTAGAAAATGTTCATTTGAACGTACAATATAGATTGCAGAGGTCGGCGTCTCAAATTTTCGTACGCGCTCACCAGATCGATAGTCATGGAAGCACATTTTCTGTAACGAAAACTCCAGATGTTTGATGTACCCCATGGCAAGGATCTTTTGCTACTCGTATACTGTAGTCTTGTCTTATATCTATCAATACTTACGGCGTAAGTGCTAACCTTATGTTTTTCTCATTTCTTTATTAAATAAGAGACGACTCACAAACTATTGAGGTTCTTTTATACGGCATATGGACGGTATGTTGGAAGAAATAGCAGGGCTGCGTATCCGAGCAATCAAAGTTCCAGCTCTGAATACCGGTCACATATTCTACGGGACCTTGAGCAGGCTCTACCTAGTGAGCCATTCAGACTTTCTTGGTGCACATCTGCAACATCAAGGCATCCGTTCATCTGGTAAATATTTACTGATGTCCAAAGAATGAATTTAGTCTAATGAAGCAGCGCCATTTGCCTAGAGCCAATCTCAGAATCGGACTACATCCACCCACTTCGTTGCCATCACCTATATCACGATATTTGTATCGAAGAGTGGTACTTGCGCAGCAATCGCTGTCCGATGTGCCAGAGATCCTTGGTAGAGACGCTTATGGTCGATTTCGTGAACCTCGACTGATTATTGGCGGAAGAAAGAGTGTTCGGCGGAACAGTAGTGCAAAACTCTGGGAAGTACGTACATTTTTCCAATAGAATGAGTTGACATACATGGGATGTCTTTGTCTCTTTGTGTGCAGACTGAGCCTGTGCTAGTTTGCCATTTCTTTGTTAGCATAGGCTTCATATACAGCCTGCTTTTCCATAGATTCATTATCACCTCTCTTCTTCTCGATTTTCCCCATGCTAGTGCGGTTCACGCGTGCTTCCTAAGCATCACTCCACCGATGTTAAGTCCGCACCTTTGAGGAACGCTACATCCTAAAACGGCGCGACATTATTCGCTACTGCGAGATATTGCGGCAGCAATAAGAATAATCTGACGGATGACTTCGCAGCAAGGGCAGGAAAACAAGAGTAACCAAGACCGCTCTTCGTGCCTTGGATATTTTCGGAGCACAAATCACCTCTTCTGCCAAGAAAATACTTCTACATTTTCATCTCTGTTGAGACGTGATTTTCATTTTAGACCTTGAAGCTTGAAAGGCGGGTGATCAGCTTCTTCTCTGACAAGTGAGTGTCGCGGTTGACGCACCAATATTATCTCCAAAAGATAACTTTTTTAAGAATCGAGATCCTCGATTTCAAAGAATCTTCCAAGCCTCCTTCCAGGCCCATTAGTTTGTGGACTGCCATTTTGGCAGTGCGGATGCCGTAACTGACGTCTGCGCATGTGTAACCCGGGCACTCTGTAAACGGCCCCACAAGACCGACGTTGAATAAGGGCGTAATTGATGGACGGTCACCCAATGCCCGCGTTAGAAACAAAGAACTCATCCGGGGCATCGCGCGTGGAATGGTGACAGTTTGTGACAACGGCGGGTTGTAGTGGAGATTGAGGTGACCTAATATCTCAGACAAAATATCCGCACCAGAACAATGGAGCATTATTCGTTGCACATAATTCCCTTCGACTCTGGGTGAGTGCGCAAACCCCCAAAGAACGCGGACATCTCGTGGCTGCGATGAAAAGACCGGCTGGGTGGGTATGCACAGGTTTATCTTCCAATTGCTGTCGCTGAGAAATATGAATGTCCCGGCCTCAGATATGCACTTTGAGCGTGATGTGAGGTCATCGTAGAGCACGAGATCCTGTGTAGTGATCGTGAAGGATTCCAGCATAGATTCAGACTGGCGTGTGCAAAAGTTGTACGGATTGCCAAGGCCCTTATATTTATTTCCCAGGTCCAACCATACTGCCCAATTTTGGTCGAACAAATCATCCGCATCGAGTGATTGCCACACTGGTGTAGAATTATTGGTACCGACTGCTGAACCTGAGATAGTGGATCCAATATTTATAATCACGATATCGTTCTCCCCTAGTTGCTGGCGTAGTCGTAGGTTGCCTTGGACCAAGTTGAATCCTGTGACTTTTTGTTTAACGTTATCTTTAGACACTTGCATGTCCTTGACTTCGACACCGAATCGGAAGTCAACTCCACAGCTTTGGAGAAAACAATAAATTGGCAGGTACAAAGACTCATACTGATAATAGCCAGTGATGTCGAGGCAGCTCAGAATACTTAAGCTGTGAAATTGAGGAAGATATTGACGAATAGAACGCCTGAATTCTGCTGCGCTATGCCACGGCTGGAAGCCAAACCTAGCGGAATATTAGAAACGGGGTTGAGTAAGTAGTGCTGGGTAGTAAGATACGCACTGGGCAGACCAGATTGCCCAGAAAGGGCATTTGAAAAAGTCCTCCGGTAGAAGCTCCTGGACTCGCCTCTGTGATAGGTATCTTTCGCGATTGAAGAGAAGCTGTATTAGAGCTATCCGATGCTTGGTGCTCAGATTTAATGAATCTGTGGGTATCTGATTCACTGAACCCTTGGTCATAGCTAGAAAGAAGGTTCGAGCATTTCTTTTCTTGGGGACTCGATTTGCCTCTGCCGTCTGTATCTCGTCCAAAAGAGACTGCTCTTGCGATTGTGTTGAGGGAAGACTGGCGAGAAGCCTTTCCATAGGTAGGCCAGCTGGAACAGGCAGGCATGCGGCAAATTGGTCGTATCCATAGGACCAGCTACCTGGGCGGTGCGAGATTTGCTCCGAGAACAGGTGCTTGTCTATGATATGGATTCTGGTTGGAGGTACTTTGGCGTCTTTGATCAAATACACCGCGGAAGCTAATGCTTCAGTTCCGCTTCCAAAGATCCAAGCATCGATATGACGCTGGTCTGTAAACTGTGACTGGGACATCGTATCCAGATGAGACAATCCTTCAATGCCGAAAGAAGCAAAGTTCCAAGCGAGGAAGCCTGCACTATTTAACAGGCAGAACTTGCCGCAACTGACGTCACCTGGCCGCTTTCGTCAAATCACGATGGGGCAGCTCGGCAGATTCCTAAGTCAGGCTACCTACATTAGTGGCCTGCGTATCGATGTATGAGCATGTATGTAACTCATACTTCTAATTCAACATAACCTTTCTGTGAGGCTTTTTTTTAATGGTTCGGAAGATCGAAGGGTTAGCCTATAGGCTTTTCCTCACTGACGGATACAATATCACCGTAAAATCCCTGAAAACGTAGGATGGAGTCTTCATCCGCTACTTTAGCCCTATCCCCTTGTTCCGGCAATGAAGAAGTAGATCACTTATAGTGTGATAGATCGGTGGGTCGTTGTGGCTTGTAATAAGGGCATGATCAGGTGATGCTTAGTGAGCAGATCACGTTGATTATATAATGGCCCGTGATCAAGTCAGGATACTTAGGGACGTACCTAGGTACTTAGTTTTACTTAGTGATTAAAAAGCGGCAAGAGGTGAGCACTGATCGGAAAGGAAAGATCTCGCATTATCCGGTACATATGTATATAGTAGTGGGAAACTGGTAAATGGACGAGGGTTGACGCAGATTCACTACATTGCGAGAAAACAGGTTGCGGACATTTTTGACAATGAAAATGCATGAATACCACTTTATTACAAGCCTAATATATTCAAAAGCTTCTAGTGAGAGTCATACCTTCCCAAAAGCTCAATGGAGTTTATAGATGACAAAACTAGCAGGCGGTGAGAGCCGACTATCGATAACCCACCTTTTTTTCTTCGATAATCTTCAACTTGGAGATCCAGATCGCGCAAATTTCCTAGGCTAAAAGTCCGACCTTCAAAACCAAACGACAGCAAAGACATTTATCTACTGTCTTGCAAATCCCAATTACCAACCACCAACCACCAACCACACACCCAACCCCCGCATCCATTCGAACAGCCCTCGACAAAGCGTCGAAGTCGTCAGATCACAAAAGATCACAACCTACATACCTCACACCCATACAATGCCTGAATCCGTCCACTCCCAAGACATGGACCAGTCCATGGTCGACGCAGAGCAAGCCGTCGAGCCCCAGTCCAACGACCCCATCCTCGAGGAAAGACAGATTGTCGTCGTACGTAACCGCTCAGCCCGGGATATCGAAATTGATCGCATAGATACCTGGATTCTAAAAACACAAGCTAACACCATACTCAATCAGCTCCCCGGCGCTACCGAAACCGCCGCTTCATTCCAGTTCGAAGGCGAAGGCCACACCATGGGCAATGCGCTGCGGTACGCAATCATGAAGAAGTGAGTGTACCTGCGATCAGAGATCAGATTGGGCTTTGTACTGGATGGTTTCTTGCATTGGATCCTCGATCTGGTCTGGTCTGGGGAGAACATCGCTGACTTGTTGAATAGCCCTGCTGTTGAATTCTGCGGTTACACCATTCCCCACCCCTCCGATCCGAAGATGAACGTCCGTATCCAGACGAACGGTATGTCCTCCTACTTTGTGTTGTTTATTGAGTGTTGGGATATTTGCTGACTGCGTGGCTTAGATACGACTACTGCTCTCGAGGCTTTGGAGAAGGGCTTCGATGATCTGATGGACCTGTGCGATGTCGTAACGGAGAAATTCACTGCCGCGCGTGATCAGTTCAATGCTGAAAGTGGTAACCGTATGGAGGCATAGGTTGTTTTCAAGGTTATTTGCATATGTATTATTTAATTGGCGTTTTGGGTAGAGGGAAAAGTATATTTTCTATCTCGGGCATGACGAATGCTTGCTTTTGGTTTCTTTGGTATATATATTTATAAGAAATACTTGATGAGGATAGAGTTGTCCGCGATGCATTCTATGAAACCAGTATTGCCAGGAAGTTTGTGTTGCCATAGGATCAGCATCATGTCTTGAAGCTAGGCGTATGCAGAAACTACATGAGGTCAGAACGAAATAAGATAATGGAATGGCTTATTCAGACAATATATACACATCATGTCTATCGATGGCGCAGTCCCTTTAACTGGCACATCGTGGACCAGAAACGAGATGAAGAGGATAGGAAATGAGAAAGGAGCAGAAAGAGAGATTTAATTGCGACCCTCGAGGAAACCAGAGACGAAGTTGCGGGGTAGCCGCGCGCCAGGGTCTTCTTCTGGGCGGAAGTACTTCATAACATGAGAAAGCTGCTTCCAGTAGTTAAGGGTTTCCTGCATTGAAATGATGTCAGTATTTGATCCTAGAATTGCGGGTGACTACAATAATGGACAATCAAATCAAGACAGTTTAGAAGCAGCATTTGCTTCTCACAATTATCTTCTTGAAGGAATCCGCATGTCGAATAGACATATCATATCACCGAACAGGAAGGGTGGACCTGGACTAACCTGGAACTCGGCGTGGCTCTGGTACAACAGCACATCCACGACGGGCAATTGGCTGACGTAGCGGTGCTTCTCGAACTCCTGGCGGATCTTCGTGCGGATGGCGGATACGGGCATGCCCAGAGAGTACATGGTCTGGATCTCCGGGGACTGTATTGGTGATATCACGTTAGCTGAGTCCATTGCGGGGTCAAATTGTGGCCTTTTAGGACAGAGAAAACAGCAACTATTCAATCCGTTCCAACGATATCCGCCTGGAACGGAGGAAAAGAGCATAGCAAGGGAGAAGGTGTATCGGCCTAGGATCTCGGGCTAAACTGACCGCGCGGAGCCATTCGCGGTACGACTTCAGGACTCGGAATTTCGCATCGCTCCAGTTGACAGCTAGAAGAGAAATAAGTATATTAGCACCTTTTCGCGGGTGGGATAGACTCCATTGACGATCCCGCCGGGTGGACGGCGGAACGCATCGGGCGTGGAAGGGACGTACAGGAGCGCGTGCGCTGCGCCAGGTAGGTAGGGTTGATAGTCATTTTGGAGGAGAGTTGAGTGCCCACTCAATCCAGTGCGGTTCAATCACTGGGTGCAGGAAGACGGGGGAGAATTGAACGTGGGTTCCTGAGCTATGAGGGTGGAGGTTTCGATCTGAGGTTGGTGGTGGAATGGGCCAGGCTCACCGCCTGCCTTTTCAAAAAAATTCTTTTGCGAATTTGGGGATTATCGGACCGTCTGCGCGACGTTTCTCTGCTCTTGTTTTTTTTTCCCGTCGAATAATTTTCGATATCTCTGATTCCCTCGGAGCATTATTTGATTCCTTTTGGGCTGTTGAAGTAATTACAGCCCATTTCTCGCCGCTCTATCGATATTTGCATTCCCACTCTCAGTCCGCCTCGTCTCAACTCAATCAACCGTTCAATTCCTCAAGCACTACGAAATGGCTCCTAATGTTGGAGGAGCGAAGGGAGGCGCAAAGGGAGGTGCGAAAGGAGGCAAGCCTACCAACCTGTCGTCTGCCTCGCGCGTGAGCAAATCGGCCAAGAAAGATGGTCCCAAGCGTCCCCCGCCTAAGGAACAAAAGAGCAAGCCCCGGACTGCCAACGAAAACTTGAAGAAAAAGAAGAAGAGAGTATACACCGAGAAGGAGCTGGATTTGCCTGAATTGAACCAGATCACACCTGTCGGAGTGATCAAGCCCAAGGGCAAGAAGAAGGGCAAAACCTTCGTCGATGATGCAGTATGTTTTGCCTCTCATACTCTGTTCTCTTGATTGCACTCTATAGATGTCTGACACTAACACTATCGCGTACAGGAGGGCATGATGACAATTCTCGCCATGGTGAACGCCGAGAAGGAAGGCCAGATCGAGTCCAAGATGATGAAGGCACGTCAATTAGAAGAGATCCGCGAGGCGAAGAGGGCCGAGGCCGAGGCCCGCATGAAGGAAAGGAAGAACAAGTTTGATGATGTGAAGGATTCCATCCGCCAAAAGAAGAAGGGCAAGGGTGGCGACAAGGCCGCAGAGCCCACGAGTATCAAGGATAGTATCTCGAAGCCCGGGCGATCAAAGAAGAAGACCGTTGCATTTGCTTGAAAAAAAAAAAGTCTGAATATTTGTGTCTATATTTTGATTATGTATTTAGATGTCGGGGTTCGGCGTTTTCACCGGTTTATCAATCTATGTCTATCGGAACAGAAACATCATTTTGCCAAACGATACACCGAAAATGGTTCCCCCATTGTAAACCATGAATGACCTGTCGCTTTCGAAAAGGTGATTGTAGCAGTTGGTTGAGAGGGCAGAATGCTTGAGGGGCCAATTACAGCCCTAAAGGTAGTGCGAGTTTGCGTCGCATCGAGACGAATTCAGGCTTAGGTGCCGTGTCCGGCTCTTTGTTGGCACCAATGTGGCTGGCAATATTTCCAGGGAGTCTTTCGGGGTGTTCAACAACTCCAGGGATACTAGTGTCGATTTCCCTTGCCATTTTGTTCAAGAAGTTTGTCACCTGAAGGAAAGTTAGTAGGTTCATTTCCGATGCCAATGGCCAATTGCGAGTACATACCGGCTTGACAAACCACCTGGACCCTCCAAGCTCGAACCAGCCCAGATGACCACCCCACGATGTAGTCAACATGACTCCGTATGGCGTTTGAGTCATTTCCTGGTAGGGCAGAGCCTCTTGGCAAGCAATCTAATAAAGTCAGCGATGTTTTCACGGTTGTGGCAGGCTTTCATAACCTACAGGATCATCCTCTGCTTGAATGCTAAGGAAAGGAATCCTGATAGCGAGCATGGAATCGGTGGAAGTGGCATCACGGTAATAGGCTCCCTCGGTGGGGTAGCCCCAGGTCGGACATTGCAGAGCTCTGTTTCATGTTAGATCGGTATTCATTTTGCTATGCAGAATGCATTCTTCTTACCGGTCGAACTCGTGGAGGTAGGTAATGTTTCTTATCGCATCGACGTCGATGCGAGGATTTTTAGAGACTTGGTCAACATGCCTGTTTTCCAGGTGGTTAGTTAATTTGACACATAAGTCGAATAGACAGGTACTCACGCCTCAAAGAGCTTCTTCATACTTGTCCCCATGGTTCTGCTGTATACCTCCTTCCCAATCCAGGTACTTTGCAGAACCATAGAGCTAACATCCAAGTTCCACGGGCTCGCACAAATCACGGCTGCCTTCAACTGGCAGGCGTCGCCTTCCTCTCCCAGATACTATACAGTTTGTCAGTGGGAAGTACAGACAGTCAGTTTTGCAGGGGAATCATACATTAGTGAGGATGTTGGCACCGAGTGAGAAGCCAATTCCAAAAAGAGGGCGATTGGGGAATTGCGTCCTGAGCCACTTGACAGACTGGCGAACATCCCAGGTAGCTCTGGCATTGTAGAGAACACCGGTACTGATATTTGTCTCCGCACATCCTCTCGAATTGACAACACATGCTTCCCACGCGCCATCTTTCACAAGCGGTGCCAGGACTTCCCGCAAGTATATTTCATGGGAACCACCACTTAGACCGTGAAGAAGGACAAGCATGGGCTTGGTGTCATCTGAGGGCAACGCCGCAAACTCTTCCTGAGAGAAAAACGATGTGCGTGACGGCATACCAGACTTTTGGGTATACTTTCTCGCTTGATCAGTAAGCTCCGGGTCTTGAGGCATGTCGTACGGTGCGACCACAAAATCCATGGCATAGTGGCCTGTGAATGCGGGGCTATCCGACTCGAACATTTTACGTTTGTAGTAAACGGGAACATTGTCCTGTTTCAAAGTGGTCCAGCACGTCTGTAAGTGCCCATTGAACAAGAAAGGGTTTAGGTTGCATGTCTCTGGTGTTGCAGACCGACAGACATCCACGAACGTGGTTTGTTCCTTAGCACCTGCGGCACCGGGAACTTTGGTCAAAGTCAACCTATTGTCCTTGGCATGATGGAAGGCTATGCGGCCCTTGGGACGAAGCCATGAAATCAGACCCATGGCGATCAGCCCGGATAAGAGGGCTGATAGGGGAAATGAATTCAGAAGAGTTGAGATGAGATCGAGCATGAGGGTTATCTAAAAAATGTTGAAACTGAGTAAAGGGACAAATCGATCTCCCAACGAAAGTCGCTCAACTTCTATATGCAAAAGAAAGAAAAAGAACTTGAAGAGCATGTAAAAATCCAAAATAGGTGATCCAAGGATCCACGCCAACTCTATCGATAACAGATTGGACCTCGGCAAAAAAGTTATGTTTAGATTTTCCGCCAAGCCACTGGGCCATATTCTACGTGGATCCTTCCAAGGTTGGTTCAATGTGACTAAGCCCATTTTTATGCCACTGCACGTGATGCATATAGTTATGCACATTTTGTCAGGTGATCAGAGCCTCACGTGATTAGTCATCATTATGAGGCCCCGCCTGGGCGAGCTGCCCAGGTGCACGGGCACACCTGATAGCATGCGGGCTATTTTGTCATACGCCAGCAGTCAGTTGACAATGTCATAGCGCGTGCAAGGCCTGAGCTCAGATTTCAAGCAGGAAACACTCCTTATCTAGTGCAGTCAGGAGAAGTTGGGGACATTCCGCCGAATACGAAGTGATGATGATATGATGCTCAATGCGGCAATCTGTTTTCCGCATGCGGAAGCCCTAAATTCACTTCCGGCATGAAGCACAGGGAGAAATCCCCATGTCTTCCGACAATAGCAATGTCCTTCTTAAAACTGACCAAGATAAATGTAGGGTGAGAAAGTTGAAATATCCGGTGCTCTGCATCTGGATCATCAGACAAAGAACGGGCTGAGCCACCAACGATCAGTTCCTCTTCTTTATATGTAATGCTGATAGCATTAGCACCCATCTTTTGTGACCCAGTCCCATGGTCCGTTTCCGGGAATCTTTATCTTCCAGCAGACTATTTCAAGGAAAGGATCCATACCTTCTCTCTTTTTCCTTTAAAGGTGATGCAGCACTGTTCGTCACACGATGCGCTTGATCTCTACTACAACATGATAGTAACTGTCGAAACGCCACTATCCAGCTTGTTGATTCACAAATAACTCATGAGGCCTGGTCACCAAACGCCTTTGAACGACCTTTGATTCAAGCACTCATGACTTTAATAATAAGAAAGTCCCCGTCCGACATGTCCGATCGTGTACACCGCGCCACAGAAAAGTTTAAGACCATGATCAAAATGAGAACCTGGTCCCAAAAACGAGCGAAGCAGCAACAGGAGAATGGCCATGGTCGTTGCTACCTAATGGAATTACCCACCGAGCTGTTGTTGGAGATCATATCCCATCTGACAGTGCTACCGGAGGCTGCATTTGCGCTAACCAACAAGCGCATGTTCGCAATATCTGGAGAGATCCTTCTCTCGAAATCCCTCCGATTCAGTCGGGATTTTGCGCCGCTTTTCCACCATTACCGCAATGGACATAACTTCGTCACACCACGGTGGTCATTCCTCAACCTGTTGGAAAATTCCCGCTGGAAATTATGCTCCAAGTGCTTGAAACTCCACCCTCGGGCCGCATTTTCATCCAGAGAGCTGAGGCGGAAGCCAGAGAGTCGAACATGCAATGTTGGAGAGTTAGCAGGGGTTGTCGACCTGTGCCCATGCAAGAAATTAACTTTCCGCGACAAACTTGACCTCGCGGACCATGTCAGAGTGCGGCAGGCGACGCTGCAACCCTTGAAGTCAAAATTCGGGAACGCGGTTGACGACCGCTACTGCTGGCATACATGCACCGAGCAGTATGGCCCAACCGAGTTGACGACATCTTTGTTCCCAGAAATCAATGCTGACAATCAGCTCGTTCTTCGCACGGAATACCAACTCACCACTGAGTCGGGCCAGGTTGGCAAGGAAGATTATATGACACCACGCTTCGGATGTGCACATCGGTCGGTTGACCTGTGGGTCTCGAGCGTCCATCAAACCACTATATGCCGCCTCTTTGACTCATTCTGCTCGTCTTGCAAGCGTATATCAGTCTGCAGTGCGTGCAATACGACGTTGACATGTCCACGGAAAGCACCATTCCATTCAGAAAAGTCTGGCAAAGCTACATATTCATTCTGGACGCAAAGAAGCCTCGGTGGGACGGGTCCAGCTCCTGATCCGGCCTGGGGAGCACAAAGAATTCATCCAGCTGAACCTTCAGTCAGTGTTGAAAACTGTAACGAGTTGTGTCCTTGGACAGTGCGCGAGCACCCAGCGCTCTCATTCGCGCCGAGTATAGAACAGGAAATTATCGATTCTGGAATAGGTAATTCACCCATCAACCAACTGTACACATACATCAACATGGTTTAACGGATTTGTTCAGCTGCAAGAGAGGCCTTGGGGGCTTTAGCAGGATCATGAGGAGTTTGTGGGCCAATTGGCGTTCATTTCTTCGTTTCCAACCTTGTCAGTATATATTGTATAGTGAGCGCTCTTTCAGCGTGTTAGATTGGTTTTTGGTTAGCATCAAGTATCTAGGCATATTCATAATAATTCAACCATTCAGGCAAGAAACGGCCACCTTTTTAGTGGCTCTTCCCTATATTGCGTTGATATCTTTGTAACGTCCTTGTTGGAACGCTTTGGATATATATTTTTCATTGTCTTAACCAAGTATCATATTGACCAAGAGCACAACTCAAAACAGAAAGGAAAACCAATATTGCAAATCATCAAAGAAGACGACTTTACAATGGATTTTCAGATGTAGAGAACATTTGAAGCCTACATGTACCTCGATGCAGAAGAGTCGAGGTACCTAATCGCAACATCTCTTATCAGCTGACCGCCCTGGGGTTTCTCCGGACCGACACGATCCACGCTCACTATCTCGCGCGTTCGACTTCGTACTCGATTCATACGAGTATTGTCTGTTTCTCGGGGCGATGAGCTTCCCACCACCTGGTTCCGGCCAATACCCGCATTATCTACCGCCGCCACCATATCAACACGGGCAAATTCCCCCGCAGATACTATACAATAATGCCCATCCTCTGCCGCCCCCATACGATGCCTATGGCAAACCAGCAATGTATCCTTCGGCCATGACCCCATATCCTCCATACCGATCGACATACACTCCACAGCCGCAGCAGCAACAGACGCGTCCTCCTCCGCAGACTCCCCCGCAGCAGCCGCTCCAATTACCACCACAAGCTCTCCAACCACGGCCGCAGCCAGGATCACAGCCAGGACCACAGATTCTCCCTCAGCTACAATCGCCCCCTCAACCTCAGCCGCCAGCTCCCCCTCCTCCGCCTCCGCCTCAAATCCAACAAGAAGAGCTGCAACATCAGTTTGTCAACCCGGCTCAATTGTTTGTACAACAACCTCTGCCTACTGCTCCACGATCCCGATACACCCAACTCTCTCCTCAGTATGGCCAACCGCCGTCCGCCCCGAGCGCTAGCCCCTCCCAAATGGCACCGGCTACTTCGCCAGCTCCGCCGCCAGTCATGTCTGTTCATGTTGCTCCTGCCCCGCCTCCTATTAGTCCTAAACCAAACACCCAAAACAACCAAGGACAAGCCAATATCCATACACCGCAAACACAGCCTATCATCAAATCCGAACCCCCGCCAGCCAAGATCTCTCCCAAAGTAGAGCCTCAGAAAAAAGTTTCTACGCCTATTGCAACGCCGAAACCCATTACGACACCGAAACGACCCCAGCCTGCTCCATCGCCGGTGACACATGCTACTCCGCAAGTTATGATCGCAGCTCCTTCCCCGGTTGTTCAAGCGAGAATTCAAAACCAGACTCCGCAGAAGCAACCCCAACCACAGCATATTGAAAAGAAGAGACAGCTGTCTCAACCAAATGCCGAAAAGCATGGGAAGCTCACGCCTGCCAAGTCTACGAAGCCTCCAGTCGACTATCAGGTTCTGCTATTGTCCTTGGCCGATGAATATCTAAATGCTGCCCATGCTCGCGGAACAACAACCTCATTGACCGCTCGTGAGACGGACGTCGAGGAATATTACAAGCTGGTTGCTACTGGATTGGGCTGTTTGGAGGCTGTCTTGAAGGTTGGTGAACCTCTCCGTTGGAGAAATTCTGTGCCCATGCTAAGCAAATGATATGATAGAATTGGCGATTGCAACCTCGTAAAGAAGCTCTTGTTAGACTTCGATATGCGCGTACATTGTTCGAGGAGACAGACAATGACATCGAAGCGGAAACAGCATTGAGTAAAGGGGTGTGTATTTGTTTCCCTCCTCGGCTCTAGAAATGCCCGCTAACTTGACACAGATCGATCTTTGTGAACGAGTCAGTCAACAGAAACTTGATAGTGTGTTTGTTTAATCTCTGACTGTTATAGAACCGTATGCTTGACTTGAAATACAGCATGCAGCACCTCTTGGCACGAATGCTCCACAAGAGTAACCCTAAAGCTTCTTTGAAAGCGGTCGATGGGATGATCCAGGATGTGGAAGCGTATGTGCCACTCCACTTTCTTTGGCCTCGGGATGCTAATAGCTATAGGTACCGCCATGCCGCATGGGAGTACGCGTTTCGTTTCCTTCGAGTATCACTCTCGTTGTCATCCCCGTCACACCAAGACTCCGTGCAAGCGTTACAGCATCTTCACAAAATCACGGCGATGGCTAGTCGTAACGGGGACAAGGCTGTTTCAGCAATGGCAGCTGTCATCGAATCACTTGCACACTTGCAGCAAGCGACGAATTCCGATTCTATCGAGCAGGCACAGCGCGCCGTGGCTGCCGCGCGAAGCCATCAACTGAATGATGAACTTCGCCATATACCTCAACTTACAACCTTGATTCAAATGGTCGATATCTGCTGCAGTCTTCTAGAGTACGACGTCAACCAGTCTGGACAGAAGTTGAAGGTCATGCAGGCTCTGATGGACGAAACACTGAGCGACAGCAACTGGCGTCCTGATGGGTCATTTTCAGTCCCTCTCAACGGTAAATCCGCCGGGCCGTCATCCATCGACACAGGTGACATCTTGCAGGTTCAAAATGGGACATTGCTATTAAGCTTCAACTGGCTTCCTCAGCACGATCTTTATGCCCTTTGCTATTTCCTAAGCTCGATCACGCTCAGTGCCAAGAACTCATATGATGGCCGAAAAGCAGAGAAATATCTCGAGGAAGGGCTTCGAATGGTTCAAGGCAATTTCAAGGCCCCCCAAGAAATTCCAGAATCCATGGCCAATGCCAACCGTCGGGTTCAGTGGCGTCAGTCTCTTTACTGCAACCTTCTCCTCCAACGAGTTTTCCTGGCTTGCGCTCGAACAGATTGGGATCTTGCCAGCCAAACTCTCAACGACCTTCGACAAGTCTTCCAGGAGCTTGGTTCCAACCTTCCGGACACCATCGAATGTCTGATGGAATATGCCAGCGGCACCATCGCACAGGCAACTGGCGACCTGGACGCCGCACTGAACATATTCCAATCACCAATTCTGTCACTAGACCCGGCTACCAGCAAGACAGGACGCAACGATCCCTGTCGTGATACGCGCATACTCGCCGGTCTCAATACAGTCCTTATTCTCCGTGATCCAAGTCACCCGTCGCACTCCCTGCTCACCGCTGTTCTAGCAACCCTCGAACCCTTCTGCCAAAGCAGTCCAAACAAGTATATACAGGCTGCGTACTTCCTGGTCTGCGCAACTGTTCACTCCGAGTCAACCATCCAAACAAAACAATACCTTCAGCAAGCTCTGCAGTCTGCCACAGCAATCAGCAACAGCCAAATCACCTGTATGACCTTAACATTCATGAGCTGGAAGTACTTCCGCGGCGTGGTCGGTGAGCAAGCTGAGAAAAGCGCTCGAGCCGGTCGTGCAATGGCCAAACGAGCCAATGACCGTATGTGGGCGAGCGTCACTGACGACATGCTGGCTGAGACTCTGGAGCGACAGGGCAAGGGCGAAGAAGCACAGGGTGTCCGTGAGGAAGGCCAACGCCTGGTCTCGGGTCTTCCGCCCCGTTTGAGGCGTTCCGCCTGATTGGCTTTTGTCTATTGCTATAAACATGATATATTTTTTTTTGACGTCTTCCGCTTTGGCGTTTGTTGCGGAACTGTTCCTAGGGAGGCGCTCGTTTATGATACCATTTGATGGCCACCAGGGAAGGCGTTTGATATTTTCTGCGATTATTGACACGGGAATGCGAGCCGGTAAATGATATTATCGGCGAATCAAGAGATACCATTCGATACCCTAAGCACAGAAGTTTACCTAGTGGCATGTAGGAATCGTCGACTTGAAAACAGTGATAGGATTCAGCTCGGGGCGTATATCACACCACCCTTGGAAGATCATGAGTTGCTTCGCTCCCTATAAAAAAAAGAACATGAACACCCGACATCCATGCTAATGTACAAACACTATGGTATAGACCAGCCTGCAGCCACAGACACAAGCTCCACCAGCCGAAGCTGGACGAAGCATCGAAAAACATAACAAGGACAACAGCACCCGCCGAAGTCAACTCCATACCCACAATACGCCAGCAATGTCCGCTGAGACCCTTCTCCTCATCCACAGGAGAAAGCCACCATCCCACCGCGAAATTAATATTAAACTTGAAACCGCAAAAATCGAAACAGGCAATGTGGACAGCTCAACCAAGCCCTGCCCAGGCGCCGCGAATTCTCCGCGCAAGCTGGATATCCTTCTGCATAATAGTTACGCGCTTCGCGTGCAGCGCGCATAGATTCGTATCCTCGAAGAGGTGGACGAGGAAAGCTTCAGCGGCCTCCTGCAGAGCTTGGATGGCATGCGACTGCCAGCGCAACTCGGCGCCGACGTCGGCGGGGAGGAGATCGAGCGCGACTTCGCGGACTAAGCGCGCAAAGGGAAGTTTAGCGATGAGTAGGTCGTATGAGCGTTGGTAGCGGCGGATTTCCTTCAAAGCGACGGTGCCGGGCTTATAGCGGCGTCGGCGGCCTGTGGGGGTTGGGTCTCCGGCTAGGGCATTGTTAGAATGGAGGGATTGAGTCTGGTTGGGGAATTGCACAAGTAGAGTTGTGTAAGGCGCTCATTGTGGTGGTAGTGGGAGGGTAGGACGTACGTTGGACGTTGGCGGTGGTCTTTGCGACTTTTGATTGCTTTCCTCCCTTCGTCTTCTGTGCTTTGGTTGGTGTTCCATCGGCGGCGGCCGGCGCAGCGGCTGTCTTGCGCGCTTTGTTTTTTTGTGCGCTGTCTGGTGCTGTCTTGCTGGCTAACTTGGGTGGCATTGTGGTAGAGGAGAAACGCGCTGTGTGGTTTTTTTTGGTAGTGGGGTGTTCGACAGCGATCAATTGGGAGGTTTATCGCCTAGCAACCAGTGCCCTGCGAATTGCCGCGTTTGTGTCGAGATTGCCCCCTTGCAGGAACTGTGCTCGAGTATCGAGGGGACTTGAGGCTTGCGCACGATCAACTGGAGGGATTGGGATTCAAAACCGTATCTGCTAATAATTAGACAGTCTTTGTTGCGAAGGCTGAGGGAGCTGTCAATATGAACTATTCCGGCCTTAGCGTCCCAGCCCCCGTGATTCTCACGTAAACACGCGTCTCGTGTCTGGCACGTGACGATAAACTGGTCTACCTGGTCTTATCTCCGTCATACGTTGTACCCCGGAGGCCACTTGGAGAGCTCTTAGTGCTCGTGGTGATCATCCGCCCTTACTCCCGCTTCTCTCTGATTTCCGTTCTCCATCAGAAAGTTACAACTTCCCCACATCATGGCCGCCCTCTGGGAGAACAATGGGCAACCAGGCCAGTTTCCCCTCGAACAATGGTTCTATGAGATGCCACCCGTCACCCGGTGGTGGACGGTAGCCACCGTCGCAACCTCACTCTTGGTGCAGTGCCACATCGTGACCCCATTCCAGCTGTTCTACAGCTTCCGCTCTGTGTACGTTAAATCGCAGTACTGGCGACTACTCACGACATTCCTCTATTTCGGGCCCCTCAATCTCGACTTAATATTCCACGTCTTCTTTCTGCAGCGCTACTCACGTCTCTTGGAAGAAAGCTCCGGCCGCTCCCCAGCCCACTTCGCATGGCTGATCTTCTACGCCATGACAACTCTCCTTATCATCTCGCCTTTCCTCTCAATACCCTTCTTGGGAAGCGCGCTTTCCTCCAGCTTGGTCTACATCTGGGCCCGGCGCAACCCAGACACCCGTCTCAGTTTGCTGGGATTGCTGGTCTTCACTGCTCCTTATCTGCCCTGGGTACTGATGGGATTCAGTGTGATTGTGCATAAGATCGTGCCGAAGGATGAGATGCTCGGTGTTGTCGTCGGTCATATCTGGTACTTCTTCAACGATGTCTACCCACCCCTGCATGGTGGCCACCGTCCGTTTGACCCACCGCGCTGGTGGCGGCGTCTGTTTGAGCCTGCCCCTGGACCTAATGAGCGCGCGACTGATGCGGCTAATGTGAACCGCGAGTTTGTGGCTGCAGCGGCGCCCGAGGTTCGATGAGCCATGTTCTTATTGATAAAGCGTGGCTTTTCCAGAACGGAATCCCGAGCTTCCTTGTGGCATCGAACGGAAATTGAAATCTAGACCCTGTTCCATGAAAGACGGGACTCACTGGTATAAGTAGAGTCCAGGGTGCAATGGGTCCGATCCCGACCTTGATCTCTGCTGAAAACTCGCGCATCGATATCAAATCTGTGAACCATGTAGGGGAGAGGGAAGCTGGAAGCCAGCTAATCTCTTGGTGACGCTTTTCATCTAAGTCACACCGGATGAGAGCATTCGACATTATTCAACAAGTTTCGCATGAGACACGGATTGAACATGGAAACTGGCGGTCACGTTAAGACAATCTCCAAAAGTGGCACAACGGAGGCTATGGAGCGGTCTGTCTGAAGCAGCTCCCTTTTATCTGATAATGTGGAATGTTGCCATTTGGCCCAGTCCGCTCGACGTGATCTAAAAGAAGCAAGGATCAGGACTTGGTTTTCGTTTGTGTTTAAAAGAGCGACAGCGTGCATGGTTTTTCCTTTACATTGGAATAGCCACAGATACCCGAATTATTTTTCATTTCACTGCTGTACCGCTTAGAGCTGCATGCAGACGGAGACCTTAAGATGACGACATGTATCGTATCAAACCGCCATGACCTCCAAGTGCGGAGAGCATTTGTCCCTCGCAAACTCAAATGTACCCCTGTTTGTTTACTTTCACATGCGTTATAGTATAAAATAAAGTAAAACACTGTGTGCATGCATTACCAGCCACTATCAAAATTCACAGAAGGCAACGCATGATCGTACTATCCTTCGGTATGCCAAGTGAATTACAGGACTGCACAGCCTCGATCTTGCATATGCATATGCATAGGTAGTACTCCGTATCGGCAGCACAATACAATGTACAGAGTATGTAGTCAGACTAGTCATCTCACCTGGGCATAGCGACAAGTGCTCAATTATTATTAGAAAGAGCTGTCCGCAATACCCGTGGACGATGGAGGATCACGTCAGACCAAGGCTACCGCGAGGCTGTGCGAGTATCTTGTTCATCGTCCATTGTTTGTGGCGCTCAGCGCCCAGCGCCCCGTGCATTTCATGTATCGGCCCCATATTTCAGTACAGACCAATATGGTGCTATGCAGCGCTTTAATTAGGGGGCCCCGGGCCCTATCCGCCAAGCTGAGGAACAGCCACGTATATCATAGCAAATGTCTGTGCAGTAATACATGTATATTTGCCATGCACAAAGAACCTTGATAACCAATGCATCTGCTATAAGGTAGATAATCATAGAGTATAACTTGGAAAGTGTTAGACGCGCACTGCGGGTTAATATCAGATTTGTACCGAAAGAGTAATTCATCACCGTTTTTAGCGCCCACATCCCGCTGTGATAAGCATGGCACGGCAGGCGATCTGCGCAATGCCTGTACTTTATCACAGCGGGTATTAGAAGGGATAAGTGGTGTAATGGACATTGGAAAGTGATTTATATATACGGAATGCGGAGTACATACGTATGCAGGCTATATTATAGAGATGTATGATGTACGTTGAAATTAAAGGTTGAGGCAAGAATCACGCACGTCACATCCGTCGCTGATCTCAGAATGGAAACCCGGAGAAGCTTGAGTGCCGATCTTGGCTGGTGGCTGATGGTATGCTATGACGAGGGATAGGCACCCGAGTTAAAGGTTCAATCGATATACAACGTGGTGAACCGTGGGTTATAAGGTGGATTTGCCATTTGGGTGGTGTTGTGACCAGAACTCGTTGACGATTATGGGTCTAGTGGAGTGCTGTCTGACAGTTCCCATGGTAATGGATTAGCTACCAATCATTAATTCTAGGTGTACAGCTGATAGATTTATTTAAGAGGTTTCATTGGTTGGAATATTCTAATGTTGCACCTCTCCATATCCATTCAATACACCGAGGACGGAGTACGAATACGACTGAGACCGATGATGGGGGCAATGGAGACCTCGAATCGCACCGTGCACGCACCGTCCTGTGGCACGCGGTGGCGGTTCACTTGGCAAATCGGTGCCAATTCCTTCCTCTTGTGCGGGAACGACCTTGGCCGAGGCTGTGGCCAAGGCGTCCAAGGCTGGTTCTTTCATTTTACGCGTGGGATTAGGATTCATGAAGGATGTACTCTGTAACATATAGTGTCATAACTAAAATTGTGCTTATCAAAGGCCTACGTGTAATCCACGCCACGCTTGTGGCGGTAGCGAAAATACATGTACAATATTCTATACCGAATATGTAAGCGGAGAAGTATCAGTGGATGAATTATGGTTAAACCTTCGTGCTCCGTTAATTAACCCAACTAGTAAACCTACCTAGGGTAAGTTAACAAACCTTCCAAGCGACTAGCAAATGCAAAGTCCCACTAGCCTGGGGTTGAGAAAGGTACTGGTAAAGTACATGCTTAAATAGGACTAGTTCAATACACTGTTCTCACGTTGGCGTGGAGATTTTCTCCACGGCAGTATATTTACAATACGATGACGAGTCCTTGCGCCAAACTTAGATTCTCTTAGCGTTGATATCCTTTCATACTTACTTCTAGCAGCTATATATGTAGTGCATATTAGATTATATGGATAATATTTCAAGATATAATCGAAGTAATATTGAATCTAAGTCACAATCCAGCACCTACCTGTACTATCTGTATACAATTTTGGTGTTTTTCATTGAAAAGGAAAAAAGGTTAAAAAATTCCCCTTAGTTGCCCCACTGATAACCCACCAATCAGAACACGACCAAGCCGCTTAATCTTGGAACCACACCCCTCTCTGCTCAGCCTCCCGTAATGTTCTCAACAGCTTTTGTCCCTTCCCAAGGTCGGCGTATCGTATTTTCCCCTTCGTCGCCTCCCCTTTTTTTTTGCCTCAGGATTTCCCAATTTTTTTAACGCTCCCCGAGGTCTCTCCTTTCCTTCTTTAGATTTAGTCTCCCCACTCCCGTCACTCCTTATTGTCGTGAACTTAGTCTCCCCTTTTTTACATACTCTTTTCTCTTCCTTTTATCGTCTACTATTATCCCGATTCTTATGACCGTTGCATTTTCGTACAGCTTTTGACTTATCTACGGCCTGAGGGTCTGTGAAAAAACCACTCTTAATACGACTTTTAACGACTTAAAAACGAATTATTGGGGTTCAATTGGTCGCCTGTTTAATTGGTGTCTTTCGCCTTCGCCTTCACCATGCGGCGCGGTCTCTTCATCTTCCTCCTCGTCAACCTCATTATCCTCTCCTTGCTCGTCCGTAGTGTCTCGACGCTTCTATCGCTACTAGTCGAAGATGCCGCCGCCGACGCTATACACCGCGCCGAGCTGCCCTCGCCGAATTCAAGCCTGATCGAGCAGCGCCCCCAGATTATTCCGAAGATTATTCACCAAACATACAAGAATGAGACTATTCCCGAGGTCTGGGTAGAAGCCCAACAGAGTTGCATTGACTTGCACCCGGATTATGAATATATTGTACGTCCATGGTCCCCACCCGATCTGTCTAATTCGAGATTCCTAACGTGCGTCATTAGCTCTGGACAAATGAGAAATCGCGTGAATTTATCGCCGCCGAATACCCTTGGTTCTTGGACACATTCGATGGCTACAGTTATCCTATTCAGCGCGCGGATTCTATTCGATACTTTATCCTTGCACACTTCGGTGGAACATACATTGACCTGGACGACGTGAGTATACCCTCGGGAGACAATTGCGTTTCGTTTCTAACATCAAATAGGGCTGCAACCGTCGCTTGGATCCTCTTCTGGCTTATCCCGCCTGGGTACGCCGTACTGCCCCCACCGGTATCTCCAATGACGCCATGGGTTCCGTACCGCAACACCCATTCTTCCTCCGTACAATTGAAGTACTGCAACAATACGACCGCCACTGGCTCCTCCCGTACATAACGGTCATGTACTCAACTGGACCACTGTTTCTGTCTGTCATTTGGAAAGAGTACATGCGCGAAGGGCCGAGCGATGCTGGACGCGTGCGCATCCTCATGCAGGACGAATATAACAGGTTTTCTTGGAGTTTCTTTACCCACCACCGGGGTAACAGCTGGCACGGCAAGGATGCGCACTTGATCTTCTGGGTAGGTGACGAGTCTGGTATCGAAATTCTGAACAATGCTAATATCTCGCAGATGGGTCAACATTGGCTGTTCCTCACTGTCTGCGGCTTCCTCATCGCCGGAGTCGTTGGATTCTGCCTCTGGTGGACCTACGGACGTGTCATGCTCCTGGGAGCCAAGTACCGCTACCGCTACTCCAAGGTGCCAAGTATTATCAGCCCGTCGCGACTTTCGATGTCGCCAACGCGACGCTCGCGCCTTTCAGTCCCGACAATCCTGCGACGCGTCAGCTTCAAAGAAGACGAAGAGGCAGGCGGGGTCACGGAGACCTCGTACGAACTTGGACGTCGCGATGACTAGAGATCTAGAGATTGACTTCTCGACTCGCAACTTCGCTATTTTACAGCTTGTGTATTTGTCTGTAACGATACGCCCTCGGACATGATCTCTGCATCAGCATTTATTGTACAACTTTTGCTCTTTCTTTCTGTGTTTAGGAGCGCATAATGCATGGTGTCTCAATCCTGTGACGGGATCCTGGATTGAATGCTCACCTGGAGCAATTGGGTTTGCTTTTGGACATGTGTGCAGACCCCTGTCTGTGTCTTGGTCTTGTCTCGCTGTCCCCTATTTTTATTTATTATTTTTTCCTATTGATTTGTAAACAAGTTAGATTTCGCTTCTCGGGAGACAGTGGAATTATATGGACAGCCTCTATGCACTGGGATCAGATATCTCCGAGGGAATGATGAATCAATAATGCCTTTCAACTATTTCAAGTATAAAAACCAAAGTAGAGAACTAGAATTATCCGTACGGAGTACACTGTCTTAAATCCCTGGGAATCTGATACGTCAACCCAAAATGTAACCCTAATTTGATCCCTCCAATGACAACACTGTGCCTTGCATTACTACACAAGCTTTTTAAATGCTCCTATCAAGTCTAGCACTTTGGTCCTTTTAACAGTAGTTTACTTCGTAGCATGTTCTTTTGCTAAAGTCATCTTATCATTTGGTGTTCTTCCTTGATATTGGCCTCTGCCGTCATCTAACATACTTCATTCCACGTCCAGCATTCTCCGCGTCTAACCTACAATGTACATACTGACAATGGGTATCTTACGCCTCCCCTTTGTATGTTCCAGCTGCCTTGGACAATGCAAGCCCTTCTTCCATACCCCTTCTGCCTCTAACAGACATGTTCGAGGACTTATAAAGATGTTCTGCTGTGCAGCTCTGTAGCTCCATAAAACCAAGATCCTTTCTATACTATCCCTCTATAACAACCATTCATTCATCCTTGAATCTTTGACCCTTTACTCTTGATCCCTACATGATATAGTTACCCGTTAACTTATCACCCATTCATACTATACCCGCATCCACCCACAATCTACAAAATGCACCTCCAAACCCTCCTCCTCTCCCTCACCCTAACCCTCACCATCCAAACAACCGCAACACCAATCCCAATCTCCCTCTTCACCCGCGACACCGCCCTAACAGAATCCCAGCTCATCACTATCGCCCCCTCATCCAAGTCCTGCGCAAACGCCCCAGCAGAAGGCGAATGCGCCACAGCAAAACAAGCCGCCAAGTTCACCTCCCAATCTTTCGACACGTACAAAGTCACCTCGAAAGCAGAACAAGCAGCCATAGTCAGCTTGATGGCTTTTGAAACCGAAGATTTCAAATATAACAAGAATCATTTCCCCGGCGTTGCTGGGCAGGGTAGTAAGTTCAATCCAGCCCTAATTCTACCTACATCCACACCCACATCCAACTATACATGCATACAACCCCCTTCCTTCTTTATTTTTAACGATATATGTGCATACTAACAATCCTTTAGCACGCAACATGCAATCCCCAGCCTTTAACAAAAAATACGCCTCGTCCCTACCTGAACTGAAAGACAAACTTCCCAGCGTCAGCAACAGCCCGGAAGAGCTACTAGATCTCCTGCGCAGCGATAGTGCTACGGACTTTGGTTCTGGTGCTTGGTTCTTGACTACGCAGTGCTCGAAGGATGTGCGGACTGCGCTTGCTGATGGGTCTGAGACCGGGTGGCAGCGTTTCATCTCGGATTGTGTTGGGACTTCTGTTACTGAGGAGAGGAGGGAGTATTGGGAGAGGGCTGTTGAAGCGATTGGTGTTTAGATTGTGCTTTTGAATTTGGGAGTTGGAGTTATGGTTATTGTTATGGTTCGGTTTTGTTCTCGGGGCTGGTTCTTCGATGGCGTTGAGTCTGTTCGGCGGGTTGGATATTTGATATTTGATACTTGATGATTGATGGTTTACGGTATAGGTTTACGGTATATAATAGAAATGAAGTTCAAAAGATCGGTCTCATTGCGTTTCATTTCATAGCCAGCCAACGACTGCACCGCTCTATAATGAATACTATGTAATAAGTAAACCACTCCACTGTATATCCATCTCACATCATTCATAACAACAAATTTATATCTACATACCCAAACCCTTACAAAACACCCTTAGTACTAACAACATCACCCGCACCAACATCACCCGCAATCCTACGCTTACAAGCATTGCGAATAGCAACAGCAAGCGCCTTAAACGCACTCTCCGCGCGGTGGTGGTCATTATCACCATAAGTGCAACCAACATGCAACGTAACACCCGCCGCCTGCGCAAAACTCTGCAATCCATGCGTGATCATCTCCGTGCTCAAGTCACCGATCTTCTCGCGTCGGAAGCCCAAGTTAATAACCGCCCACGGCCGACTCGAGAGATCAATCACGGCCCACGAGAGCGCCTCGTCGAGAGGTGCGTCGCCGCGACCGAATCGCTCCAGGGATTGTCGTGCGCCCAGGGCTGCTGTGAAGGCTTCGCCCAGTGCGAGGAAGGTATCTTCTGTTGTGTGGTGGTCGTCGACTGCGTGGGTTAGCATTGGACCTGGCATTGACATTTGTATTTATGGTTTTCCGTGCTCAGGGGAGCTCACTGTATAAATCACCCTTCGCCCGAACTGCAAGACTCATCCCGCCGTGCTTCGCGAGTGCGTGCAGCATGTGGTCCAGGAACCCGATGCCGGTGCTGATGGTGATTTGCTGCGTTGGGGTGAATTGGGTCGCGTGGCCGGCATCCTTGGGTGGTACGATTCCTTTCTTGGAGGCTTCGAGTTCTTGGGGGTCTGTTGGGGCGGGGAAGTGGGTGGATGGTTCGTAGGGTGGGAGGACGCCGCCGTCTAGGGAGAGGGAGATTTGGATTTTGGTCTCGTTCGTGGACCGGGAGAGGGTCGCTGTGCGGGCGGGGAGGGGCATTGTGTGTTTAGGGATTTGGTGTAGGTCGAATTGACAATTGGATTGAGTCGGTGTTTGGACGGAGTCGATGGTTGATAATCGGGTTTCTTTTTTGTATGACTCGTCCGCTGGAGAATCGTTGATCCGCACTTTAAGTATAACCTTGGAAGATACGCAAGACCTCAGGTTTGCAAGTTTTAAGACACTGGCTGGTCCAGGCTTTTATTCTCAACGTCCTGGATTGTCTACGATTGTAATTGTGGTCTGAAACAGACGTCTTTGGCTGTCTTTACTTTGTTTATCGTCTCGAACTCGGCCTCGATAAGAACCGACATCTATCTCAAATCCTTCCCAAGCCGACTTGCCCCTCTCGTTCGCCAAACACTTACGACTGTACATACCAGAATGCCAGCACCATCCGACCACAGGAGCGATGTCGCACCCCCAGAGGAAATCACCTGGGTAGCCGCCCAAGGCTTCATGACCGGCGTGTTCCGCGTAAGCAACCGGACCTCCAATCCGTGAAGTCCTAGTGCAATCGCTGATATCCTCAAGTTTGGCTCTGTGTCTATCTTGGCTCATATGATTCTTGCCCTACCCCACCCCTTCGTCTTCTCCGCACCAAGTCCGCCCGCGTATCCCGCGACACAGCCCCGTCCACGCCCATCCATCTTCTCTCGCGACTATCTCCGCTCACGACTATTCCACCGCCCTCTGGAGGGTTTCTCGAGCTGGATATCCCCCGGATCGCGTGTCTACCGCGGTCTGACGCCGCAGTTCAAGGTCTTCCTGCAAGTTGCGGCTATGACTCTGGGTGGTTGTATCTGGCAAGAGAAACGCGTGACGGAATATATCGAGCTGGTGAGACGGATCAAACGTGCGGAGCGGGTGGAGGCTGAAAGGGCGGATGGGAACCGTCGATACTGAAGAACTTTGAGAGATTCGCCCATTGGTTTGGCGATGTGATCTTGGAGCTTTGAGCTTGAGCTTTGATCTTTGAGCTTGGAACTTGAACTTGGAACTTGGAACTTGGAAACCGGCATCCACCGCTTCATCGGAACACCGGATAAACTGAATCCCATTTCTCAGTCATTTGCCAACCCTGCAAGGCCTCGCAGAACCGAGGTGAATACTTTGTAGCTGCCCCCGTCAATTGCTGATCCCGATCGAACTTCGCCACCGATGACGCCAGGTTTCTGGGGATATTCCCCCTGATTACCATGCTGGTCTATTATGATCTCCTTTTCGCGTGGGCCCAGGAGATTACCCCTACGGAAGCAGCCTGGAGTGCCGTAAATGCCGATCATTTATTGGGGGTGGATCCCAGGATTGAACCTATGATGCTATGTGGCAGTGTAGATCGTATAAGGGGGATGAAGATACATCATCATACAAGGTAGCTTCTACCTAATGCCTGGAGTACAAAGAAAGATTAAGGATGATATGTCGGTTACCAAAAGAGTCCAATTTAGAATGCACTAATCCCTGTAATCCCAACTATAGCCGCGCTATCCAGTCTAGTGGAGCGCCTCTTACGTGGTACTTATACTAGAGATGTACTAGAGATGTACTAGAGATCAAGTCGTGAATGTTCTAGGTTTTTCTCTCTTTTGGGCACTTTTGCGTAAATTAGCGATAATCATAAAATGTAGAATGTAAACAATATTCAACTGTCAGTTTGAATCCAATTAATAAAAATGACCATAGAAATTACATGTAGTCAAAGCAGTCAAAATAGAAAAACACTGAAACATCTCCAGATCCAGTTGGGACCTGACTGCATCCGTCCATTCCTCTATTTCCTCAATTTCCTCATTTCCTCCTTTTCCCTCTCTCCTTTTTTTTTCCATCCCTGTGAATTCATGCTGTTTTCGTTTTACGCATTCAATCTGATTTCCTCTTATTTTTTTCCTATAGCAATTGATCTCATACCTGGAAGCCCCTACCAAATCACATTAGATCACTGATTTGCCTGATATCAAAATTGTGGATTCTTTCCCCTTCCGCAACCATCAACCTCATCGCATTGTTGACAGCTCCCTCATTGTGTCTGGGGAAGACCTATCCTAGTTATAGGGAAGAATTTTCCTACTAGCAATTGCATGCTAATTGCTTCTCATGGCGCTGTGACAGTTTGCAGTATGTGCTACCTTCCCCTCATTCTTTATCCGCTCCATTCTTCCTCCCGCCCACACCTTCAATATTGCCCGTCATGACTTTTCAAACTGCTAATTGATCTAGTATGAACGACGTTGAGGTCGTCGATGAGATAAGCTTCCTTTCTCAGTACACTCGCGCCGCTGCTCTTCCAACACCTTACACAACTTCCCCTGCTTTTGTACCACTAGTCTCCCCCCACCGAACCAGACATGGCTGAAATCGCCGGAAAACGACAACGAAGAAAGAGCCTGGGCGTGTTCAGTCCATCCCTCACTATATCGACCTCCCTCCGGCCTCCGCTCCATGACCGAACACCCTCGGATGATACCTTGACTCGAGACAAGAAAACCCGACGGAATTCTGGCTTCTTCGGCCGGGCTCACAGTCCGAACATAGGGCCCGATGGATTGAATAACCGCCGGCCAGGGACAGCAGGCTCTGACTCCCCCGGCTGGTCCGCATCCACACCCGTCATTGAAACCCCTCGCCCGCGGAGGAAATCGCTGCAGAAAAAGCGAACGTCAGTTTTTGGATCTCTAAGGTCATTACACTCATGGGAGGATGATGAACCTCTGAGTGCCTCCGTCGGCTCGGTGGCGGACGAGCAGACCACGGCCAGTCCCCGAAATGGGATCTGGTCATCTGCAATCCTCCACCACGGGGAGGTTCAGACGACTGGAGGCATGTGGAGGAAAAAGAGTCAATATTTGGTGCTTACGGATACCCACCTCATTCGCTTCAAGAACCAAGGCAAAGCTGCCGATGTCTTTGGTTCTATTCCCGCTTCTTATACCAGGGCTCCAGCTTCCCATCGCCAATCAGTGGCTTCAGTCAGTTCTCTGCAGGATATGCAAGTAATGGCATCCGGAGATGCATCTGCCGGAATCCCATTAAACAGCATAATCGCAGTCTATATGCTGGAGGATGCGCGATTATCTCCATCGGTCGAAGTGGCCTATCTCGATGAGCGCACACACAAAGCCACCTTGGTGCAAATGCAGACATCTGATCTGCAAGAATTGAACCTTTGGATGGTAGGCATTCGTCAAGCCGCGCAGATGGCTAGAGCAAATTCTCCAATGCCATTCAGCAAGGGTTCGATTGAGTATGTAACTCGTATGCTAGAACACGAGCGAGATTACGACCCGGAGGCGTTCCGCATGTTCCGGGTCATTCAAATCGCGTCCAGCAAGTCAATCACCCGCTCTTCCTCCGATGACCTGACCAAACTCTCGCCCACGGGCTGCTATCTTGCCATTGGCGCACATAAGCTTCATCTGCTGCCCATGCAGAAGACAACCAATCGAGCATCGGTCGTATCTCTATCAGACTGGGAGGCTGGTACTTCCTTTGGTCTGATGAATCTGACTGGTCTGTCGATGGAGTACGGTGACGACAGCCTGCATCTGACCTTCAGGGTTCCTCTCAAGAAATCTTTCAATGTGTTCCTGGCCTCTGTTCATTCCGTTGAAGTCGCTTGTTGGATCCGACAACATACTGAGTATCTCCGTCCATTGTGGATAAGACAGCCGTACGAATTCGTTGTTCCGAAAGAATTGCAAAATGACGATAACTTCCCGCCTGTTGCTTTAGACGAAGATTATGGATGCTTTGACCGGACGCTGGTTGCCTACTCCGCCAGTTATGACATCGACACATCAAACATTCGGTACACAATCGACCAGGAATGCGAGGATGCTCCATGCTTCCGTCTCCTGAAGCCTGCTTCCCCGAAAACCACACGGTACAGCGCTTTAGAACTCATTGCGGTCATGCGCACCCTTCGCTATAATGAATTCTTCCGATCAATCTCTTTCCGCGGGGTCAATCTTGATGCATTGCAGGGCCTTTGTGATGTTCATGGAGTGGATTCCGACGTCCATCTCGACCGAGGAGGCGCCTTCGTGCACATTCCAGGCCAGGCGAATCTAACTGTTCTCTCGCAGGAGGTGCGTGCTTTAGCTCTGAAGAGCAAATGGTTGCGCCGACTTGACTTCTCTTACTGCCTTACACGGATACCGACACCAACCCTCGACAAGGGTACTCGTGACCCAGGCTGTGGAATTCCAGAAGCGATTTTCCCCGTGTGCCGCCGAGAATTGACCAGCGTGGACTGGGTTGTGCTCAACGGCATCAAGCTGGGTGAGTCGGATCTGGACTATCTCGTCGATGCGGCGTCCCAAAGACGTAGTCATCTGCGAGCTCTGGAGGTCGGGGACTGTGGATTATCCGTGCATGACCTGAGACCTTCTTCTGTCGACTATCGTCGCACAAGAATCAACGCTGGAGGCGATCAACATATCAGGCGTGCAGGGCCGATTGAATCCCGACGTACTGCAGCAATACATTGGCTACTTCGGACAAATTCGCAAGATCAACCTATCTCGCATCTCACGGACATCTGGCGCCGACCCCCTTATAACGGCCGAAATGCTGTTCAACTGGCGACTCGAAGAGCTGGCTCTCAGTCGCACGGTTGTGAACCGCGAGACCGTGGATGCCATTGCTACTTACCTGGCTAGCGATCGCTCTCGAAACCTCCGTGTGATTCGTCTTGATCAGTGCGGTCTGACCGGAGAAGACGTGGCTATGTTTATGCACTCGATGTCCGCTAGACCTGATGCCCCGCGCAGCCTCCATCTGCATGTCAACGAGAACCGCATTGACAACGGCTGCTCTCATGTTTTCAACGCTATTGCGAAGAATCAGACTCCCTCGCATCTGTCAATGCGCATGATTGATTTCAAGAAAGAAGACCATTTCCGTCAGCTGGTGGACTCAGTTCGGAAGAACAACACCCTCAAGTTCCTGGATATCTCGAAGGCTTCCCTCCCATACGATGCTAGCCCCGAGACTTGCCGATCGTTGCAATTGATGCTCGAGGAGAATGATACTCTTGAGGCTTTGGACATTAGCGGTGATAATGCGCACCTCGACGTTGCACGCTTCGGCATTGGTCTTAATCTGGCACTGACTGGCCTGAAGAAAAACACGTCTCTAAAGGTACTGAGGATTGAACATCAGAAACTCGGTCTTCAGGGTGCGAATACGCTTGCTTCGGTCTTAGAGGAGAATGATTCGCTGCGTGAAGTACACTGTGAGAACAACGATATCAATCTGCAGTCCTTTACGGTGTTGGTCAACGGCCTTCGGTGCAACCGCTCCCTTCTCACTCTCTCCTGTATGGACCGGGATCGGGTCCTGTCGCTGGACAGAGTACGCCGAGAGGTTGATAATGTTCGATGGGAGGCTAGCAATAGCAACCAAACCTCCACAGCAAACTCGGTCCGTCGTTCTCTGTATGCAGCGATGAGCGTTGGTCAAGGGCAAGGGCACAAACTGAGCAAAACACCGCCGCCTAGTGTCGCCTCGGCCTTGGAAAACTCTCCGTTCGCCAAACACAACGTTGAACTAGTCTTGCAGTCTCTGAACGATAGATGGGACAAGGAAGTCTCCCGGCTTAATCGATACCTCCTCCGCAACTACAACATTGCTCATGGAATTGAGGAGATTGATGATGCTGCCAGCGATGGACGGCCCGGGACAGCAGCGAGCCTGGGCACGATGCTTGACAATCTCAAACTCGACGTTTCCGTGTCGGCAGATGAGATCCGAACGTCGTCGCCACCAGACGAGTCTCCTGCTGCCATCCTACTCTCAGAGGCATCCGACACCCCATCCCACACGTCGTCGAACATCGAGCCCACCTCCGTCCAACCAAAGCGCCTTCCATCCAATAGCCGCCGCCCTCATACCGCTGCTGCTGCACAATTCACTCCATCCAGTCATGGCTCTTCATCCCCAACCTCTCGCCTAGCTCTCCCGGTGCCAGCCGTGCCCCCAACAGTCGGAAAAGCAGAGAGCGTCCGCAGTGCACGCAGCTCTTCCAGCAACGCCTCAATAGGCGCCGGCAGTACGCGGAGCGCCTATGGCGTCGCCTCATCTACCTAAGGGGTTTCCTCAGCGGCACCGCATTAAAGGAACGTCGCCGTGCGGATGCAGTGCGTCCCTCGCCTGTGTGCGTCAGCAATGACAAACCGCCTCAGCTAGACTGGGCACCACCGAAGCTTGACTTGGGAGGGCTCCAGTAGCCTTTGCACCCATCAACAAAATACCTCCTCCCTTGTACAGAATCCTCCACACCTCAACCCAACACGAAACGAAGCCTGGCTCATGCAGTACATATATACGACAAGTCAGGTTTCGATTGCATACCTTGTTCATTTTCTCCCTGTGAATCATATTTTATCTTACTCCTTAACTCATAACTCATTAACCCCAACCGCCTATCCAATTCCTATTTCTCGAACCCCGCCAGACGGCACTGATACCCTGGCGTTCCAATTTCTTTTTACATACCGCATTCCCAGGCGTTCCATATTCATTGCTCGTTTTCGTTTTAATTCCATATGCCAATATTTCTCTTCCCAACGCAATCGATATCAATCGATATCCAGTCAATATCCTATCCGTTTCATCGTCTTGGCATGTCGTTTTGGCTCTCTTGCTCTTATTGGAAAATGTCCTTTCACGTGTGGCGATTGTGCTTGCATGGCTAATGTTTATTGGGGCTGCTGTTTGATATTTATTGTGTTTCCTTTGCGCCTGTTCCTCGCTCTGGGGATTGAATACTGTTTGGATAGGCATTAAAACACTATTGCTCCTTTCCATTTGATTTCCTGGTTTCGGTGAGACTGAGTAGTTTAGGCGTATCTTGTCTGGGACATTGCATGATAGGTAGATGCTATAGGATACCCCCTTGATATTCGTACGTCTTAAGGTCCACCTGGCACGAAGAAAAGGGTCGATATGTATATATTTGTACATACAGTTGAACCTGAACGCGAGAGATCCAACCAAAATGCAATCCAGTCTATGTAAATAAAACCAACGCCAATGTATATCTGAAACCCAAATATAGTACAATGGGAGAGGAATTAATCTAATATGTTACAAAAGAAATTCCCACCTCACCCAATCCTCCTGGACAAAACCATAGAAACCTGATCAGACATCACATCTTACAAGAATCCTGGTAGACAAGAATGCCACGCTCACGATCCTTCTCATCCAACCGCTTCCGGTACCGACGTCCTCTTTCAGTCACCTTCTTCAAAGTCGCGAAGAAAGCCTCATTATGATCCTGCACGTTCTTTCTCAACGCATTATTGCGCCGTCTCTTGCACGCCCGCAGAACAGTGTTACTGTCTCTCACATCAAGCTCCGTGAGCTCGTAGTCAACCGACCACTCATCCGTATCGGCCATCCACGTCGGCCGATCCACCGGTTCTCCATTGACCTTGCTACGCACGACAAGTGTCATGCCGAGCAGGTTCTGGTCGAGGGGGCCGAATTCATTGGGATCGCGCTTAGGTACGGTCTTGGTTCTGGCTGGCCTGATTGGTTCGAGATCAGGAAGTTCGAAGGAGGTATCGTATGCTTCGTCGTCGAATTCCTCATCGCCTTCCTCCTTCGGGAATAGTTGGTCTGCCAGGGATGGGGCGGAGGGATCCTCCTTTCGCACGAAGGGTTCGGCTTCGGTTGGCTTTTCAGCGGGGTAGAAGGAATCGGGTTCGGTTGATTTCTCTGCCTGGAGGGATTCGTATTCGGTGAACTTATCCTCCGGATCGAGGGTCTCGGTCTCCGAACCCTCCTCTTCTCGACCGAGAGGTTCGCCTTCGCCTACGGCCGCCCTCTCGTAGTTGGTGTCGATGTATTGATCCGGGTTCATGAGGCGGTCCTGGATGGCATCGATGTGGGCCTTGTTTGTGTTCTGGATGGTCTCGATTTGCTCGCTTGTGACGGGCTGCGCGACGATGTCCATCCATGTTTCGTCGTTCTTGGACTCACGGGTCTCGAAGTGGAAACGCAGAGACTGTTTGGGGAACCTCTGTGTTGCCTTGTCCATGATCTTCTCCCACAGACCGAGACTTAGTTCGAATTCTCTGTTTCCGAGCGTGGTGTTGGGCGAGGAGTGCAAGGCCTGATCCATCTCGGAGAGAGGGATGTATTGGAAACCGAAGATGCGTTCGATGTTGTGGTACGCGACGAAGATACCGTCCATGCGGCCAATGCGTACCTGCAGGGAATACTTGAGGAAGGCGGCGCGGATCATGTCGAAGTATTCGCGTTCGAAAGACTCCCATTTGCCATATTGGCGTCTGATCTCGTAGCCCATCCCGCGCTTGTGATCGGTGGCTTCCATGCGGATTGAAACCGCCGCACGTGTTTTCAAGTCGAACATGCCGGTACCTGGCAGTCTGGGATCGTAGGCATCGAGTTGCGATCGCATTAAGAATTTACCAAAGGTGCTGTAGTGGTATGACTCCGGGACGGTTGCTTCTTCCTCGGCGGTGATCTTGTTGGGATCACTGCGGCGATAGCGCTCAAACTGTTCCTTTGGCAGCGTGAGTTGCTTCTCCATCGACTTGCCCAGGTTCATAAGAATATTGGCATAGTCATATTCCTTGTCCGCATCAATGGCGTAAACATCCTCGTCCGCCTTGTAATGAAGGAACATGGCAGCCGGCGCTCGAAGGATACGGGTGAAGCCCCGTGAGGGGTCTTCAAATCCCCGACTGATTCTGCTAGTGTCGACAGGCCGCCAGTTGGACAGAAGATAATGGAAATGAGCGAGAACTGAAGTCATGCTGCTCGACGAGCCGTAGTACTTCTTTCCATTTTTCTTCGTCAATTGGCAAGCCGTCACATCTTGAGAGGAGGTGATGTACGGCTTCAACGTACCAAAGTCAAATTCCGTCACGGGCATGATCTGATCCAGGTAGGGGTCGAAATTGTAGACCAGAGTCCGAGGGTCACGTAGCTGGTAGACACCGGGACTGTCTGCTTTTAGTATATCGATCAATAAAATAGGGTAGACTCAACAACTCACTTGAAAAGCACTCGGTCAAGACCAAAGGCGACGCGTGGGACAGGAGGCATTGGCACCGGCACCGCTTGAGTGGAAAATTAGCGCACATTCAACGGTTATATCAGAGCTCAAAACTCACGTTTTAATTGCAGCTTGCGGTCCGCTGAGGAAAGAGACCCGCAGTCCGTCGATACAGAGCTGTCATCGACAAAACGAGGGATTTCCTCCCCTCCAACTTCTCCTGCTCCGCCTCCTTCGGCTTCTTCTTGAATCCATTATCCATGCTGCTCTTGCTGGCTTCCAATATTTGAGCCGCTACATTGCTAGTGGACTGCAAGTTGAATGTGCGTTTTCTTGGGTCCACTGGCTGCTGGCGTATCTGTTGGGCCGTCTGTTGGAATCTCAGCTTCTGGTTGACTTTCGTTCTCTTTTTCCTCCTTATGCTCAGCCACTTTTCCTCTGTCCTCAACATCCGTTGGTATCGCCTTTTGTTGAAGGGCGTTGATTTTTTCTGCTTCCACCCGTGCTGCTTCTGACGGAGCTGCCTTTGATGGTGCCTCCGATGGTGCGGCATCTGATGGTACTACCCCTGACTGTGCTGCTTCGGCCTGCTCTATTTCCAACCTCACTGCTTCAGCGAGGGTGATGTCTCTGTTGGCTAACATTGACGTCTTGAACTTGTGGAAGTCCGAGTTATACTTATGTCTGTATCTTTTTCTTTGTGGGATAGTCATCCCAGCCCACATGGAAGCTGTAAGCCGTGGCGGTTTGGCTCGCGAGGGCTGGGGTTTCTGGGGTTCGGAAGAGACAGCATCTTTCGTCTCTGGAATCTGACCCTATAGCACACACACTCTGTCAGGACTTGATCTCACGTTGCGCTTTGGAGCAAAGGACATACATTGGGCGGTGGCACTGAAGGCTCGGTCGACGCGTCAATTGAATTAGTTGTCGGCTCGATTTCACCTGCGTTGGTACGGAGTGCAGATATACGGTGAAACTGGCGCAAACTGGGCGCGCCGGGGCGCGCTAGACAGGATAGACAAACATGTCGGCTTAGAGGGCCTGACACAGACCGCAAATAGGTCCGAAGCATTCAGGTCAACTGTCGACAGATGATTTGGGAAAGGGTATAGATATAGAATTCCCCAAACTGTAGTTGAATCGAGAAATTAGAGAATTCAGCGTCAATAAGCCACCGGGGCGAACCTTGGGAATTGCCTCTCCGGGATTTTTTTCTGCTGGAAGATTGGGGTCACCGCTTTGTTATCTGAGTGCCTGGATGCCTCAGGTGTCGATATTAGATCAGAGAGAAAATACAGTATAGTATAGTGTAGTATAGTAGGAGGATGGATCCTATTTTTAACATTCATTTCTATACATACTCTGCTTCAATTGAAAATGTACAGTGCTATTATACGAGTAAAAAATTCTTATCTCTCTAAGACTTAATTGTACGGAGTGATTCATCTGCAATTGTATAGAATCCTGTACTCTTATCTAGTCTTAATACTATAATATAAGACATATAGAATCATTCCTAACTGTCAAATCCATTGTAAATCCATTCCATCAATATGGATCCCTAAAGTGCAACTATAAAATATTCGGCTCACCCGAGATGGGTAGAAATTCTGGGGTCGGAGAAACACCCAGCCGGGCAGAAAAAAAGTTGAAAGTTTAACATCTTCGAACTTCCCATTCCCCCATACAACCTTGGAAGTTGCTTCTCAGGTCTCTGTGAGGTGAGTAAAGTGTTGGTTTCCTTATTATCAAGCCTTTTGCAGTTGTTCACCCCGTTCCATTGTTCTATGACTCACTTTCCATGATGGAGGGGCACCTACACATACCCGCGGAGGTTTCTATATACTAACACCACCATAGTCGAGACGCTTCTCCAACCATGGCCTCCGAACAATTGCGCATCCTCATTGTCGGCAATGGTGGCCGTGAGCATGCCTTCGCCTGGAAGCTCAGCGAGTCTCCCTTGGTCGACATTATCTATGTCGCTCCCGGAAACGGTGGCACAGGCATGGGCACCAACAGCAAGATCACCAATGCCAATGTCAAGGGTGACGACTACCCCGGCCTCGTAGCTTTCGCGCAGAAGAACCAGGTGAACCTCGTGGTGCCAGGTCCCGAGGCACCTCTCGTTGATGGCATCCAGGGTTATTTCCAGGCTGGTGAGTCACGCATGCCACCCTTTTTTTTTTTTTTTTTTTTTCTCTCTCTCTCGTTGCTTCCTTTTTCATTTAAACCAATTGCTTTGAATAATTCTAACAATGACCTCTAAAATCAGTCGGCATTCGATGCTTCGGTCCCTCCAAGGCTGCTGCCCGCATGGAGGGCTCCAAGACCTTCTCCAAGGACTTCATGCAGCGCCACCAGATTCCCACCGCCGAATTCGGAAACTTCTCTGACTACGAGTCCGCAAGTCGCTACCTCGACTCTGTGTCGCACAACGTGGTAATCAAGGCAGATGGTCTGGCTGGTGGTAAGGGTGTGATCATGCCCACTACCAAGGAGGAGGCCCACAAGGCCTTGAAGGAAATGATGCTGGACCACCAGTTCGGCAAGGCTGGTGATGAGGTCGTGATTGAGGAGTACTTGGAGGGTGATGAGTTGAGTATCCTCACTTTCAGTGACGGTTATACTATTCGCTCGCTTCCACCAGCCCAGGACCACAAGCGCATCTTCGATGGCGACCAGGGCCCCAACACTGGTGGTATGGGCTGCTATGCGCCTACGCGCATTGCGCCAAAGGAGGTTGTGGATGAGATTGACCGAACCATCATTCAGCCTTCTGTTGACGGAATGCGAAAGGATGGTACGTTTGATTGAAAATATACATTCCCAAAGCATGTTTCTAATCCTGCCTAGGCTTCCCCTTCGTTGGTATCTTGTTCACCGGTCTCATGATGACCAAGAACGGACCCAAGGTTCTTGAATACAACGTCCGCGGTGGAGACCCAGAGACCCAGACTCTGTTGCCCCTGCTCAGCAAGGACACCGATCTTGCACAGATCATGGTGGCCTGTGCTGACCACTGGCTGGACGGTGTCTCGATCAAGGTCGAGCCCAACTTTTCCACCACCGTCATTGCTGTTGCTGGCGGCTACCCCAATGCTTACGCCAAGGGCAAGACCATCACTCTGGCCCCCGAGCCTGCTGGAACCCTCATTTTCCACGCTGGCACAACTCTGTCTGGCAACGAGTTGCAAACCTCTGGAGGCCGTGTGATTGCCTCCACGGCCACCGCCTCTACCCTTGAGGAGGCTGTTGCCAAGAGCTACGAGGGTATCAAGACCATCAGCTTTGAGGATATGTTCTACCGCAAGGATATTGCCCACCGTGCGTTCCGCCAGACCGCCAACACCTCGCTCACCTACGCCCAGGCCGGTGTCTCCATCGACGCCGGGAATGAGCTCGTCAACCAGATCAAGAGCTCCGTTCGCCGCACCAAGCGCCCCGGCACTGACGCCGTCATCGGCGGCTTCGGTGGCCTCTTCTCTTTGCCCGCTGCCAACTCCGCCTACCACCCTCACTCGCCAACCCTAATCGGAGCTATTGACGGAGTCGGCACCAAGCTCAAGATCGCCCACTCCGTCGGCATCCACGACACCGTTGGCATCGACCTTGTCGCCATGAATGTTAACGATCTCGTCGTCCAGGGTGCCGAGCCCCTCTTCTTCCTGGACTGCTACTCCTGCGGTCACCTTGACGTGCCCACCGCTGCGGCCTTCGTCAACGGTGTTGCCGAGGGCTGTGTCCAAGCAGGCTGCGCCTTGATCGGCGGTGAGACCGCCGAGATGCCCGGCCTCTTCGTCGACGACTCCTACGACGCCGTCGGTGCCGCCGTCGGTGCTATCAACACCACAGGCGACAACGCTCGTGCCATCCTTCCCCACACAGAAAACATGCGCTCCGGCGATGTCCTTCTCGCCCTCGCCTCGTCCGGCCCCCACTCCAATGGCTACTCCCTTGTCCGGAAGATCGTCGAGCGTGCCGGCCTGAGCTACACCGACACCGCACCTTTCTCCATGCCCGGTCTTGACGCCGGCGTCTCCGTCGGCCGTGCCCTCCTCACCCCTACCCGCATCTACGTCAAGTCAATTCTCAGCGCACTGAACGCCCACGGCTCTGCTATCAAGGGTCTCGCCCATATCACCGGCGGTGGTCTCACTGAGAACATCCCCCGCATGCTCCCCGACTCCCTCACTGCTCAGGTTGACGTTAGCACCTGGGCCCAGCCTTCTGTCTTCACTTGGCTCCAGCGTGCCGGTAACGTCTCCTCTGTCGAGATGGCTCGTGCCTTCAACTGCGGTGTTGGTATGATTATTGCCGTCGACCCTGCCTCTGAGGCCGCTGTCCGTCAGACCTTCGAGGCTGCTGGTGAGTCTGTTTACCGCGTTGGTGAGCTGCGTGCTCGCGCCGAGGGTGAAGAGGGCTGTGTGCTGTCTGGACTTGAGTCTTGGTCTGCGTAAATATCTACGATATTGACGATAAAAATTTGATATTGATATGTTGATGCGTGATGCTTTATATATGGAGAAAATGATGTGCCTGGGTTATCTATCTTATAGATCTTTTTTTGTTACCGTTTCTTTCTTGTTCTTCGTATTCCCCGTCTTTCTTCTCTGCTTGGGGCTGCCCATCAATTATAGGGCTTGTGGATGTGTCCAGAACTAACGCCAGTTTTCCTACATGCATGAAATTTATATATACTGGCAATAATTCCACTCTACTTATGCACCGGACGTGTGCTATGTCACTTGATACTCCGATCCTTTCCCTTTTATCAATCAGGGCAACTCCCTCCACCTTTCTCAGACGAAGGTCAAATACTCTCTCACACTGCCCATCCGCAGTTGGTCCATACCCTAATGCGGCAAGACCCAATGATTCCATCTGTCGACCAAGAATGGAATTGTCAGTCAAGCACCAGCCAGAAAGAACTGAGAACTGGCGCTTCCTATTCGAAAAGATCACCGAAGAGCAAGACATTTCATGTACCACTTCCCATGGAGGGTGTTCGCCAACACCCGCCAAACGCTGTCCAACTATCAGATTCCAGAAGCTGACAATATCCTCTCCACACACAAGAGGCAGACTATGGCAAGATTGCAGAGACGAAGAACTGAACTCAACTCAACTCAAATACGGGAGGGCTTAATAGTACGGCCTTTCAAGCTCTTCTCTCCTTACATACCTCCCATCCGCAGGAAGTCGGCTTCCAGTGCATACCTAATGCACAATCCAACTACAGCAGAACTTTGGCTCATTGAGTCTATGCCTGTCTTTCCTCATCCCTTCCTATCAATTTCACCCCAGTCGACTCTCACCTAGCCTTTTCACGAATCCTCCACCTCACATCTCTCTATTTAAACCGCTCTACCTGAATCCCTTTCCATCCCTCTCAAGCCAACTCCCTAACATCCTTCTGCTGCCATAAACCTACTCGATTTTGCACGTCGTACCATCTTCAGACTCCACGGCAACGACAGTCAACGGACGATGATGAGACCATGGCTATTATCACCGCGATAGGTCAGTTTGTGCAGAACTTGAAAGACTCCAATCAGCAGCGTGCTTGTGAAGATGAGGATGCCCGCCATGGCCGGGAGTGGCTGAAGACCATTGGCAGACGAGCCCTCCAGTCTCTTGCACCTCGTAAGAGGCTGTCAATAAGATCCCGTGAATCAGAGGTCCTAGGGTAACCTGGTGGCCTGGTGGCCTGGCATATCTTTCCGTCTACTATACCTTGCCGATGACTTTCTCTTGCGTCTTGCTTGTGTTTTGGTATGACTAAATTTCTTGTCTGCTGGAGACCGCAAAGAAGAGAGAGAGGAGGGATGGGGGTGAATTAAAGTGTGACAGTTTGTATATAAGCATTTAATAGCTGAGAGGGAGGTCAATCAGTTATGTGTTATTCAAAACATCTCTCATTTTTCCTTGCGTTCGTTCCATTTGACTTTAACGTACCTCTCTGAGACATCCAACTTCCATCACATCTATCTCTCTACACATGATGGCATCCTAAGGAATCAGCTCGATATGTCACTTTCGTCAAGAAGAGCCACAAACGAGGGCCCGTTTCTAAACGTATCCATAGCAAAGTGGGTTTCAAAAATCGAGTTCGAGGCGGGATATAATGCACGTCTCCCAGGACTAGGGCTGGGATCCGTCACAATGATGGCCGTGTACATTTAGTCCTGTTTCTAGCTATTGAATGAAGAACTGGAATATTCTGGACCCAGTAATGTCTTGTCGTGACCTATTCTCTTTCTAGATATACCTACTAGTTACGAAGTCACAAGATGTTGCATATATGCATGTGCCCAGGTAGGTTTCCATGCAAAGCAGCCAGAGACTATCTACCTAGATAGGTAGTAATATCAGGTCAAAAGTACCCATTAGATGCTAAGTATTGTCACAGACTGGGCGAGCAGAGCAAAAGAGTAGATCAAGATACACACCTAGTCCGTGTCAGTTTATCTCGCCAGCCTACATATTCCCAGAATATCAATACAGACTGATCGAATGACAGCATAATAGTTATGACAAGGGTCTAATCCGGCCTTGCCAAGTTTTTAGTGGACTTTCCTAGGGTCTTTTTGTTGTCTTCTCAGATACGTCTTGTAGATGTTAGACATAGAAGACATTCAACAAGCGTTGAATCAGCATTTCTAGCAGAATACAAGGAGTGGAAGTTTTGAAGTCAAGGTCACGTTAAAAACTACGGACAAGGGCAATTTAGTTGAAGACAACGCAAGCGGCTAGAACAAGACGTAGAAGACGTTGAGAGAAAAGGACAACACAACCTAATCCCTATAGCCAACCAACTCCATATACATCCTCGCCCTAGAGGTACACTGTTGTTCGCCGCAGCAGAGACCCGTCCAGGCAAAACAATCAGAGGGGTGGACGGGACAGCGGATTCGAATGAGGAAAGGGGAAAGAAATGGAGTAAAGGTGAAATGGTTCAAAGCAGAAATGGATGGATAGAGATCGAGTAAAGAGTAAGGTAAAGAGTAACAAAAGAAAACGACCGACTCTATTCCACTAAAATCGAGATTCCATTTTCAGGCTATCCGCTTGATAATGCGAGTCCAACAACGCTTGCAATCCACCAGTGCCTCCATCCTGCTTTTTGATACACCAGGAAAGTACGAGCGAATACGAGTAGTAAAGTGCTGCAAGAAGCTTAGAAGCACTTGCGGTGAACGATGGAAGGACCGCTCTCGTCGTACTCCTGCTTGGAGATCCACATCTGCTGGAAGGTCGACAGGGAGGCCAGAATGGATCCACCGATCCAGACGGAGTACTTGCGCTCGGGGGGAGCGATGATCTTGACCTTCATGGAAGAAGGAGCAAGAGCAGTGATCTCCTTCTGCATACGGTCGGAGATACCGGGGTACATGGTGGTACCACCAGACTAAAAAAAAGGAGTTGTATGTTAGTGGGGATCTTTGCGCAACATAGCTCTGGAGGCTTTTTTCTTACCATGACAATGTTGCCGTACAAATCCTTACGGACATCAACATCACACTTCATGATGGAGTTGAAGGTGGTGACGTGGATACCGCCAGACTCGAGGCCAAGAACGTTAGGCTGGAACAGAGCCTCAGGAGCACGGAAGCGCTCGTTGCCAATAGTGATGACCTGTCCATCGGGAAGCTCGTAGGACTTCTCGAGGCTGGAGCTCTGGGAAGCGGTCTGGATCTCCTGCTCGAAGTCGAGGGCGACGTAGCAAAGCTTCTCCTTGATGTCACGGACGATTTCACGCTCGGCGGTGGTGGAGAAAGTGTAACCACGCTCAGCGAGGATCTTCATCAGGTAGTCGGTCAAATCACGGCCAGCCATGTCGACACGCGAGATAGCGTGAGGCAGAGAGAAACCCTCGTAGATGGGGACGACGTGGGTGACACCGTCACCGGAGTCGAGAACGATACCAGTGGTACGACCGGAGGCGTACAGGGACAGAACGGCCTGGATGGAGACGTAGAAGGCGGGGGCGTTGAAGGTCTCGAACACGATCTGGGTCATCTTCTCACGGTTGGACTTGGGGTTGATGGGAGCTTCGGTCAAGAGAATGGGGTGCTCTTTGGGGGCAACACGGAGCTCGTTGTAGAAGGTGTGGTGCCAGATCTTCTCCATGTCGTCCCAGTTGGTGACAACACCGTGCTCAATGGGGTAACGGAGCGTGAGGATACCACGCTTCGACTGTGCCTCATCACCAACGTACGAGTCCTTCTGACCCATACCAATCATAATACTGCGCCCATGTTAGTATTCCTTTTGGTTCTTAGGGATCAAATTGGCTGCGTATGGCGTATACAGCCAAAACGAGCCGAAAAAAGGGGGATTATTTACCCATGGTGGCGGGGACGACCGACAATGGACGCTGTTGAATTTTGTCAGTTATTTCATTTCCTATGTTCAAGGTTCCTCCTAGCCAAGCAAAAGAGGGGAAGCCATCCGACGCAAGGGTTGGTGGGATGGCGGCCTTCGCACAGGAGGGGTGTCATATTCTGTGGGGTTGGACTTACGGAAAACAGCTCGTGGTGCGTCGTCACCGGCGAAACCGGCCTTACACATACCCGAACTATATCGCAAATCATCAGTATCATAGTTCTTGTAGTCTTTGGATCACCCTCTGGCAGTTGTGGAGCGAGATGGAAAGCCATTGGGATGGATTCCATCTGCCGTCGCGGGCGGATTAGGGGTGGCAACGACCGCGACCGGGCTGAGTTGGCGACCCAAAACACAAGCCAGAAGCTCCGGGGGGAAAAGTATAGCACATACCCATTGTCGATGACGAGAGCAGCAACTTCTTCTATAATAAGATATACGGGTTAGTTGTCATTCGCAAATATGGAATCGAAGCTGTGGCCAACAGGGGGGGGCAGCTTCCGGGGAAGCTGGTGATGTGGCCACAACTGGAATAACATACCCTCCATTGTGACTGATTAAACAAGGGACCTAGGGGAGAAGAGGGGAAAAAAGAAAAGAAAGATGGAATGAGGTTAGAGGGGATATAAGTTGGGATTAGGGGAGAAAGGAAGAAGGAAGAGAGAGAGGGAAGAGTGGAGAGGGGTTTGTGATGGCTGGGATTGTGGGCTGCCTGAGGCCTTAACTCTGAACCCCCTCCGATCTATGTTTTTGTATATAACTTTCTTTCTTATATTTTATACTTAAGAAGATTATAAGGCAGAACTATTTTCAATTTCAATTTCTCACTTGGATTCCTTCAATGTCTACCTAAAAGCATTGCGTGGACATTCTTGGGGACCCTTTTGGGTACGGGGGGAACACGTACCTTGACCGGGTTAGGAGTTTACCTTGTATTACAGTACTTATACAGCACTGTCAGGCATACAAGGCATATATAATTCATACAATTGTGTCTTGTGTACTCCGTACTCCGTAGGCTGCTGAATTTCCCCGTGGCGCCGATGTTCTAAGTATAGGACAGACCCAGACTTGAAGTCATTGGGGTACCCGTTCCAAGGTTATTGGAAGTGGACACGCAAACCACTTCAGTTTTGGTAAGATGGGGATAATACGGGAGAGTCCCAACACTGTCAGACCATTTCTATCTGTTCAGGTTACCGCCATTTCCCTACCCTCGAGGGTTAGGGAGAACAGCTAAGCCTCTTGGAATGATGAGGCGGTGAAGTGCCACGTGATATACATTGGGAAGTACGAATACGAATTGTACAGTTCTCTCTTCACCACTGACATATTTTATGATCCGATTTTGCATTAGAATGGAATAAAGTCAGCCCACTTTTGGCTAGCAGAAAATCCTGCTATGTACGGAGTATTTGACCCCTCCATCGGCAATAAAGTTCTTCCAAACTGAACTTTGAGCCCCTTGAAATATATCTTGGCACCGAACTTTGATAACCGGGTTCTAGTATATTCCAAGCCCTACTTCGATAAACCACCACGGAAACGATGGGAAACAGCATTGTCTCATGCATAACACAGCTAGCGGAACGAGGGCCAGATTATTCCTATCTGCAAAGCTATCCCGGATGCCCAACGGTTCCAGCAAACCACTATTGAGCCATTGGAAATCACACTGCCAGCGCCATCCAAACCGAAACAAAACGTGGTGGTAGCATTCTTTTATATCTTCTTAACTCGGTTATCTCCAAGAAAAGTCTAGAAGCCCTCAGTCTCTGCTCAGATTTCCAGTGAGAACGAATATGGATTAAACCTCAGTGGTATTACATGGGCCAAGACTCGAATCACATATGGTTGACAGAGTTGGTAGCTCAATGTTGGGATGAAAACCATGGATTTCTTTTATGATGTATCATCTTCTGGAGAAAGCGTATTCTATATTCCATATTTGTCTATGATGTAGTCCAGTTCCTTTTCCAAGGGTTTAGTATACGGTCACATGATCGAACCCGCTGGTCGCCGCGCGAATCGACCAGAGCCCCCGAGACATCTTATGTCAGCGGGACTTTTTTTTCCAACTGTAGAAAAGTATTGATAGAAGATCACAACTGCAACAATACTGTGTCATATACAGTAAATCGATTTTTGACCTGCGATCCTAGAGCCTATTCCTACTCTCCTCTTCTTCAGCCTCCTTCTAAAGCCAATAGACCCCTACACACCGACAATACAATTACCCCGCCAGCCCACCATGGACCCCGAAATGAACAAGCTCCTCAAATGGAGTGTCGCCAACTCCCAGGCATCCGTAGGCGCCGATGGTGAGGGCAGTGCCCCGAATGTACCGGCAGCTGCATCAAACCTGACCCCGCAAATGATCAACACACTCTTTGGCGGCCCCTCCGAGGCCGACCTGATGCGAGCCGCGATGGAGGTCGTGCACGACAAAGAGTCCGACCTGGAGAACAAGTTGATCGCATTCGACAACTTCGAGCAGTTGATTGAGGGAATTGACAATGCGAACAATCTCGTCCCGCTGAACCTATGGAAGCCGCTTGTTGAGCTGCTTAAGCACGACGAGGCCGAGATCAGACGTATGGCGGCCTGGTGTGTGGGAACAGCGGTACAGAACAACCCGCAGGCACAGGATCAGGTATGAAAGGCTCCTATTGACGCAAGTATGATAATCGCAAGTGCTAACACATTCATCAGCTCGTCACCCTAAACGAAATCCCTACACTCGTCACCCTCGCCACTACAGAGTCCAACCCCGCAACCCGCAAGAAGGCCATCTATGCCATCTCCTCTGCAGTCCGTAACCACCAGCCCGCCTTGGATGCGCTGAATAAGAGCCTCCCTGAAGGCTATCCCACCGACAAGACAGACGCCGCCGACATGGACGGCATTGATGTTATCATGGATAAGCTGCGGTCTCACCCGGTCGAAGCCTCGGCATGAAGGAAGTGAACTGTGACTGGACTGTAAGAGTCAGAATACACAAAGACACAGAGGCAGCAAGATACCCACCGAATGCGAGTCCGTCCCTTGGGACTGGCCTGGTGTCGTGCCAAGGGCCGACGCTCGCAGTGCGACAGGCAACTAGGCTGTTACTGCAACTGCGTTGAGCGCTGTGATGACGACACCAGGCTTCACTGCTGGTAAATGCTGGCGATCACTTGATGTGCGGATACCCGAAATGGTTTAGCACCTGTTCCTGGTTACTTGGTTGCCTTAGGATTGCATCGGTGTGATCCAGCAACCTGATTTTTTGTGGTCTAAGCATATATTTGAATTGTACATACCCGGGGCTTTGTCCTACATTAAATGCAATCATGAGTTTCGACTGTCAAATCCCGATGCCTGAATCTGTGTATCTACTTTGGTGCCTATGCTGCCTAATTTGGACTGTTTTGTTGTAACAGTATGTCCCAAAGAATCCAATAAATTCCATACCGTAGCTCTTTACATATTGAGAGATCTCAAATAAAAATAGAAATCAATTTACCCATTTACGAATTAGAGCACATGTTGCCTTGCTTGGTGATATCCATAGATATCTCGGAACAACATTTCTCCACCCAGACATCGTCATTGGAGTCCAGCTCTCACCAGCAACATCCCCTCAACCAAGACCTCATCCCCACATCCCGAAAATGGACAGCTCAAACAACCGACTCTTCCGCTTCTCCAAGCCAGAGTGGCTGAATAACTCGAGCGTCCGCAATGGCGGCGTCTACGTCGCAGGCGCCCTGGTAAGCATCGCATCCGATCCACCCACCTCCACGCTCCGCACGACACCCCAAGCTCGAAACCTTCAACCCCAAAGCAAAATGAAATGGAATTGAATAAAACCACACACAATCAAAACCACAATCAAAACCACAATCAAAAGCTAACAAACCCCGTACCACAGTTCGCAGCAGGCTTCTTCTTCCTAATCGACGTCGCCTCATTCTCGCGCAGCCCGCGCAACGGCTCAGACGTGCATATCAAATTCGTCGACTGGATCCCCGGTATCTGCTCCGCGTTGGGAATGCTGGTTATCAACTCGATTGAGAAGAGTCGGCTGCAGGCTGATAGCTTTAGTTACAGCGGGAGTGGGGTTGCGTGGAAGGCGAGATTCGTGCTGTTTTTGGGCTTTGCCTTGCTTGCTGGTGGATTGGCTGGGAGTGTGGTATGTATATGTTCTCTTTTTTCCTACTATTCTACTACTTCTGCCCTGGGAATATGTAGGTTGGGGGGCTTGCTGACTTGCTTCTCTGTAGACGGTTATGGTGCTCAAGTACCTCATCAAGGATTATCCTATCCAGACTCTTTACTTTGGAATTGCGAATATTGTGGCGAATGGTCTTGTCATGCTCAGGTATGTTTTTTACTTATTTGAATTCTATTTCAGTGCGAAGTCGTACTTTCATACTAACAATGCTCTAGCTCGATCGTCCTCTGGGTCTCTCAGAATATCGAAGATGACTACACCTACAATCTGGCCCTGTGAGGCGGACTGTTTCAATTTATAACTCGTCTTTCTGTATTCTACTCGATTTCCTTGCTCTGATGACTTTTTGCCGGGATGCATTTTATATGCATCCACATCTTTGGCTGGGATTGGCGCTTTAGCATGAATTCATTTGCATTCCTCTTACATTTCACGTGTCTCAAGGAGTATTTATTATGACAGCCCAGAGATATCTAGAATATCACAGGCATTCTATAAATAGACAAAAAGTAAACAGTATCGAGAGAAAAGTATCATTGCAGCTATGCATGGAGAAACAAATACCCTAAGAACCGCCCGTGAACACCAAATCCCATATATGCATTCGTAAACTCGTAAAAATCACCATCACCATTACCCACATTACCTTCAACCACCTTAATGCTCCTCGCAGAACAACCTCAATAACTCATCAATACAAGTCATAGCCTTCTCCTTCTGCAAAACCGAAGGCGTCAATCCAGGCGCCTGCTTCAAATACCTGCGGAGCGCAAAAGCAGCAGCCTTGTACGTCGCATGGTACATAGCCTTGAACTCATCATCATCCGCAGTACTACCGGGCGCCGGCGTTTCAGCACGCAAAGCTTCGGGCGCAGGCGTCGCACCCGAGACATCAGGTTCAGGCTCACCAGCACCACCCGGCTTACCCATTGACGCAGAGCGCATATTCGCACGGTGGAATCCATACAGACGCATGCAGGTCAAGATCGTGCGCGTGATGAGATTCTTGTTCTCGGCAATCACGGTATCAGGATCCTTGGCCGGTGAACCGGGCGTAGAATCCGGTTTTCCCTCGGAGACTGAAAGAGACGACTGGCCCTGACTCTGCGACTGCGTTCCACGGCGGCCGGAATCCAAGAATGGGTTTGGGGTTGGTGCGCGCTTTTGCGGATCGGCGGTTTGGGCTGGCGTTGCGCGGCTGCGTCCGCTTGCTGGGCGATGGAGGCCTGCTCCGATGGAGACGGATCGGGAGCGGTGGGAGACGATTCGGTCGAGGGATGGGAGGGTTGGACCGTCTTCTTCGGGCTCGCGCTTGATGCGGAGCGTTTGTAGGTTCTGTGAGGAGGAGAGTGGTCGTGAGGATGCCATTAGTTGGGAGACGGCTTCGCCGCCTCGTTGGCGGACGCGGCGGTGGTGCTGTGCGGCTACTTCGAAGAGTGTTGCTACTCTTTTGCGTTTGGGGCTGGGTGAGCTTATGTCTGGTAGGAACTCTGCGCAGCGCGGGTTCGTGACGGGTTGGTCTGGGTTGGAGGGTGGTGGAGATGGGTAGGCCTGGGCTTGGGTGAGTCGTGAGGTTGATAGTGGTGCGGCGTAGATTCTGAGTTCGTAGGGAGCACGTTGTGGTGTATTGCTGTGGCCTGGGATCTCCGAAGGGGATGAATGCGGCGGGGTAGGTGGGCGTGTGCATGATGCTGCGCTGGATAGCACGCCGTAGACTAATAGGCTTGTTGTGGTTGCGTTGCCTGATTTAGTGTTGCCTTCGACACTGACCAGCAGACCGACTGGGCATTGGAAGGATTGTTGGAGCGCTGGATCTTCCTCATTTAGCCAGAGGGCGCCTGTTAGCTTCCCCTGGAGCCATTTTGATGTCCCCGCGTCGGATGTGTGTAGCTCGAGGTTGGGACCAGCACGTGCATGCAGTGGGATAAGTGCTGGGTTGACGAAGCTGCGGAGATTGAGTTGGGACTCTTTGGATAGCTCGGACTGGCAGTAGGAATTTGGATCGACCAGTCGAATTCCTGGTCCAGTGGTCAGCGAGGAACAGGATGCGATGCGCGTGTGACTTACCTTCTAACTTCGAGTCCGAGCCGAGAGGAATGGATCCTGACCAGACATTCATCTTGTTATCTGGATCCCAGAATGATTCTTCATAAGTTCAGCATAGTTATATTAATTTGGTATAGTTGTGTTGTTTCTAAACTGATCTGCTGTTATCTCCGAATCTCTGCAGACGCGCCGAATCCGCGCGCGGTCACGTGGACCATAGATCGGACTAAATAAAACAGTTAAAAGGGAACATTAGAATTGTGAATAATTTCAAAAGCTAAGTAGTTTTGAGATTCTTCATTTTTCAGAAGAATCCTCTATATCCATTGGGCTATAGTACACCTAGAGTAGCACAGCCAGGTGTTGGATCGCCATTAAAAGTGAGGCACACCCCGCACCAGATCACTCATACATAGCATATCAAGCATACGCTGGAATCAAACGAAACAGTAGAAAAACAGATATCATCATGAAGGCCAGATGCCGCGAGGCCACTGGCCTACACCATAGGTATAGACCTTGGCAACCCCGCGCCTCATCTAGTCTGGGCGATCAGAACTCTTCCTGTTCCTGGAAGAACATTGAGAAGCTAATAATGGTGCCATAAATCAATAGGCCTCCGAAAATCGACATGATCATTGCTGGGATCTCGATTGCGCCGCTGTGGGCGAGGACGATAGGAAGTGCTAGGGAACAGGTCAGTTGAATAATGATCAATGGTGCAATTACGATGCCATCAGTATAGACAAAGCGTGGTCCGGACACCAAGAGCCGAGCGATGGAGGGATAATATGCCCCACAAGAGGGGTTGTTGTTGAACCAGCAACGTACCGATACCAGTAAGAACCAAAAATCCGGTCAGGAACCGTCCAAAGTCCATAGCGGAGTTGCTTGAGCTATCCATGAAATCATCTGGGTTTGCGCATCGTTGACAGATCCAGTTGGGAAGCGGCGCAACGACGTAGATGCCGACCACCAGTAGCGGCCAGTATTTGTGCCATAGCGCGGAAGAGAGGATAACGAGGAGGAAGCCAATCGCAAGAACCTAGTCAGATGTTAGACAAGATTTAGAAACCAGGCGAACAGCGAAACGGAGCGTACAAATGAGAGGGCAATGATGGTCTTCAGTCCAGCAGCCATGATTGCGGAGAAGCCGAAAGCTGATCGATGAGACTAAAGGTGGGAGGGGTAGGCGTTGTTGAACTGGGCTAAACCAGGAGACAATATCAAAAGCAGATCAAAATGACAGCCCCATTGGCCGAGTGTAGGAAACCAAAGAAGGGCAGTAGAGCGATAAGCTGGAGATGAGCTCGAGAATGAGTGACGTTGGCGCCTGAAGGTCACTGGATATCGAGGCCTCAGGCACCAACAGCTCATGCTTCACACCGCGTCACTTTACTGCCTACTCCAGCTCCCCCATTCTCCATCACCGGATTATCCCTCGGATTCTTGAGTTGCTGTTCCTGAATCTCTATTTATCAACAAGAATCCAATTTTACTGTTTGCTTTGATATCCATCCACCCTTTCCGCCACGATGTTCAGAAACAATTACGACAACGATGCCGTCACCTTGTAAGATCAGGTCCCCGACCTCCCTCGGATTCATCAGATGCTAACTCGAGGGATCCCAGCTCTCCACAGGGTCGGATATTTCAAGTGGAGTATGCACAGGAAGCAGTGAAGCAAGGATCCGTCGTCGTGGGATTGGTGAATAAGACACATGCCGTGCTGGTTGGACTGAAGGTTCGCAGACCTACAGAAGACGAACAGACCAAACCGTCAAAACTAACGTTTCAACACCTCTAGCGCAACGCAGAAGAACTCTCCTCGTACCAGAAGAAGATCATCGAGATCGACTCGCACATGGCGATCGCCATCGCCGGCCTCGCATCAGATGCCCGTGTCCTTTCAAACTTCATGAAGCAGCAATCCCTCGGCTCCAAGATGACCTATGGCCGGCCCATCCCCCTGGACCGAATCGTTGCCCAGATCGGCGACCGCGCGCAGACCAACACCCAGCACTACGGGAAACGGCCGTATGGTGTGGGTCTGTTGGTGGCCGGTGTTGATGAGGCTGGCCCGCACCTGTTCGAGTTCCAGCCCTCTGGACTGACACACGAGATGGTTGCTTGTGCCATCGGTGCTCGTTCGCAGATGGCACGCACGTATCTGGAGCGAAACCTCGACAAGTTCCAGGATTGCAGTCGTGATGAGCTGATCCAGCATGGATTGAGCGCGCTAAAGGAGACGCTGTCTCAGGATAAGGAGCTTACGATTGACAATACTTCTGTTGGTGTTGTTGGTGTGACTAATGGCAAGAAGGAGAGCTTCAAGTTGTACGAGGGCCAGGACACGGCTGCGCTGCTTGAGGTGCTGGAGCAGCGTGAGTCCGCTGGTGCGGAGGGCGAGTCCATGGAGGTTGATTCATAATTGTCTGATTTGGTTTAATGATTCGCATAGACATGAAATCCTGATTATGCTTTGTCTAGTGTTTACGTCCAATGATCCCAGTTATTCATCAATTCATAAGGCTCTTCTAACGAAGTAATCTACTCGTGTATGTTTACATGCCCGCTGAAGTTTTCCACCGAAACCCAAACAAACCCGAAATGAACCCAGCCAAATGCAGCATCTATGTACTACCCCATTTGTTTGATCAAACAGAGTAGCTTCACTCCTCTCCCCAGTTCAACTGCATCCGCCCATCACTAACCTGATAAGCCCGCAACTTCGGCCAGACCTCAGAAACATCCTTGGCCTCCGCAAGGATCTCCCCATTACTAGCACTGATATACCCCTCCTTCACAGCATTACGCACCCAAGCCAACAATCCATCCCAGTACCCATTGATATTCAACAACACAACCCCAACCTTGTGAATCCCCAACTGATTCCACGTCGTCATCTCCATAACCTCCTCAATAGTACCAAATCCACCAGCGAGCGAAACAAACCCAGACCCAGGCCCACCCTCAAGGACCTTCTCCGCCATCAGACGCTTGCGCGTATGCATATCGGCAACAATGGTCGTCATGCCGTACTCCGACTCGGGAATTCCATCCGCTTTAACAGCATCAACAGAGTCGACAACCCGCTCGGCGGTTTTGCCCGCTACCTTCGAACCGACCTGGCCCTCCGTGTGTGCGCGCATGCCATTGACTGTTGCGACTTTGACTAGGGCGCGGGGATGATGCCGTGCACGGCTTTCGGGCCCGAGAGTGAGACAAGCGCGCGAGCAACTTCGCCCATTAGGCCGGTTGTACGCCGCCGCCGCAGACTAGTTGCACGTTGTGCTTGTGGAATTCTTCGGCGAGGGCTCGGGCTGCTTGCATGTGTACGGGGCTGTTGCCTGGTACGGAGCCGCAGCTGGGACACGGGGGTTTTGTTAGTTCAATTGTTTAAGGAGGGAGGAGAAGATGGGGATTGGGCTTCGGGTCATACACGCCAGATCGGTAGACGATATGGTGTGGTTGTAACTGAAAGTGTCCAAGTGGTGAGGGGTATGACTCACAATACACAGACGACAGCTTGTTTGGTCTCTGAGTCCGTCATGTTGGTGTGTAATTGGGGATTGAGTGTATGAACGGACGAGTGTATGAACAAGTAAAAGGGTTTGAAAGACTCGAGATCAGAGGAGAGTGAAGAGAGGAGGCAAAAGGGGACCTGAGACCGGACAGGTAAACCCCCCACTCCGATAAGAGATAAGTATAACGTCAGGGGTCCAACTTTCCAACTTTACTCTCCAACCTACTTTTTATAGGAACGCTTGGCATTTGTTTCTATATAGTAAGTCTATAAAAGGCATTGGTGGGGTTTTACAGGCTATACAGACTAATAGTAGCAATATGAGCTGTGATCGGAATAGAGTAGCCACAGATCTATACTTCTAGCCTAGTAGACCAACTCTATTTAGGTTCTGTCTACATTCGACTTTAATTGAAGAGATACCAGGGGAAATTATAGGTTACAGCTTCAATAATTTATATGAAAAGCTAATATACTCTTAGGCTCTTCAGCTTTGATGTGTCATGAAATAGTGGCGAGTAATGACGAACTGACAACAGCTTTAGGTTGTGAATATCAACTTGGGGCATTACGATGTTAAGTAGCTTTGTCACGGACGATTGAACTGATCCATACCCTTATATCGACAATTTATTCTTCCTTTTGATGCCAAAGATATGATAAATACAGCAACCACCTCGCCCTCCACCCTGAACTAGAACTAACTATAGCCAAACAATATAACAAGCAGTCACGCACCAAGCTGGAAACACTAGACCCTATCCAAGAGCCACCTAGAGACTTTCCCACTATCAAGCATTCGCCTTGATATAGTTCATCATATTCTCAACCTGCGTGATACCATTTCGGTTACCCATATCAAAGGAGCCCCCGTGAAGCTGAGCCAGTCTCTGACCGGGCGGTTTTCTCCCATCGAATTCGTAGAACCTGACTTCTTTACCAATCCCAACTGCGCCAAATAGTCTGTCAGAGGCTTTTGCAATCTCGTCCTCAAACTGACCAATGGTATCATCCCAGCACGATGGAGTGTTACTTGATGGACACTTGCATTTGACTAGCAAGATTTGGCGTTCAATCCACTCCTGTGAAGCTGAAGGGTTCTGAGCCAATGCCCAGACTTGAATAGTGACCTCCGGCATGGTATTGTTGGCAAGCGTAGAACCTTTGAAGATCGGCCTGTAGCCATGGCGGCCAGGGAACCACTCGGTCACTATTGACTGCCAGACAGACTGAACTGCATCTAGACTGTGGGGCTTGACTGATTGCAATGAGCTGAGAAACCCGAGGTTGTCGTGCAGTGATGGGGTATAGGTGGCCATGTTGTGAGATTTAATAGGTTAGTGTAAATAATAGCCTCTGGCAAGGGTAAAAATGAGCAGGATTCTCAGCGATGATAAATGAGTTTGAAAGGATGACTTGGAGACTTGATGTGGATTGCAGGCGTCTGGCTGGTTTAACCACGAATCCGTCCATCACCCCCTCTCCCCCACCCCCGAAATAGAAAGATGAGCTACGTCGTTTATATACTCTGGGAGATAACAAATCGGAACTCGGTAGTCAGGCCAATACTTCTATGTCAAACGCAGATGATATCCAGCTCCTACGTACAAACAGAGTAGCCCCCGTAAATGCTATGCCCAACCCAAACGCCCAGCGATGCAACAAAAAAGGGTATCAAGAAAGCAACTCAGCTAACGACCCGACTCTTCTTCCTCTTCCCCTTATCACCAGCAGAGCTAGGCGGCGAAGTACTCTTCTCGGAAACCTTACCGGGGGTCTCGACGCGGACCTGCGGCGTCGACGCCCTGACAGGCAGTGCAGAAGGCGTACCAGTCGGCGCCGCCGCAGCGATTTTCGGTGCAGCTTTAGCAGCCGAGCCGGTGGTCTCCCCACCAGTCCGAGATAGAATGAACGAGCCCGGTTCGCCGACGAGAGGGTTCTCATCCATGAATTCGTCGCCGTAGCGAGTGAGCAGACTGAATGATTCGGCTAGACTGCGCGTGTCTTGATAGGCTGAGCTTGTAGTTGAGCCGCCCAGGCTGGATTTACTGGTTGATTGAGAGGATTCGGTGGTCGGGAAGGATGCGTCTGGCATGGGTGTTGCTTCTTTGCTCTGGGAGGCTTGGCTGGTTCCGGCTGATTCTTTGCTGCGGACTCCTGGTGGCAAGTATGTGTGTCCGTGTGAGGCGGTAAATGTTGGTAGCGTCGCGGCGGATTTCATGAGCTGGGTTAGGGATGTGACGGCTGATAGCTGCGGGGAAGGACTCGTTAGAATACTCGTCTCGGAGTGGTCTGAGATCCGAGAGGAACATACAATTCGGTTGCCCACCACACTCGCAACTGAAGGGGCCATGTAGATGCAGTCGCCGACAACGAAGTATGTAGATATCACGGTTACCTCGTCGTCCATGCCGCTCCTCTTCCGCCGGTTCTGCTTGCGGATCACCCAGATGTTGGACGGCTCGTGGGCGAAGCGGTTGTCTGTCTGTGCGGCTGCTTGGAGTGGGTCATATGACACCATAAACTCTAGGCCCTGCATTGTTTTCAGTCGGGCTTCGAAAGCTTCGCGCGTCTCGACAAAATGACGGAAGGCATCGTTGTAATTGGCTTGGATGGCGAGCGAGGCGTTGTTGGAAGTCGAATCAAAGAAAGGGGATTCGGCAAAGTAGAACAGAACTAATTGAGAAAATTAGTCTCACGTCAAGGTGTGGTTAGGTGTGCAGCTCACTGTTGTTGGAATGAAGGAAACCCCCCATCATCTGGACGTGCGGGGGAGACCGCCAGAGGATCTCCTCCATTGAGGCATCTTGGCTCGCCATTCGGGACTCTGAAATAATAGACCGAGTCGAGTCAGGTCTATCGAAGCTCTGGACAGGCTTTTATTTTTGAAGATTGCGAAAGAGGTTAAAGGAAAGACGCAGCCTGGACGTTGAAGCTGCGGAGAAAATGATGTTTGTTTTGTTTGCAACTTGACAATCTACGATGACGAGGGGGAAAAATCAGTTGGGAGAGTGGTGAATATCCGTATTTATAATTTCTATAGTTGTTGAATGGATTTATAGACAAGATTCAAGGTACATATACAATACCAAAAGGCAACCCAAAACGCCAGCGCTGAATGTTGAATCGAATCTCTATCCGAACGCATGGATCCAGATGTTGAAAACAAGGAAAAGCGTGGATCATGATGCGATCACGCATAACCGTTATAATGGCCAATAACCAATAACTGCACCGAGTAGTTAAGATGTCGTGGCCGAGTTCTCGCCTGCATCAAGCGGCGTGAAAACGTTGCAAACTACACGCAGTTTGGTCAACATCTCATCCCATTCGCCCTCTGCTGTGCTGAGTGTGGTAATAGCACCCCCGGCGCCAATTCGCCAGGTCTGCTGCTTATTCTCGGTGTAATCTCGACCACCAGAGCAAGTAAATGCCGAGCGAATCAGAACCGAGAAGCTTCCACCTCCGCCAAGGTCCAGGAAACCCATCACGCCGGAGTAAATGCCACGCTTGCGGTTCTCAATCGTGCGAAGATGCATGCAAGAGCGTTCTTTCGGCGCACCAGTCATGGATCCCGGTGGGAGGCACCGCTGGAGGGTGGTCAGACCGTGAACGGACATGTTGGGGGGTATTGAGCTGGGACATATGTCGCACAGCGAAACCAGGGTGGTTGGGACGGATTTTGCCCTTGATGTGGGTGATCATTGAGTAGACTCGGCCGTAATCTGCAACTTCGAGCAGCTTCTCCACATGGACGCCACCTGATCCGCAGATGCCATACAGATCGTGCCGGATCAAATCTGCGATCATAAGGTTCTCGGCCATCTCTTTTGTGGAACCGAGGATCTCGCAGGCCTTCTCCATGGTCATGTCTGGTGATTTCCGGACTGTGCCTTTCATTGGCTTCATCTCCAGTGTCGATTCACGGTCCCAATTGAGGAAACATTCCGGACTGCTGCTAGCGATCTTTGTATCTCCCAGATCTGCGAAAGCGCTGAATGCAGCTGGGTTGTATGTTTTGAGTCTCCTGTACAGCTTCCAGGGGAATATCAAACGGTCCGACTCCCCTTCTGGAACTGGCAAGGTGATTGACGTCTCAGATGTGAGACATAGTTCATAAGATTCACCAGCTTCCAACTCCGCTTTGCATGCCTCGATTTTCCGTTTGTATTCCTTTTCCCTGGGGAACCGAATTTTGCTTTTGCCGGAGAATTGAATCCAAGCCCCGATCCACAGATGTATCATTGCCATTATTCGAAAGGGTTTGCAGCAGCTGCAGGGTCTCATCAAGCCAACCCGCATCATCATCGCGAGTGGATTGAATAACAACAGCACCAGTGGTATTGTCAACCACGATACTTCGTTCACACCATAGAAGGCTGACATCGGGTGGATCCACAAAGGAAGGATCAGATGAAGATTTCCCGCTGCTGGAGGGCGTTGGTGACTCAGAAGCCTGCGCATGGCCCGGGTGGGGAAGACAAGTGAGACCAAGCTCGTAGGAGAGATAACCCAGGAAGCCACCCCAGAATGGCACTTGAGAGTTTCCTGTATCTACTTTCTTCATTTCCATCAAATACCGTAAGGCATCCCACAACTGAGCAACAGTAAGACAACTCTCAGTCTCTTTGCAGTCGCCATACAGCTGGAGCAATCGAAGTTTATGTGTCTCGACATTGTACTCCAACCGCCATGAGCCAGGACTCGGCACCGAAGCGATGCTGTATTGGCCATTGGATTGGAAAAGGACTGTTGGCGAACCTGGCTTATTGAACACTTCACTTATAGCCTCTGCGGCCAAGCCAGGCCGATCAAGGGACCGGGAAGCCGAAATTTTCGAAGTTGACTTGCTCCAGTTGAGCATGTCATAAGCAGCATCAGGGAACGGACTGGGAGCCGTAAGGGGGCTGATGACAGTGCTGGGGAGGGAACAATATCCCCCACGTCCAACAATCTTGTTATATCCAAGAGCCATCTTCCACCAATTCCGGAGAAGTGCCTTACAGGCATTGATTTCTGATTTGCAAGACTCCGGATGGAACTGAACACCCCAGAATGGCTTTTTGGGATGGCGAACTGCCATGGGTATCTGTGCTTCTGGGCGATCCTTTAGAGACAACCAAGCCAAATATTCCAAATCGGTCGATGTTGAAGAAGCCGAGTTGGCATAGAGTGAGTGGTAAAGTGTCACCTCTACCTCCGGTAGATGTTCAAAGATATCCTTCGCTGATGTGGAAATCTTGTGAATCTGCCCATGAATCGGGTACGGAAGCCGCTCGATAGGAACGCCGTGATGAAGGCAGAGGCTTTGGAAACCCAGACAAATACCAAAAACGGGAAGGAGTCCTGAGTCGTGAAGATTCCAAATGTCTCTCATGATACCGACATCAGTAGGCACGTTGGGGTCTCCTGGCCCCGGTCCAAGAACGACAGCTTCGTAGTGCTGGAGAAACTCATTCATGTTGGAGTCGGGCCATTCTGAGTCAATAGTCATTACTGTGACATTGACCCCCAGGGTCTCCTCCAGCATAGCGACAACATTGTAGGAGAATGAATCATAGGCATCAACATAAAGGATACTCTTAGTCGAGGAGCTGGGATCAAGTTGTGGCACTGTGTTTTCAGTCTTTGGGCATCCCAATCACCTAGCATTGGTGCCATGATGTTCGAATTTGATGGCGGGGTGCACCGGAAAATCCCGACAATCCCGGAAAAGGCTCTGAGATCAAATGAAATCAAAGGTTTCAGAATTCATCTGCATAGCAGGATCTTCGATTCTTAGCCTTGAATTAGCTACTCGGAACGAGTTTGCCGCTTATCTGATGGAGACAGATCGGAGGGTGGCAATATGCTCAGAACATGCCCCAATGAGGAAAAAGAAAAGAAGAGATTTAGAAGTATAGCTTTCAAATGACGATATTAAACATGCAATCGGAAATTTAAGGAAGCTAATATGCATTGTCGTTGACACGAGGAGAGAAAAAAAAATTAAGGTTGAAGATAAATTGAAAGGCCAAAAGCGGGTACCGACGGGAATTTCACCGATGTGGCAATGGAAGGGAGGGATTTTGATATTGGACTTTTCATGGGAATAAGATGTAGGTTATTTAACCTGGGGTCATTAAACAGAGGCATTTCCGTGGGAAGAATAATGTAATACATCATATGTACTTCTTATAAGCCCCTTAACGATAGAACAGGTATATATAGCCCCGAAATCAGGCCTATAGATAAAACACATTTACTGGGCTGTCTCATCCCATCTGTATATACCTAGGTACGTCAATGAACTATGCATAACGCTAGCCCGAAAGAGACGGGAAATGTCAGACTGTATAGAACGAGGAAAAGTTGACTAAAGAGTGCATAATACCTGTCAAGTTGTCGCCCTACCTATGGCTTCCTATGTAGACGAGGATGAAAATCCTACAACATACGGTAATAGATCATAGACACGTTGCTTTTTACCGAAATTCCTTTTTACGGGAGGCATCATTGAAAGGACTCACATATTTGCAAAAAGAACTGAAATTGCTAACAAGGTTAATGCACTTTACATTCGAACAGAGAGACTAGAGGGTATTGAACAAGGCAGAAACATCAAGACTGTCCAGACTGAGAAGCTGGAGCTGGCACCTGCAGCGAAGCGAGCTTGGCAGCAACCTTGGGGAAATATTGTGCCACAAAGCCCTCTGTGTAGTAACTATGCGCAGAACTATGATCTCCGACCAAGTTGTGCGCCAGCTCGTGGCACAGAATCACCCACCAATACACGATAGCATCGGTGCGATCTGGGCTTGCGCTCTTGAGTAGCTCCTGCTCCTGCAGAGACTGGAAGTAAAAGTAGTTACAGAAAATACTGCCCGCGCGGTTGAATGCGATCGTCTTGCCGCCCGGGTCATAGAAGATCGTCAGGCTGTCGGCCCGCATCGAGAAGATCGTGCCACAGTCAAGGAGGACCGAAGCAAAGATGTTGAACCCTATGCGGTTTTTCGCGAGGAAGGCAGATCGCTCGGTGACTGTCTTCGTGAAGAGGACGTTCACGCCACTGTTCGGGAGCGTGGCGACGAATTCCAGGTCGTGGCTTGGGCGCTCGTCACAGTAGGACTTGCTTTCCTGAATTTGGTTTGTCTCTGGGCGACTGTACACGTCGGACGATCCGTGAGGCCGACATGCTTGGACGGCAGAAAGAAGCTCGGAATTCAACCGGTGCGGTGAATTGGCATTTACAGGTTGCTCTGGGCGCTTTTGCTGAGCCTGGGGGTCATTGGGAGAGTAAGGCGGTGGTGGAGGCGTGGAAGACTCGGGAAGCAGAGAACGAGATTGCTCTTCAGTGCTGGAGTTTGAACCAGACTTTCCACCATCTAAGCCAAACCGTTTCGACAGATTGGCAAACAAGCCTCGACTGGGTCGCTCCGGTATTGTCTCTGGAGGAACGGCATGTGCTTCTTCTGACAAGCTCTTGTTATTTTTCGGCGACTCTGGGAAAACACCAGGCATCGCATTCTGCGCCTGTGCTTCGGCCTTCTCTTCCTCGGCCCTCTGAGAGTCACGCTGGGCTTGACCTGCCGCCCAGGCAGCTTCTCTCTCCTGCAAGATACGCCTCTCCTCCTCGACTTGTTTTTGGCGTTTATCCTCTGCGATCCGAGCTTCTTGGGCTTTCTGTCTCAGAATACGTTCCACGTTGTAACCTCGAGCCCGGAGTTCTAAGAGATCGGTCTTCAACAGCATTTCCAATGTGAGGGTCGAGTGCAGCTTCGGTCGCTTCAAAATCAACTGCACCAAGGACTGACTGATCTCATACAGGTCGTATCGATCAGGGCAGATGCACAACCCCGCACCCGAGGTCAGCCTTGCGACAATCGCATTCTTTTTCTGCGTGTGCGACACCCGTCGTCCCTTCAGCGACCTCGTAAGACTAATCGAAGTCACGACCTGGACTTTGAAGGAATGCTCCAACCATCGGGCTCCATGCAGAACATAGTCTGCTGGCTGATCATGCAAGAAAAGCCGCGCACGTTCTAGGATCAACTTCTCCAGTTTATGTGCAGGGGTTTGATTAGAGGCGATGCTGCCAATTCGTGGTTGTTCCTCAACAAGCCCACTTAAGGATATAGCCCCAAGAGCAGCGTAAAAGTCCTCCAATGCCTCTTCTTGCGGGGCGGCGAGAATGTGTTCTTTGAAGAGGTTGAAACTTTGGAAATCGTCTACCACGACAATGTCCTTGGCAGAGGCGAGATTCCATTCTTTGATGCCCATATCGTCCTCCTCATCATGTAATTCCTTCATAGACGACTTTTCTTTGCCACCGTGATCTGATGCAGTGGGCGGGATGTCTCGACTGGCAAAAAGGAATTTTGCTCTCCGCATCTCAACGAAAAGATCCTTATCCTTCTTCAGCGTGGAGAGGTTCTCCGCGAGTGTCCTTAGAAGCATGAGGTATTTCTCGGGGCTTTGGAATGCAGCAGATATACGAGCGGGCTCTTTGACCAGCATGCGTGCAATCTCAATCTTAGTTGGTTCTCGTTTTGAGCCAACGGCCATGAGGAAGAGATTCGCCTCCTGTCCGAAATCAACAAAGTCAAATATGTCCTTATACTCCTCCCCATTCCCAAGATAGCACAGCCTAGGGGCTACAAGCCGGTGTTTGACTCCCTTCTCTGATTGATCGCGGATGGGGATTGGGATGATAGGAGCTTGGCCAATGCGGTCTATATCTTGCTGTCTTAGATCGGCTACCCGTCCTGCCAAGTATTTAAATATAATCCGCGCATCCCTCTGGGTAGTAGGGGGCTGCTTCGCGAGGACTTGCAGACAGTCCGTCATCGGAGGATGAGGCTTGACTCCTAGTCTGGAGGCATAGGGGTGGAGATTGTTTCTGAGAAGTCTGAAACCGAATAAGGCAGCACCTTCATCGGTAAAGCACTTCCTCGGAACGCTCAAGCTATCCGATCCTTCTATAGGAAGGAATGGCACTGTCACCGCACTGATCTCGAATGCAGCATACCCATTTGTGTAATACTCGCCGAGGAAATACGACAGAGCCTTGCTTGATCGGCTATCTTTCTCTGTGCTCCCGGCAGACATGAGCCGTACGAGTTCAGCGGCTGATGGGTAACTCTTGAGGCCCATCATCGTAAGAAATTTACCCTCATTGCTGCTGCTGGTATAAATGCCCGGCCATTCGATAATCGGTAAGCCGAGAGCTCTGAGTGCATCCTTCGGCTCATAAAGCTCGGAAATCTTGTAACGTGTGCCCTCGCTGCTGCTCCCACTTTCGGCGGTACAGATACTCGTCCCCTTTAGTCTTTGGATGTCGTTCGCAGGGATGTCCTCTCGTACAGAGGCGAGGTAGCGAATGAGATCGACGTGATTCCATTTCCTGGACGCAGGACCCTTTACATCACCAGACGTTGGGGTATTGATCAAACGATCAAAGATCACACCAAGCTCCACGGTTTTGCGAACCCCAAGTTGGACCAGGATCTTCTCCTTGACGCCATTCAGGCCATGAACCACAGGTAGATCGTCGAAGAGACGCACGGAAGCGAAATATGTCTGCGTAGGCTGCTTCATCCCGAGTTTTGTGGGGATTACAGTCTGGGGTTGAAGTGTTGCAACAACACCTTGCTTTGAAGCTTGACTCAGAGTTTCCCACTGCTTTGACAAAACAGGCAATACCTGGCCCGAAAAGGTGGCCGACTGCGTGATATCTTGATCTATTGAGAAAATATTGCGGTCTCCGCAATTTTTGACGATCCAGTTAAGCCAAGGAACGATTTGCAGCTCGACCCAGCCAAGTGCCTCCAGTTCATGCTTGTCCAAAGACTTGATGAACCTGAAAGGTATCACGCTAGGTGGTACGGGCAGGTCCGCTGGAATGCGCAGAGGGTTCAAATAACAAGTGATGTCCGCAAAGATGATCAAACGTGTGGGAACCCCTTCTTTGTCTTCGTCATTAGCCACTGCTACGCGTAGTAGACTTTGTACCGAAGACCTATCAAGCTGACCAGCGACCGTTTTACGGCCAAGCCATGAGATGAACTCAAGGACTTGGTTGGATCGCAAAGTATTAGACTCTAGCTCGCGCTTGATGTCTGATACCGTTATTTCCGTGACCAATCCGAAATCTGTCAGCCTTTTGACGAAATCTTTAGCGCCCTGTACAAAATCTTCAGGCAAAGCAGGGATTGAGTCCATGAAGCTCAGGTCTTTGGGTGCGATGCGCGTTTGGTGACTGGGTATGACACCGCAGGTAGAGAGGACCTCAATAGAGGCATTTCTGTTGCACATCCAGAACGCATCTTCGATCGTCTGTCCCAAAACAGAAGATGGGGTAGATTCACGGAATGCAAATTGATTTGCAGTATGGATAGCCTCTGGTAGTACATCCACAATGTCTTCTTTCCGAATCTTAGACGAGCGTGATGGTCCAACCTTGGATGTGAGTTTTGATTTTATGGTAGCCATCTCTGCGGACCACGCAATTCGACAAACAATACCAACTGCCCGTAGCATCTCGAGATTCCATTTGCTGATGTACCGAGTGTTTAAATCTATGCTCTCTCGCTCCACGGTGGGAATGACAGACGGAGCAGAGACATGAGCATTCAAGCCAGTCGTCTGCTGTGTAGGGAACCCAATGAAGACTTTTCCAGCTTTCGAGGGTAAGATCGACGAAAGAATTTCTGACTGCGATGAGGACGCTCCAGTCGCCATGTTGGCATCGTAAGAAGGAGTCAGAATTGCGAGGGTTGCTTTCTTAGGTGGAGGCTTCCGTGTGGCTCGTTCCAATTCTTTGCTCAGATCTCTACTAATAGATGGTTGGAGTGATGCTGTGTTGATATGCAGAAAGACCGAAGCTGAGAGCATGGTATTCATGTTGCCTGAGTCTTCCTGGCGTTCAGGGTCCGGTTTCTGAGCATTGGGCTGTTTCTCGGTTGCACCCTGCGTGAACTTCGAGAAGAAACTCCTTAGCGAACTGGTTGTGTCTCGGAGATTATCAAGGCGGAACAAGCTTGCATTGGGATTCCATTCCACAATTCGCATCCATGAAGCATCAACCTGCGCAATTTCTCGAGTGACATTGACAATTTTCATCAAACCTTCTGCAGTTTTAGTGTCAATGTCTCTCGGAATCGGGACATCGACACTTGGAGCCGTCTTTTTTGATAGCCGTAGAAGGTTCCAATCATCTAACCAAAGTTCAATCTCATGCAATGAGACAAATGTTAAACTGCTCGACAAAAATTGACATAGCTGCAGCAACGATGGGACCGGGGAGGAATCATTGCGGTAGTCTAAGACAAAAGTGGTGTCTTGACTTGCGGCTTCGCCGAGGTCCAGTCGGCGGGTAAACAAGGCATTCCCTTTCCAGTAGAAGGCCATCGCTTGGTTACCAGAAGACACGAACGGCTCCTCGCAATCATCGAAAACACTATAAAAGCCTACTCCAAACGCGCCGATCTTTGTTTCATCTGGGTTTCCGTCTGCAATCCGCTTCAATCTTGCCCAATCCTTTTCACTGAACGGAGCGCCATTGTTCGAAATTAGAACACGCCGAAGAGTGTGGTTGGCGATGGTATGCTTCAAATGTGCGGTGGGATCATTCGATGAAGGTGACGGTACTGTGGTAGATGGAAGGGTCTCAAACTTGATCGTTACCTTCGTTGCAGAGGCATCAGCGGCATTTTGAATCATTTCTCGGAGGACCGTCCTGTTCACAAGTAGGTTAATATTTAGATCTCAAGACTAAAAAACACACAGCTCTTACCATTTCCCGGAATATCGAGCAAGAACTTTCGAAATCAATCCTCTTGTATCGACCGTCACAGCTTCCTCATCGGCCCCAGACCTCATGGTCCGGGCCTTCAACGCGTTGAAATCCACATTAGCCATCTTGCCGCGTATGTATTCTTTTATCTGATTATGCACAAGCCGTTTATCTTAAGCAGACAGGGCAGTTCATATACACCCCTGTATGAAAGCAGATGAGTTTTGACAACAAGATCGGATCGAGGCTGTCTAGGCTGCCGTGGAGATTGTGAACTCGGGGGACTGTTCAACCAGATCGAAGCGCTCGGTCGGGGTCGAGGAAAAAAGAAGGTGTAGAACGCTGAACAGAGTATAAATTCCAGCAAAGACAAAGAAAATACGCAACAAAGTAAGAATATCTGGTGGGATGAGGGCAGATAGTTGGAGACCGCGGAGTTTACGTCGGGCTTATCTTTCTTATCAGTTGTAGAATTGCCACCGCTCTCCGCCTTTGTCCCGAGTATCATCTCCGTGTGTACACATTCATAGGAGACCCCGGACCCGCTTCTCCTCCAGTCTGCCGCAATCTCCCCTATTGCATGACGCGGAAGCTTGCCTAGGTAATTGTGTGGATGTGGGCTTAATATAATCAATCACTCTCAACTGACAGGATGGGTGTTGACCCTCTGTCCCCAATTGCGCCTGTGCGCTTCAGGGCGCTCCTCCTTCCCATCGGCAAGATCAAGCGCTCGCGCTTTTTGAGCTTCGCTGCCCGACTACAAGCTGAAAATGTAGTTCGACTAGGGGATATTAGTCCCGATGCGCGGCCAAACAGAAGTATGCCCTGCTCATGATCGCGAGAAGTCTGAATATTGCTAGCGTGTATACTAACCTACTCTTGTCATAGACATGTTCTCACCGCTAGCATTTCCTACCGGACTGATTCTTTATGACCTTTCCTTCTCGGTCCCTCCGACTTCGCATCTCGAACTATTTCCTTTTGAACTATACAGAGAGCCATTGGTGATCATTGCGATCGCAGATGGGTCTGAATTGCCCGAGAGCACCGGCGACGTGGAGAAGCACCCCACTCCGGAGGGACTAGATCAATTATTGGAAGAGCTCGATGGGGTGAAGGAGAGAAACCCGCGGGCTTTGGTAAACCAACTCTTGGTCTTTGATCACCATGGCTTGGATAAGGTCGCAAATGGACCGGATAATGTCCTTTGGGTTCCTCCGCCCCAGGCCTCCAAGGCCACGACAATGAAGACAGTTCTATGCGACATTACGTCTGTTCTGCTCTCCGAATTGGATGAGTTTGCAAAGACCATTCAAAGCATACCGTCGATCGAATCACCTAAAGCATCTTCATGGGGCCCGCACCGGAACCCAGAACATCGGCCACGGCCCGTCGACCGACTTTTGAATCGCATGACTCTGCCCGCACAGTTACCATCGAGCCCACATGGCACACAGGATGGTACTCCATTGAGCTCCAACGCTAGCTCCCCAGCTCCTAGCGATCACGAGACCCCTACAACCTTTGATGAAATCACTCGGGCAATTCACCTATCCAGTCGTACAAACTCGGGCAGCAGAGCACCTTCAGTAGCATCCCCAAAGGAGCATAGCCGCGACCGGATGTCTGTCAGTGGCATGAGTGCTACTGACAGGACTAAGAACCGGATCAAGGGTCGTGCCGGGGTGATCATTGGAACTCTTTTCCTGCAGGCGGGAAGGTGGCCCGATGCCCTCAAGGAACTGACTGAAGCGGTGAATAATGCCCGAGCGAGCAGCGACTACATTTGGCATGCTAAAGCGCTCGAAACAATTCTTCTTTGCCTGCTGATGTTTGGGTGGGCAGGCATGGATTTCCAGGTATGTGAATGGCTAACAACGCCGTCAAATACCCTGGGTATGTGTGCCAGATTGCTTACTTTCTTACCAGATTCCATCAGTCCTATACCCTGTTGCGGACAAATCTTCCAAGCCTTCCCGCGACTCAGTAACCCCTAGTAGCGCTGGGAATAGGATTATCTCTTTGCACAACCTAGCCAATCTCCTGCCAGATCTCTCGAACAACATCTTAAATCTTTATACCCGCGCCGCCAACATCACAGATGAACCTCTCCCACAGTTAGTGTTCTCGGAGACGGTCATTCGATTAGCGCGGCTGATGGTGTCAGCTCGCGTTCGCGACGGAGCCTTGGATGACAATGCTTTGAAGCACGTCGTGATGAATGAACCCTTGGTTCCATTGCTCCAGCTAGAGCTTCCTCGGGGAACTGTTTTGCTCCGGAAGTCCGAGATTGCTAACTTCTTATACCGGGCTTTGCCGCTCGCCCCTGGCGCCGACTTACCTGCGACTGACGCTGTTCCCATCATTGTTGGCGTTGTTGCTGTCCTTAATATCCTTGACCTGCCTAGAAAGAAAGCATTTATTCTGCGTGAACTTCTTTCGGTAATGGTACCAAGTCTAGTGCAAGCACGCAAAATTGGTGCTGCGGAGGTGGGCATTCATCCTGCCGCCGGGTTGGCCTCTCTCAGCGACACCGCATTTGATGTCAATGCCTTAGATACAGGCCCCGGGAATATGGAGTCAAGTGTGCGTCTCCTCCTTGCGACAATCGGGGAAATCTACGGTGTTCAACCTTCATCTTTCTACGAATGGGAGAAGAGACAAAGCCAATTATCTAGTGTGGGCGGGCTTCAAGAAAGCACTGAATATGATTCGGTTGTTAGTATTGCCGAGCGGGCATTTCGACATATAGTTCTTGATCGTTACGGTGATCTGAACTTGAAAATTGATGTCTTGAAAGCATGCATCAACTGCTGCGAAGCCCTTCCAGATTTCAATGGAGTTCTCCGTTTCACAGTTGAGCTTTTGCAGACTATTCGGGGGGGATATGATGCTGGGTGAAGCATACAGATCACCACCGTATCTCCCACAAGATGAACAAGTTCGTCTCTTAAACAACATTAAGCGCACCGTGAGCGCAAGCAGCAGACTAGGTGTTTCAGATATGGTCGCAGAGTATTGGGATGACTTCCTAGTTCGTGATGTCCAGTTATTGTCACTGCCAGATCCTAAAAGACCTGTTCGACGGTCCAAAACGGAACTGGATGCAGTCACCACAAGCTCGGACAAGGCGAAAAAGGATCCGTTCCTGTACAATCCCTTCGCCAAACCTACTAGCAAGGCGTTGGAAATGCTCACTGTCGCTGATGAACCTGCGCCATTCCAGGTGACTTTGCAAAACCCATACGAATTTGAGATCGAGATTGAACATTTGCGCTTAGAGAGCAGCGGTGTGCCGTTTGATGCAGTGGCAGAGAATTTTGTCATCGCTCCCCTCTCTGTGCAAGATATCACTGTTCTTGGCGTCGCCCACGGGGAAGGCAGCCTTCAGATTACGGGATGTGTCGTGAAAGTGCGATACTGTCGAACGCGAAGATTCCCCATCTTCAAGACATTCTGGAAACCTGAGCCTGAGGTCAAGTTTAAGCGAACAGGTCTGGGGGCAAAGAAGCCTCTTACGGAGCGCCCGGTTTCCTGGAGCTCAACGACCTCAAAGGATGGGAAGGTTGACGTCAAGAAAGGTCCCGAAACATCAACATGTGAAGTCAAGGTCATTGCCAAACAGCCGTCACTTGTAATCGAGTCCATGTCTCTATCGCAGTCGGCGATGATGGTCCTGGAAGGTGAAGTCAAAACCTTCACCATTACACTTCAGAATGCCTCTTCGTGCCCCGTGGACTTTGTCCTGTTCACCTTCCAGGATTCAACCACCAGACAGCTACAGTCTGCACTGAGTAACAAGGACTTGTTGCCAGTCGAGATCTACGAGCTGGAGCTCAAATTAGCAGCTAAGCCCGCTTTGCGATGGCGTCGGCAGGGCCAGGACCCCAGTGACTGTTCGATTGCAGCAGGCCAGAAGGCAACTTTTACCGTCGACGTTCTTGGAAAGCCTGGTTTACAGGAGACAACAGTCCAGATCGACTACTCCTGCGTTGGGGCAGCCCCGGGTGAATTGCCTGATATATTCTATACCCGACAACTGTTTGTGCCGTTGACAGTCACGGTCAATGCGAGCGTTGAGGTTGCCCGCTGTGACATTCTTCCGTTCAGCGGCGATTTCGCCTGGAAGAACCATATTGAACCACCCGTCGACTCTACACAGAAGCCAGATGCGTTGCTCTCCGCCACTGACAACGACCCTTTCTCGGAAGTCCTCGGGCGTCTCGGCAACGGGGCTTACGGGCCTGATCACTGTGTTGTACTGCTTGACCTGCGCAATGCCTGGCCGAGTCCTTTGTCGGTGTGGCTGCGCGTAAGTGAACAAACAATGGCTACTCTTCCGAATACGGCGACCAACGATAATCCCGAGGGCCAGTACTCTGTCGACGGAGACCTCCAACCCGGGCAGGTCTGTCGGTTTGTTCTGGTTTTGCCTCGCGTCTATCTAGACAACCCACATGCCTCTATACCCGTCGTCAACACCGGCACTCGGAGACAATTCGTCGTCAGCGCCAACAAACTCTCTTTCGAAGCCGAGGCGGCCTCTCGCGAAGCCTTCTGGTTCCGGGAAGAGCTCCTCAAGAGAGTTCTGGGGGGCTGGAAGGAACCTGCCACAGGCCGTGAGGGATCCATTGACCTTCGAAACATCCGACTGAACAACCGTATGGTCGAAGCTATGCGCCTCGAAGATGTGGAAATGAAATTCTCTCTGACCTCGCCATCATCTTCACCCTCCGATGCAGTGGAACAAACGGGTCGCTCACGCTTCCGCGTCAAGACAGACGACCTCCTCACCCTAAATGTCACCGTCCACAACCGCTCCTCGCGCCCCATCCACCCCCTTCTCCGTCTCCAACCCAGCCTCCGCCACCAACCAAACAACATCGCCCTAGATCTAACCCGTCGCCTCGTGTGGACCGGCATGCTGCAGCAAGCACTCCCTATCCTGGCAAGTGGAGAGTCCACCAGTGCCTCCATCGGTGTCACGGTCCTCTGCCGTGGCGAATATGAGCTCGGTGCAAGCGTCGAGGAAGCTCGTCTCCTGCGTCCGTCTCTCGATGATGGTGATTCCGCTCCTCGCCGCTACAACGATGATGGTATCATGGATACCTTTGGCGCGGATGTTGTGCGGCGCCGACGCATTTGGCATGCAAAGGAGTTGTGTATTATCCATGCGACCGATTCATGAACTTCATGTTTGACTTTTCTGGTCTGGTCTCGTGTCATTTGAACGAGCATAGACATCATATAGATCCTGTCTATCTTCTTTTTCTTTTCTTCTTTTAACTTGATTCGATGATGACCATGTAGCATACCCCCCCAGCGGCCTTCTGTGCAAAGCTCTGTCTAGACGATTCAGGTGGCCAATTTTCCACTGAGTTGAATTGCAAATATATTCGAATTCTATGATATTGATGAGGTCCTGATTGGGCCAATGCATTTGTCGACAGACATTTACTCTACTTTCTATTGGTTGGGGAATACTCCACTATCCCTAAGGTTGAATGCCGTATGATCGATGACTCGTTGGAAAGGTAAACAGCATCTATGATCTATACGTACATATGGTATGTAGGTATGTACGGAAGTGAACAGAATACATCTTGATCTGGTATGTTTCTCCAGGGCTATATATAATTGGTACATCTCACACCTGGGGACTTATATGCGGGAATCATCTGCCAAGTACATTCTATATACCTCTAGTAAACAGATAAAGACTACACCAACAGTCCTATTTAATATCATCGAGGTATCGGGATATAGTATGTTCAACTGTTATATGTATAACTGCGGGGTTAAAGGTAACATCATGATCTCGGACTTTTCCCCGCACTTCCCTCATTTAAATAGATAGCCCTCCCATGTCGTTGGAAATCACTTACTCTCCCTACTCAATCATGTCTCAAACTCACCTCCTTACTTTAGACTACAAAGGCGACCACAAGCCTGGCACCATCCATGATACCCAAAACTTCATCGACAATGAACTCGTTGACTCCAGAACAACAAGCTGGATCGAGGTCCATGACCCCGCAACAAATGATGTAGTCTCTCGAGTCCCGGAAACAACTCTCGACGAGTGCAAAGCAGCAGTGATCTCAGCCCAAAACGCATTTCCCGGCTGGCGAGACACCAGCATTATGAAACGACAGGAAATGATCTTCAAGTTGACCAACTTGGTCCGCGAAAACATGGATTCCCTAGCAATTTCCATCGTCACAGAACAAGGCAAGACCTTCGCCGACGCAAAGGGCGATGTTCTCCGCGGATTGCAGGTCTGCGAAACCGCCTGCGGAATCACCACCCAGCTCCCCGGCGAGGTCCTAGAGGTAGCCAAGGATATGGAGACCCGTTCCTACCGTCTCCCCTCGGAGTCGTCGCAGCCATCTGCCCATTTAACTTCCCCGCCATGATCCCTCTTTGGAGTCTACCTATTGCCATTGTGACTGGCAACTGCCTGATTCTAAAGCCGACGGAGCGTGCGCCGGGTGCTTCTATGATCATCGCTGAACTATGTAAGAAAGCGGGCTTTCCACCGGGTGTTGTGAACGTCATCCATGGTTCGAAACCAGCTGTTGAGTTTATTTTGGACGCACCGGAGATCAAGGCTATCTCCTTTGTTGGGTCGAACAAAGTTGGAGAGTATATTTACAATCGTGGTACTGCGAACGGGAAGCGTGTGCAGGCGAATCTGGGAGCTAAAAACCATGCGGCCCTTCTGCCGGATAGTAATAAGAAGCATGCTTTAAATGCCATCGCCGGTGCTGCATTTGGAGCGGCCGGTCAGCGTTGCATGGCGCTGAGCGTCTTGGTTACGGTTGGTAAGGCGCGCGAATGGCTCCCTGAATTGATTGAGAATGCCAAGGGATACAAGGCTGGAAGTGGGTTTAACGCGCGATCTGATCTGGGTCCGTTAATCACACCCCAGAGCCGAGATCGCTGTGTAGACCTCATCTCTAGTGCGGAGAAGGAGGGTGCTACTATCGCCTTAGACGGCCGGGGCTATAAACCTGAGGGTTTCCCTAATGGAAATTGGGTATGGGAGTCCCAAATCTTTCGTGTTGACTTCAAAATATGAACCGTCTTGCTAACACGTCAATCTAACAGGTCGGTCCGACTATTATCACCGGGGTAAAACCCGAAATGAGATGTTACCGAGAGGAGATCTTCGGTCCTGTGTTGCTTTGCATTGAAGCCGATACAATCAACAGTGCGATCGACCTTATCAACAGCAACGAATGGGGCAACGGCGCAGTGATCTTCACTCAGTCCGGATCTAGCGCAACACACTTCCAGAAGCGTGTTGAGTCTGGACAGGTTGGAATTAATGTCCCCATCCCCGTTCCCCTTCCTATGTTCTCCTTCACTGGTAACAAGCGAAGTGTCGCTGGAACGGGACTGCTCAACTTCTACGGGAAAGACGGTCTCCGATTCTATACACAGTGGAAGACTGTCACGTCGCTTTGGAGAACTGAAGATGCTACTGAGCTTGAGAAGCCAACCTCGATGACTTGATTCTTGGTCGACGACTTGTATACGGCAGAAATGGAAAACATATCTTGGGATTAGTTTGGCATCCTTGATAGGCGCAGACATGGCGGACATTTTCAGCTTTGGAGATAATTGCGTGTGGCTAAGATACATAGGATACGTAGTAGGTGCATCCATGAATAGTTCATTGATATTAACAAGAATAGTCGGCTACGTATACCTCCGTCCTTTAGACGATATCTCTCTACCATTTAGCCTCATACCTAGGTACTCCACCAACGTCCGAACCGATGGGTCCACTGCGGGCCGCAACTGTACTAGCGCACCTTCTCCACTCAAGCGGGGCATGTCTTTTCTTTGTTGTCCACGGGTGAACCTTTCCCATACAAAATACTCGAGTCCCAATCTCACTACTGGCTCCAGCTGGACCACTACAGCTAGAAAGCGTCTTCTTCCATTTTCAGATCGGCCGAACACAAACCAATATCCAAATTCCTATACTGCAAAGACAAACTCGCAGCATGGAACAGAAACGTTGTATTACTGTGGGCGAGGTCCAGTACCTTTTGATCCCACATCCTGATGTCAAATCTGGCACTACATGCTCCAAGGGCCTACGCTGACTTCTTCAGAATTTTCTGGGCTCTAAAAATACGGACGACACGGCTCTGGCCCTCGTTTACCGATCCACGCCAGGACAAGTAATCTCACAGTCCTCCCTCCGCAATTTTCGCACCACAATCCTAGACCAAGATGATGTCTTTCAGTCAGAATTCCTCACGAATGTTATTTTCTACGGAAGCAAGCGGGAGGACCTTCACATTGACCCCAGTACCTTCCAAGAGCTGCTTGACTGGGAAACAGAGAAGCACATATTCATCGAAAATGCTTCAGCAGCTACAGTTTGCATCTGGACCATACGTCCTCGCAAGTGAAAAGACTTGGCAGCCATGGAGAATCTATACCGACTTCAACGCAACGTTCATGGGCACATTCAAGCCTTCAGAGGACTTTTCAGGAAGATATGTATTCTCTATCACGATACAACAGTACCTAGGCTGACCATTTGCTTTACTCTAGTCAAGCTCGATCGATCCGAGGCCGGCATTGATGGACGAGCCATCGTACCTTCCCGTTGCTACTTTAAACCATCCAAATCGCGCCCGCTGGATGGTGCCAGAATCAGCGTGAAAGACAATATAGATATTGCCGGGCACAAAACAACACTATGTAACCGAGCGTGGGAAAGACTTTACCCAGCAAAAACCAAGCATGCGGCCTGTGTCCAGGTCCTCATAGACGCTGGAGCTATCATCGTGGGCAAAACAAAGTTGCAGGCCATGTTTATGCGCGAAGAGCCCAAGGAAGCCGTTGAGTTCACATCCCCTTTTAATCCGCGTGGTGATGGATATCAGGTTCCTTCTGGCAGTAGCAATGGGAGTGCTGCGGGGATAGGCTCCTACCCGTGGCTCGACTTTTCGCTCGGATCTGACAGTTCGTATCCTGCAAGCATGAAGAATAAGAATTTTCTATTAACTTGACACTAGCAAACGGAAGCGGTCGCAAGCCCGCGCAGTACAATGGGTGTTTTTCGATTCGCCCGTCAACAGGTATCATGGATACTGATGGGGTTAGCGGTCAATTCCCGTGAGTCTTGTATTCCTTTAAGGTTATGTAGGCTGGAAACGCTAATATCTCACGTGGCTTGGTTCAGACAATTTGATATGCCTGTATTTTTTGGAAGGGATCTTTCCAGGTTCTCCGAGTTTATTGCGGTGTGGTACGGAAGTTCAACACTACTTCGCACCCCATCCGAGGTAAATACACCTCCTATATTGATACTATACTCGTACTCACTCAGGTGCAGTTACCTGTCAGAATCCTATACCATCGGGATTATCTTCCGACTAAAAACGAAGCACAATCTCGTCTAATCGACACGTTTGTAAACGGTCTTGAAACCGCATTCGGGGTTACAAGGCAAGAAGTTTCCCTCGCCGAGCTTTGGAAACATGATTGTCCCGACGGTCCGGATCATGACGATATTGCGGGGTATCTCGAGCTTGTATGTCTCTACCTTCCTCATAATATTCTTAAATACCTGCTAACATACTCACAGGCTGGAGGCTACCCATATTACCGGGATTCATACCACTACTTGCAAGATTTCAGAAACGAATACAAGAAAGAGTATGGCAAGCCACCATTCGTTCATAGAGCTATGTATTGGCAGTGGTGGGTTAAATTCACTTTCTCTCGAAGATTATATAGCGAAATCGCTAACATTTTTGAGCTAGGGGCATCTCCAAAAACATCTCCATCGAGGAACGCGACACGTACTGGCGACGCTCCGAGATATACCGACACTGGCTTCTCGAGAAGATCTTCCAGGCCAACTCGAAAGAATCAATCTCGATTATGGTCTTCCCAATTGAAGGAGGAGAACCAAACTATCGCGATGGAGATATACCGTTAGTTACCTATCCTAACATCTATTGAATAAATCTATTTACCAGAACTTTTGCAGCCCATTCTCTATCCTTACTGGGTATGCATCATTGAAAATGTCACCGATGATGCGGGGACCAGAGCTCACGACTATAGGTAGGCAATCACAAAGATATTCTTGATGTAGTACTCATCGGTTATCTAGTTGGTCATATTCCATACAATTCTGTCGTGACGGAGACAAAAGAGCCATTGCCAATTGCGGCATCGGTGCTTGGACCACCCGGTATGTTGTTCTCTATCTTTAGACCTACATGAGTTGGCATTGGCTATAGGGTCCGACCTTATTCTTGCTGCTATAGTTGAAAGGGGTTTGAAAGCTGCAGGTCTTCCTACAAAGCTGAAGACTGGACGCTTCATTTACTAGAACTGTCACTGCCCTTGTTTCTCTCTGTCCGGTGTGGAGTTTCTCGTCGACTCCCCTTGTTGTATCTTCGCGCCTCAGGCAATTATTTTCGTACTGTAGTTGATTTAGTTGGTATTTTGCTGGCGCGGTATCTGAGTAATGGACGCATGAGCGCATACTACTTTATAGATCATTACATGACATAAATAAATTAGGGATACCTAGGTACCTAGGTATGCCAGGGCCAAATTATATATATCCGAGATCAAGAATCGGAGAATAAACTGGAATTTACATACCCACACAAACAATGACATATGATTACTAGGCTGATCTCAAAAGTGATACTAGTAGATAAGGAAGCTACATAATCCGCGATACGAAGTGGCAGAATATTCTAAATACAACTCGGTACTCTGTATACGCTAGCAAATTTGGTGTTTGATTTTTCGTCCACCAGCTAAAAGTATCATCAAAACTGTCCTCCTTCAACAGCCCGGCCGGGCTAGCTCAATCGGTAGAGCGTAAGACTCTTAATCTTAAGGCTGCGGGTTCGACCCCCGCGTTCGGCTATTCCTAAAAACAAAACTTGAGATTTCTTTTTTTGCCATTTTTTATATGGTAATTGAAGTTTTCGAGGTCCACTTAGGGCTGTGCGGGTGGAACCTGGAGACTTGGCGTTTGTATTACCTAAGCGAGAATTAACCTCCAGGGCTCCCGAGATGAGGCTGGGTAGAAGCAGAATGCCTATCCCATGATTCTGACGTGACAAAAGAATTTCTCGATAACTGCCAGGCCGGGGAGCCTCAATGGCTAGGAACTACCCGATGATATTGAATTCAAATCTCAAAAGCAGAGAGCGAACATGTCCTTGATATGCCTTATCCCCGAACTACCATACATTGACCGACCAAGTTCCGAAATACTCCATCTAGGAACTAGCAATGGACAGAAACAGGCAAACGAGTACAAATTTTCTCATAAAAGACATTTCTCAAAGCCCTGAGCAACCTTGGAAGTAAGCTCCGATATTCAGCAAGTGCCACCATGGATCTTCACACAGCCAAATCGCTCCCAGCCCGTAGGAAGTTTCACGCACGTCTGATCGGAGTTCTTGGAGATACGGGGGCCCACGCAGTTTCCGTTTTTATCGGGTTTTTGCTGATAGAACGAGGCTGTTGCTTTTTGGAAGTTGAGTGAGAGACTTTGGACTTTGTAGTTTTGTGATAGCCCCGTGCTTCCACAGGCGCTCACCGAGCCAATGTAGTTCGCACTCTTGCAAGAGGTGCCTTTGTAGGCCTTGACCACTGTGGCATCTGTAGAGACAAGGAGAGAGGCCAGGAGGGTGGTGATCATAAGGAGCTTCATGGTGGAATTGGGTTTCAAGTTATTCTGTTTGTGAAAGTGAGGGTTTGTTGAGAAATGAGTCGAGCTGGGGCAGATCGCTGCTTTATATGTTTGGAGATGCTATAAGCCGACGCGCTTTTTACTCCTTGGACGTCCGTCACGAGGGATCGAAGAAGTTGTATCCAATGGAAAATCAAGTAGGAGGCCTATCTGAGTGCCATATGAACTGCAGCTCGTATTAATGTGTGCCAAGTAGGCTAAGAAGTGAATACGAAAAATGGACTCTATTACCCCGGTCATAGTTGATGCGATGTAACCTCTGTCGGTGTTGAGTCCGGAATGGGGTCAGACTTTAGGACCACAACAATTTTTTTCAATATGATCAGTTATGTAAGTTTAGATCTGGCGGAGATGGAATTCTAGACTTGAGGGGAAACTTAAGAGCGAGGAGAAGGAGATAGTGTATTTTCTAGTATAGGATGAATTGAAATTAGATTCACTACCCCTATAGACAAAGACATTATTCCCCGAACCCTATTTCAAAACACCGCTAAATGTATGTACTCAAGTAAATCTGCCGATTGGTGTACACTCTAGCCTGGAGATGTGGGGAGAGTTCCAATCCCACTCCTGTCAGCCACTCATATCTAGAGTGGCAACTATAGCCGAGCGAGCTATATAGAGACAGTAGCATTGGGTTTGGTTCCTAGCTTCTTCAAACATACCTAGACATGCAGCTGCTAGCCTCTAACTGGTTGAAGTCGGGCTAACTTTCGATTAGTTAGTTAGTGGCTTGATTATCATACGGGGAAGACAACCGTTAGTTCGTATCCTGATGTCCATGGTTCTCAGCCGCATGCATAACCTCGACCCCGCAGACTAGTATTCGCAGTATATCCCCGCTCTTGGATACTACGTGCTTATGCCGTTGACGGGCGGCCTTAGTCCTTTACCAGCCTATCAGTCTAGAACGATAAAATTAGCTGGAGTGCTCAATACTGCTACTATCCAACTGGTATGATAGGATGCTAAGTGATTAGCTCTCAGCAAGCTCAGTCTAGTATACGATAAAGTAGAAGTAAATGTGTATAGGAAACTATCTTACGAGTTATAGAAGGGGATATACCTAGCCCCACGGCGGATTGCTTGCTAGCCGATTGCTGTAAAGGGCAAGTTGGAGAGATTATCAGAAGTGAAGACCTAAAGGAAGGGTAAGATCAGACGACAACTCGATCATTATACGGGTAATTTAGAGCTCCCAATGCGATTACCTCGACATCGATTGGACTGCCGTAGAAAGATAGCTACTTGGCTGAGGGCAACTGTGCTTTATTATGCCATCCCGGCCCATATTGCAAGTGGGACTAATATACGAAAGAGCTGTGTAGACTGCAAAACTACCATTTGAAACTTATAAAGAGACCTTGACCATTTTTGCGAAGATTTATATATAGAACAGCGGTATAAACTAGAAAGGCAACAATTGAGGATGATAGATAGGCACGCTAAGAAGTCCTATGAATAACAATTTCAATGGGATGCAACCTTCCCCTCGATCAGAGGCGCCTAACTCGACCCTTGTAGTACTTCTATGTTGTGCTGGCAAACGGTCTAGATCTTCAAGTTATGTAGGAGGATGTAGCCCTGGAGGAGAAACAGGTGACACTAACGCGATTACCGCACTGACCCCTCAACTGGTGAATCACACCGTCTTTTATCATCTGCACGCACCCATGCTGCATCACCGTGATATGTTGTCCAAATGTGATATCGTTAGGCGCGCGGTCCAAAGGTTTCTTTTAAATAAGACTTCATTCTCCACCTCTACTCGCATTTTCGCTCCCAAATTTCATCATCTCGTTTCTATGGACGATTCTCAATTTCCCAATGGGCCAAGTCCCCAGAATCCCACCGCGCAAAGGCTGGGAGAAGTCCTTTCAGCATGGCTTCCTAACACACCCGAGGGGCTTTACCATCAATATTTGCAAACTCTGTCGCCCGCTTATGATCATTTGTTGACATATTCGCGATACGACCGAATCTGGCGTTTCTCCGAACACAGCCCTCATACCCTGTCTTATCATTCTCAGATCTCTCTTCTGTCCTCTCCAGTATTCGTAATGGACATCGGCGACAACGATCGGGTTATGCTGAATCGTCAATATAATGGGACAGACGCTGATTCCATGAGAGAGCTAGAATCGCATCTTTCCGCCCCGCATCCCGATTCGGAGGATCGCCGTCGCTGTCGCATTATCTGCGCACAACACATCACTTGCCTAAGCATGGAGGCGTTAGGGACTGGGCTTTCTTTAGACCCTAATGTCTTCAGTAACCATATCGGGACGTCATTCAAGGACATTGAAAAGAGCACGGGAATTTATAAGCTCTGCAACACAAAGATCGATCAGATCCCTTCATCTGTCGGCACATTCGAGAACGAGAAAAACCTACAAATCCTCAAAAGACACCTAGGGCGACTTTCTATTGCCAACGTCGAGCATGCGAAAGACCTCACGATTCGAGACTCGGTTGCCAAGTCCATCTACCATGATCAAGATCGTCCTATCACGTTTTCTGTCGATGTGCCGCGAACGATATATGTGCAAGGGTATCAATCCGAGGACGATAGAACAATGCCTACTGGAAGACACCTACGTGCAAAAGTGCTGGCACTACAGGACCGAGTGTTAAATCGTCGCATTGCTCGGCAACGCTTCGTGGATGATACCATGTTTTGTGACCAAGGGAACGATATTCGCAAAACGGCCTAGACGTTCTACAGCATGTTACTATTCATGTCGTAAACGACAGCCTCAACCCCGAATTTCAACAAGGTATGGATAAATGGCTCCGTCTGCACAACGGTATGGAAAGAGCATGTTTTACTAATCTATCCGTTTCGGTAGTCTTGGTTTTATTCCCACCCTATCCAGACCTTGATGGAAACGATGCATATGGAGACAGTGCAGGCAACGATCCTCATGTCTTTCTTGATCCCCTGAGGAAGCAGGAAAGTACGAAGTCATTCGACGAATTCTGTCTAAATCGGGACCAAAGGGACGGTGAACCCACTGAAAAATCTACATCTCGACGGACTACGCCTCAAGACGTAGAAATCTTCGCTAATGATGTTCTTGTGAATCAAGCTGATACACCCAAGGGGACGACAGGGATTGTCGGCCTTATACGATCATATGCTCTGAATGCATGGTTCGATCGCCTACAGACACTGAAAGACCAGCTTGAAGATCTCAGTCTACAAAGACTATCCCGTCAAGGCACACAGTACGAGGAAGACCTACAAGATTCGGATGAGGAAAACCACACAGTTGATGGACTACTTGATGAAGAAGGGATGAAAAGTGCTATTCTTCGCTACATCTCGTCTCTGGACGGTGAATGCCGGCGGTTGAAACTCGATTTGCGTTTGGCAAAAACAGGATCATCCACAAATGACTTCGAAATGTTAGATCAGACGATGGAGAAGTACACTTACATACGAGCGGAGATGGGTAATCTTCTCGCTGAAACCCAACATCTACTTGATATGAAGAACAGCAAGATACAACAAGGCTTGATGACTCTTCAGATTAAAGAAAGCAGAGAGTTCATTGAACAGGCAACAACAATGAAGAGGTATGCTATCAGGCTACCTTGAGAGAATTAGGATTGGGACTGACATATGCTAGGCTTATCCTGATATCCTTATTTTTCATACCGTTATCCTATATCTGTACTCGGCGTTAACAACCACTGGATGTGTGGAATTCAGGGAGGGCGAGAATTGTTGGTCCGGAGGGGTTGAGCTTGCGGTCTGCAAGGTTTTATTACCATCATGTTAACTCGAAGATGCAGTACATCTCTTTTAAAGACTTGAAAAGCTTTCTCGTATCGTATTCTTCAGCTATGATTTTGCATAGTCAGTTAGACATCAACTATACGTTCCGGACGGGAACTCTATACAGCTCTTCCTTAACGTCCTTTCCAACCATGCTGAAATCAAAAACCCAAGACTTGAACCCCAGTTCCAGCATATCCTCGTTGCTGGACGCCTTGCCCCCGCCAAACTCCTTCAAATTCCATTTATCAACACCCTCAAAATCCTTCAACTCGTTTCCGAACCGTAGGAACAAATCGGCGTTCAGCCGCTCATATTCACTGTAATCCTTAGGCCAGTCACCGAGGCGCTGAAGAGCAAGCTTGAGCAGGAACAGGTGCTGGCGGACATGCTCGCCGTCAGAGACGGAGGCACCATTGGTCGTGTCGGTCAAATCTAGGTCAATGTCTAAGTCATCTGTGCTTTTACCGCTGTTGAAATCGTTCTCTTCTTCGGCCCAGGACGGGTTGGCGAAGAGGAACAGCAGTCTCTCGTGCAAGGCTGCGCTCTTCTTGTAGTACCTGCTCGCCAACGGCTGGCCGTTCTTCGCGGACTGGTAGTGCGTACCAACACCGGTGTACAGCTGCGACACAAGAGTCGATATCTCCAGGTTGCTCCAGTGGAGAACACCGTTCACAATGCTACATTTATACAAAATGTCCTCGGCCAGGCGCACGGCCTTGTGAATTTCACCCACCAGATAGCGGGCCAGGACGTAGCGGCGGCCCAGCTGAAGCGTCTTAGCGGGCGACCAGTTGATCATCTGATTACGACGGTCCCAGAGACCGCCCAGAAGCAAGACCAACTTCTTGTAGTCCTGCTTTTCACCAAGAAGGTGAATTAGACTGTTCAGATAGTCCAGTCTAGTGTTGAATATCTCGTCTGGTAAGGTCGTTTGATCGCTTAAAGCTTGAACGGCAGCATGCCTCACGTCTCGATCTGGGTCTTCTAACCGTGTCACCATGGCTTTGATCGATTCCAATTCTTGATCTTCATCCGTTGTTCTCCAAGACGAAAACTTTGAGGTATACCCCGCTTCCTCGCTAGTGAGGAGCTTAGAGAAATCGGCCGGAGTCTGCCCATAGTCTCCAGCTGTAGAAAAGGCGAGACTGCTTGCCTCTGAATCGGTACCGCTACTTGTGCCTTTAGACTCAAGTTTCGCCACCTGCACTGAGGCTCTCGAACCTCCTGTTTCTTCCTCCTCATAGGCACTGGGCAAGATGAAAAGGGCGATGTCCTCCATGTGAGCAGCAAGATGCCCCTGCAATGTCGACAATTGGAGTTCCTCACCACAGACGAGACATGTGTCTTTCTCGTTGGCGCCTGATACGTCGATCTGATGATCGCAGAGATCTAGAATGAGGACCAGCTGGGCTGGCGAAATAGATTCCCCAAAGTGTTCTCGAAGATGTGTTGACATTTCCTTCCTGCTGGGGCATCTCTTATCGCACTCTTTGCAAACATACTTGCGCCGGTGAATCTGAAGTTCGTGATATATCCAGTCGTGCCGGCTGACATACAGCTTTCCGGCATTTGCACAATCTTCGAATGTGCAGACGTAGGGGCGGAGATCGCGGAAAACATGGCGCCTATAAATTGGGGGGGTCAGATGATGAAACTGAGGTTGCAGAACTAAGGTGTAACTCACTTCCAAGTCGCCCTGTTCTGCATCTCGCTAGACTCGAGTGTCATCCCACAGTACGGACATGGAAAAGTCAGCTTTCCATCTTCCGCCTTTGGGGGATGTGGGACAGAATTGGACCGCCCTTGGCCAATGGCTGTGGGCGCGTAGACTGTCCGCGGCCGAACATTGGTCTTTGTATCGTGAATGTCTGAGACAGCAGCTGTAGAGAAACTTTGTTTCGACATGACTGACTTCGGCCCTTTTCGCGAGACATCGAGGTTTGGTGGGTTCAATATGGCTGGTTGGCTTAGTGGTTCCTTTTCTTCCACTTGTTTGCCGTGGACTGGCACTGGCACCTGAAATTGTGTTTCAAGCGGGGCCACGTTGGATGTGTCCTGCTTGGGATCATACGGATGATCAGTCCAATATTGAAGCTGCTCTCGACGTCTTGTGTTCGCTCCAGAAAGCCGCTGGCAGAACCACAAAATGTCTTCGACACCATCGTCTGTCAATGTCTGTCCCATTGGAGCAACGTCCTCGTCCTCGAATTCGACACAACGCCCGCTCTTGGCCAAGCCGCGCCATTGTAGCACCTTCTCGACTATATGGCCCTCGTCGTAGTGGCTGAACGAGACATCCAGTGGTAAGCTGTCCTGGTCATTTAGAGTGGCCCCTTTTGAATTTGAGTTAACGGAGCGAATATATTTGTCTGAAATCTTGGGGCGCCGTAGTAAAGCAGACAGCTCATAAAGTGATCGGATTTGCTCCAGCATCTGCTGGACGAGTAGACGAATCTTTGGCATCCTATGGGGTTGATGTTCGCCATCGCCATTTGAATCAGAATCAGAATCAGCACTGACACTACTAATCGAGTCGTGGTCTGATCCGACGACGGGATCATACTTCCTTCTAGCGATATCCGTTGCTAAAGCAAGGTCAGACAAAGCCCCAAGTGTTCGAAGTATGCGACTTGCCTTGGCTGAGGAGTGCTCTCAGTCGCATTAGGATGGCCTGCACCAAACATTTGAGCTCATCGTCCTGCCGGAGTGTGTCATCCAAAGAGCCACGAGCTCTTGCTGGAAGGTCTGCTTTGGCCTGATCACCCCATATCTTGGTCCTTCCGTACTCTTCCAATATCTCCGAAAGGTTAACCTGCTCAAGGTGAATCACACGGCAGTCTTCCTCGCTGAGGGCCAATAGAAACCTTCCAAATGACTGTATGCACTCCAGATATAACTCCGAAAGAGATGGATCACACGGTCGGGTTGAGGGGCCCATGATGACAAGCCATGGAAATTCTGAGTATCAGCGCCCCAACATTGCTTCGCGGTGAAAGTATGGCCGCCGTGATACGCGCTAAGCCGGGAATTTGACAATAACAGGCCCTTTGTGGTTGCCGATATGGTGGGGGGGATGGCCGGACGTCGAATCTCTCCAACGCGGGACATGTGTGGGTCATACTGCATCTCTGACTGCATCTGCTGTCCGCTGCTGTGGATGTCTGCACAAACTGGCCCAATGGGATTCTGCCACGCTCAATAGAATAATGCTAACCTGCTCCCCCACTACCTCGAAAAAAAAAGTGAGGCTGGCGGTGATCAAGGACCAGATCGCACCGTCGGAGAAGGAGCCCCTCACCAAGCCCCCAACTTCCAACCGTTGACGACCATCCCTCTCCCGCCATGCTGTGCAGTACGCTGGGGAAATGATTGGCAGTGAAATATATTGGATAATTGTTGGCAAGGTTAGTCCAACGCGCTTTATCGTCGTCATTGGGATAGCCCTTAGAACAGTCGAGTAGGATAACTCGCAGGACAAAGACCTAAACTGCCAGTAATCCATGTGGATGTACCACAGCCATGGCAGAAGTCGCAGGGCTTGTTCTGGGCGGTATACCACTCGCAATTTGGGCGCTTGAGAAATATATGGAGCCCTTAGAAGCTTTTCACAAGTACCGCACATCAATCGAGACCTTCCGCACCGACCTGATTTTGCAAAACCGCCAATTACAGACGACCTTTTGCAATATTGGATTGGGCAGTGAGCCAACGAGTGAGGAGCTGCGCGAATGCTTCGACGCTAAGTTCTCGAGTATCTCTCACGAACTGATGTTTATTGTTCAGCGTATGGACGATGTTACTGCCGGACTTATGAAGAACCTAGATATCGACGTCAATGGAAAGGTATAAAGGCTCAAATCTACAACCTTGTTTCGGGTGATTTTACTACAAAATCTGAAACCGAGCTAACTTGCGACTATATGATTAGCCGAATACTCTGCCAGACAGAGCCCAATGGGAATGGCGTCGAGTGAAACACGCCTTCAGCACAAAAGAGCGCAATAAAGTGATCGAAGACCTCAGGCGTTGGAACGAAGACTTTAGGAGGTCTCTTGAAAAACCTGAAGTGCCCGCAGAAGACGACAGTGGGATAGTTCGAGATCTCAAACGCCGCTTCAATATTCAGCGTTCGAACTCAATCCGTGAGTGCTTAAGCTCTCTTCACAGAGCACTCGAGTCTGGATTTTGTTGTGCCTGTTCGCCGCCTCACCAAGCTGCCGTCGATCTCGACTGGGCGGCGTATGAATCTGATACAGCCAAACCTCTCAAAGTGGCCGTCTCTTACGGAACAATCTCACACCTGCCTGGCTCCTGGCGGAAGCTTCAGGTTACTTCATGCACTCCACGCAAGATAGTCGGCTCGGTTCCTAGGTTACCATCGCCGTCACTCCCTCCCGCTAAAGCACTATCCCCACCCCGATCCTTCCTCGGCATCAAGTTTCGCTCACGATCCCGAACACCTTCACCAATACCAACTCCGTCGGATTTGTCCTTGGCATCGACTGCTGTGTCGACCCCAGAGAGTACCGAGATATCCAATCTTTGTGAGATAGTGGGCGCAGAACGTAATCCATGGACTCTGGCCGGCTTCCTCAAAGACCCAGATATGGACCAAGATCGGCAATTCTCCTTCGACCACAGCAAAACAGATTTGTCCAAGATCATTAAAGCAGTCCCTCTAAAGTCTCTACTTTCATCCCAGCAGTCAGAGCAGCAACAAAGCCCCTGTACTTCCCTATCCGTAAAACAGAGGCTTGGAATCGCCGCCTCTACTGCCTGGTCAGTCCTACACTTGAGTGGCAGTCCCTGGCTTGGCAACCACTGGGACGAAAAGCAAGCAATCATTTTTCTCGAAAGAATGCAAGGCAAGCGGGAGGTGCTCTCCCGGAACCCGTGTGCCTCGTGTGTATTCCCATCGCCAGCAACCCCAGCGGAGCCACCCACGAACGAATTCAGCCATCTCATTCCCAATAGAACTGTATTTGCCCTCGGAATTCTGCTCATCGAGCTCTGTATCAACAAATCCTTTGCAGAGATTCGACAGACCAATGGGAGTGCCATATCAGCTTCGCTACTCGATGACTATCAGACGGCGGTGAGCAAGCTAGATGAGGTGTACAGGCTTGTGGGAGACTCTTATGGAGATGCGACGGCGCGGTGCGTGAAGCTTGAGTTTCCGGGGCGTGATAGGTACAAGGATTTTGATTTCTCTCAATTCCGGCAGCAATTCTACGACGCTGTAGTTGCGCCGGTGCAGGCGACTTACCTTAGGTTTCCGGATTCGCGCATTCCTATATAGGCTCCGTCCGGTGGACTGTATGGTCTACCTTACAAAGCGAGGGACAGAAATATCTATATAGCCAGGCATGTAAGAATAACACCCAAGGAGACTACCAAAAAGAGCACTAAAAAGACATATAAAAATAGTATCGGATAAGACTGCCTGATAAGACCACCAAGACCACAGCCGCATAAGCGGCCGACTATTTGTGTAAATTTAAAGCTATTTATTTTAATGGCAAACTTCGCATCGATATATGCAAAGAACAGGGAGGAAAGTTCCAATCTAGATTGCCAGTGTCACCAACTTCTTGGCCGATACGCCCTTCTTCAGGATATCCAAAGCCTCCTGAATACCCTCGAGTCCCTTTGTTGACACAGCACAGTCTCTTTTATTCACTGGTATTGGAATGTATACACATAGGGGATGGTCAAAATAGTCGCAATTCTAATTATTCTATGCTCTATGGGGTCCAGTAGTAAGACAGTGCTATGGTTAAAGAGGATTACCAGCTCCTCTTATATGGCAAAAGGCTACCGCTGGTCTAGAGCCACTTCTATTTTCTTTTTTTTTCCAGCTCGGTGGAAGCGTAGGAAGACCTTTTTGGTGTGTATGAGGACAGTGTCGCGGATGTACATATATGCAAGGGACCATGCAGATGAATCCACAGTTACCTCCATTCCGATCGATAGAGTAAGCATGCGCCAAGCTAATAGTCATGCAAGTTCATATGTTGTAGGAGAAAGCGAGAACCATAACATTTATCAGAGTTTTCCTAATGTCGACGCGCCCACGATCTGATTTTCCTGTTGAAGTTGACAAAATGGTGACACCAAACCCGCAAGACTGGTGTAGGAACGACAAAAACGGAATTGTCAATGAGCAGGATATAGGGAGTGAAACCAAGTTCTCGATTTCGAAACAGGATGGTTTAATGCTTCTGGCAATGGCCAGCCTGAGCTTGATGGCAGCGCTGGATGGGACATCGATTTCGGTTACTTTGCCGGTAACTCAATTCAATCTTTTTCCTCAATGATTTATCCCTGACTCGAAGTGATTTTAGAAAATGTCTCGCGAGCTGGGAGGAACTGCAATAGAAGCATTCTGGGCGGGAACCTCGTTCACACTGTGCTCTGCCGGTATGTCAAGAGCCAACTGAGACGAGAACGGAACTAACACCCAATTAGTCTTTCAGCCAGTATTTTCCTCATTATCGGACTTGTTCGGTCGGAAGCCGTTGGTGCTTGCCGCGATCGCAGGGTTTACAATTGGAACAATTGTCGCCGGCGTCGCCAATAGCTTCACCCACATGCTCATCGGTCGGTCTCTGCAGGGAATTGGAGGCGGTGGTATCATCACCCTCACTGGAATCCTCATTGCGGATATCGTGCCTCTTAGCGAAAGAGCGAAATACTTTGGGATGCTTAGTGGGATCTGGAGTTTGGGAACAGTGATAGGACCTGTTATAGGAGGCTGCTTCGCAGAGAGTGTAACATGGGTATGTATGAAGCCTTTCTTCTCAATTCTTCTCCTTCTTCCTCTTGATGACCGGTCTAATAACAACTTACCTCTAGCGCTGGATCTTCTATATTAATTTCCCCTTCATTGGAATCGGGACAATCTTGGTCGCTTGGTCGCCCAACTCCCGGGTTGGAAAGGAGACTTTCGCTACTCAAATGCGAAAGATTGACATCGTTGGGATCGCCCTTTTTATTCCAAGCTCTGCTTCATTCTTGATCCCAATAACTTGGGGAGGTGTACTTTACCCCTGGGACTCATGGCACACGTTGGCCCCATTGATTATCGGGTTAGTCGGACTCTGCATTTTCGCCTTCTATGAATGGCGAGTTGCGCAACACCCGATGATCCCACCAGCCATCTTTCAGAACCGAACGGCCCTCATATCATTTGCGGGCTATGCAGGTGTCGGTCTGCTCGTCTGGTGCTGTCTATACTTCCTTCCTCTCTACTACCAAGCCGTGAAAGGATTCAAGCCTATAATGTCTGGAATCGCTCTTTTCCCGAGACATTCACTGTCGCTCCGAGTGGAGGAGTTGTTGGCCTTCTCATCAATCGAACGGGTCAGTACTACTGGGCTATCTGCATCGGATGGTGTCTTTCGACTATTGGAATGGGCCTGCTGTGTCTACTGGGGGCAACCACCGGAACCATCACCTGGATCTTCTTAAATCTCGTGCCTGGCCTCGGTATCGGAATGGTTCTTCCCTCCGTCGCAATAGCAGTGCAGGCATCGGCAACCGCTGAGAACCTTGCGATTGCAGTTGCCACATCTACTTCCTTCCGAGGCTTTGGACAGTCTATCGGTGTGGCGATTGGGGGTGTGATCTTTCAAAATCGAATGAAGAGCAATCTATTGAACTATCCTGCCCTACAATCGGTGGCGGATGAATACAGTGGTGATGCCGCTAGCGCGGTGGAACTTATCAGAGGAATGCATGGTCAGGTTAAGACGGATCTTACACAGGCTTACGCTGACAGTCTGAAGATCGTGTGGGCATTTTGCTGTGGCATATCTGGGTTGATATTTATCGCCAGCCTGTTAACCAAGTCTTATGATTTGAACCAGACTCTTATTACAAAGCAGCGCCCTGGAAACGAGGAATTATATAAGAAGGAAGAAAGCCCAAGTGAAAGATGAGTGATGATATCGAGGATGGAGAGGCGTTGGAGGCGATTTTGTTACATAACATTAACCACCACAATAACAACAGTATTATATATATATATATATCTATACTTTACAAATTATATGTTGTATGTGATAAACATAGCCTTGGCTAGTATCTATTAACAAGGTCTAGAATTGCGGGCAACTCACCATATTTAGTATATGAGGAACGCGCTAAACGAGAAATAGCTGATACAAGACAATAGACTAACACTCAGCTGAGCTGCATTTCAGTGGAGATCGGTGATCGTCCGCCGTGGCCCTTGCAGGCTACATATGCATTAGATAGGAAAAAGCAATTTGTTCTTCTACGAATAAATGATAGATGTACTGGCCCTGGGGACTTTTACTACAAAGGGTAATTCTTGGTAAACTTTAAGGGTCAGCTACGCCTTCGCACCCCTTACATCTCTTCAGGTGAGTCCAACATGGAATTGAATATCAAAGATCTCAATTGCCTTTCATGCGCGTAATATGTAATTGTTATCATCTTTTCTTAAATTATTATTTGTAAAGCTTGATACCAGGATACCATGTTCATGGGCCGTATGGTGTATTTATATCCTGTTTATTCCAAGTCACTTTAGTTTATTTCTCAAGTTCACCAGGTTCAAGGATTCCTTCACTTTGCTCCTCCCAACGTCTATCTCGTGAGCTTCTCTGTCATTGATATGTCTTTCCAAAATCTCTCTGTTACTTTCCGAGTACCACCTCGCAAGCTTTTTCGTTTGAATCCTGATGACGCCCCGCCAACGATTCTACCCAGACTGCAGGATGTCCCGGCATGGGTTCGGCCATTCAACATACATCCCACCATCTTTCATTTCTTTCTTGAGCCGAAAGTCCCAATCACTATCGCAGCGGTCTATCTAGTTTCCGTCATCTATCTGAACCGAGTGAATGAGGTTCGACAAAATAAGCCGTGGAATTTTGCCAAAACCTCAACCTTCAAGGCGTTTGTGCTCTGCCATAACACACTCCTGGCCTTGTTCTCCGCAATGCTCTTTTATGGATTGTGTCATGCACTGTGGGATTGCTGGCCACGGAAGACAGAGCCAAATTTTCTAGTGCATGTTGCAGATTCCTTGTGCAGGATCAACGGTCCATCCAATCTTGATTCTACACGAGTTTCTTTGGCCGACAAAGATATCTACATTCAACACTCGCCCCGTCTTTGGGACAATGGTTATGCCTATCTCAGCTGGATTTTCTACATGTCAAAGTTCTACGAAGTAGTCGATTCGTTGATTATACTCGCCAAGGGCAAAAAGACTTCTATGCTGCAACTATACCACCACACTGGTGTTATGCTCTGTATGTGGGCCGGTGTCCGATACATGTCCCCTCCTAGCCTTGTTGGTACTGTCCTGAACTCAGGAATTCACACTCTAATGGTATATTTCTCTCTTGCCCTAGCATTTGACGTCAGACTACTGAATCATATTCCAAGTATTCTTACTATTCTTTGACTACCCTTGCAATTCCTGTCTCAGGCTTTGTAAAACGAGCTTTGACAAGTTTACAAATCGCCCAGTTCTTCGTCGGCTGTATCGTTGCCTGTAGCTATTTTTTCATCGAGTACGATACCATGGTCTATCGCGCTGCAGGCTACAATGGCGGAACCCCATTGTCATCCAAGGAAGCCGACGGAATACCATTTTACCCACCAAGCACGTCAATTGTCTCCGAAGGATTTGGGTATGGTTCGGGTTCTCAGGGTCAATTTGAGGTTCAGAAAGTCCCATGTCTTCAGGACAGTGGGCAGGCATTTGCTACTTGGTTATGCACCCTCTATTGCCTTCCCCTTATATATCTTTTTGTGAGCTTCTTTAGACGCTCATACATCAAACGCGTCAAAGGGGTTTCTAGGTAGCACCTTATCTGTTGTATATCATATACTACCGAAGCCCACGTGTGTCTTCTGCTTGTGATCGTGCAGCGCCTGCATGAAGAATTATTTTCTGTTTCCTGACCTGCAGTGGTCCCGTAGCCGGTTGGTGTATAGATTCGAAGGGAGACATTATGGCATGCGTTATTTGCGGACAGAATAATAATTTTACCAAAATTGACAATAATACGGAGTATAAATGTTCTCTCCGCACTTGACCGAGAGACAATCGGTATCGATATATAGCAACTCAAAGCCTTATACGGGATTCTTTTACCATGTAATGGCACGATTCAATGGAGGCTGCCAATGACGTATTTTGTTTTCTGCACAAAAGGCTGAAAGACGTTGGACATCTCCAGTTCCCTTACTATCTTCGCCCATACTATATAAACACTGAATTTGCTCAAAACAGTTCTACCCTCTATCAAGAGGTAAATCGTGCTCCAGTCTTTCCTTCCCACAGTCTCACTGCCCCTTTTGCATCTGTCGAAGACTGGCCTTGTCGACCTTGGTTTGCCGACAGCGTTTGAGGTTCCGTGCCAGGCCAAGTTTCCCCCACAGCCAGATGTTCCACTTAGTGGCGTCAAGATCATACCAATGTACTCCCAGCCGATAGTCCGCCGGAAAGGCATGGTGGTAGTTATGGTATCCCTCACCCAGGGTGCACATTGCCAGAAGATGCGGAATATTCCGGGGAGAAAATTTATCATCGTACGGCTGGTCACCGAAGAAATGGCAGACAGAATTGATGCAGAACACACCCTGGTGGCATACGAACATTCGAAGGATGCCCCCGTACAGAAATCCACCAGACCAATCATTCCAACAAAGGCCAGCAACAGCCATGGGGAACAGCCAGCCCATTCCCACAGCTAGCGGGATGTAGTATCGTGCCTGCCAGGCAACAACCGGGTCCTTCAATAAATCAGATATTTCGACTCGTCGATTGCGTTTAGGTTGCTTGAGAAGCATCCACAAAATGTGAGCATGGAAAAAGCCCTTTTTGATATTGTATGGGTCCTCCGATGTGTCGGTAAATCGGTGATGGGCACGATGTCCACAAGCCCACCATCTGATGGGGCCTTGCAGGGCTGCTGCACCAATGACGGCAAGAAATATCTTCAGTGGTATCGACGCAACATATGATCCGTGAGACCATAGCCGATGATATCCTAGCCTCACTTAGCTTGCTCGGCCTTCATAGGGAACTTGTGACTACTGTGCTTACCTGCTGTCACGGAAAGCAAAACAATATAGCCATACGCCAGGGTGAATATAGCTGTTGGCGCATAAAGCCGGACCCAGAACGCAGCAACGATGCCACACACTGGTAATACAACCAGTGTAATTGAGGGTCCCCATGCGATTCTCCTATACCATTTCAAAGAGTCGAGAGACTCCTGTGTGCGTTCCATTTGTCGTTTTAAGGGTGCCAAAAGCGCAAATCGGAAGGGTTACTCCGTTGATAGTTACTTTCCCTGGGTAAAAATGGAAGACACAAGAGGACAAAAGAAGAAAGTCTTTTAGTAGGATAGTCAACCTTGTAGATAATTGTTGCCAAGTCACTGTATATTGCATGAGATGCAGTCGCCATTATTTCCAATACCTTGCGCATTAAAAATTAAAATATAATATAAAACGAAAAAGAAAAGGAAAGGAAGTGATATGTCAATGTGTCACTTGCATACTTGCATAGCTGGCAATTTTGCAGCTAGTTATTACGTAGAGCTTCTTTCTTTTACTCTGCAAAGACAATGGAAAAGTATAAAAAACTCATTCATTATTCCTCTCGAAAAAGCAAATATAAAACATTGCAGTTCCTTGCATGCTGTACTATAGACCAGATCGCCCCACTTTGGATACATAGAATACCTAGGTATGGCTGTGGATACCTAGATCAGCACCACCCTCAAGCGTACAATGTTGTAGGTTGATAATAGCGAGTAATGATAAACTTGCATGCTTGGCAAAGAAGAGGTAATTGCATAACTCCGACCTCTGCAGCCTCGAAGAAGCCATTGTTGTCGACGTAACTCGCCATAAGTGTGGAATCGACGATATATCCATTGGTATTGCTCACGTTAGCAGGCCCAATGGGATTATGCCACGCTCAATGTACGTTCTCGCCATTTGGGTATTACTATTCACCACATGTGACGTGCAAGCTCGTTCATATCTGCTGGCGTCATAACGAAATTGGCTTCCCCATCTTTCTTGTCCCTCAACACGACGTCCGAAAATTCGATCTCAAGGTGGCCGCTAACCCGGGGACAGCCTGCACCGGGGTTGCGGACAAGTTCAATGCTTTGGTTTGGTGACGGAGGGCTGTTGTGGCGCCTTGCCCAGCTCTCCACTAATATCTTCTCCTCAGACATGGTGATAGAGATAGCGGCATTAACGGAACCCTCTGGGTCATCCAGCCAGAACTTCATGTCTTCTTGGAGCTTTGTGCTAGTCTCCGACCATGCAACCTCGCTAACGAACGTTGGCCACCCGGATCGGATATTTGACATTCCTAATGGCATCCAGGAGAACTCGGACCTCTTGGTTAGAGTCTTACCACGGACGCTTGCTCCATACCTAGAGACGATATAGTCGCGCGATGTATCGGCCCAGGCACTGAAGATTGTATTAAAGGCTCCGATGGTGGCGGCGTGGGCAAGTGAGCACGCTTTCAACAGAACGGACTGGGAGACATGGTCGTAGACTTCCCATGAGTTCCTCAGTAGACTCTCTTCCGAATTTACGAAATACTCAAGGAAGGAGGGTTCATCAATTTCCAGAATTGAATAAGGGTTGTACGCGTCTTCGTGTGTATCTTCCTCACGCTCCACTCTCTCGACCTCTTGGTCCAAAACCCTAAGGCATTGATCGTACCCTTCATATTTGTACCTCCGTGTAGTTGGGGGAAGAACATTTTGAAAGGACGTCATTTTCGCTGCGATGGAAACTAATTGAACCTGTCTCCAGCCTGGAGGGCTTCCAACCTTAGGTTATATGGATGGGTTATGTTATTATGACGACAGTAGTTAATATGACCTCAAGGTTTGAATTTCAACATCAAGATATTTATACTAGAAAAATCTCCATCTTCATAATGTTGAGCTATAAGCTGCTAGTGAAATGAAGGTGGAAGGAACTCTTGATACTCAATGCATGAAGGAAAGACCGTTATATAGGCCGTAAGCAAGCAAGCAAGTGCTCATTCTGCTAATAAATTAAGGCATCCACGTAAAATAGGAGATCTCAACAATCCAATTCGTCAGGCTCAATATCAATATGAGGAGGCATTTGACCTTTGGCCACTCTGCCCCGTCGTCCTAAGTGAATGCCAGCCAGGACACGGGTTCAATGGGCTTAGTCTTAGTACATATACGAAATTTATCTGGGGAAGCTGTTAGACACCCCAGGGCTTGCTAGACTAGCTCACAAGTTACTCCAATCTGCATTAGGTTTAGTCTGCTATCCTAAACTATCACACCCTCCTCCAGCCAGATCTCTTTCACTGTGTCCATACTCCGGTTCAATTCCTTGGTTTTCTCCTTGCCCTATTTTTTATTAGACTGGATGTTCTAAAGAACTGACTTCGAGTTGACCTTAGAATATTTTGATTGACTTGTCCACTTTCGAAAGTCCGAACAGTTTGAGTAGCGCTTGATTAGAGTTCCCCGGATGTGCTAGTCGCCGATCTTATTTGTCTTCTGCGCGGAAGCTTTCCGTTGCGGATATTACATTTGTCACTTTTAGATAATATCCATGGATATGTTGTATAGCTAAGACCTCGGGAGTATTATTGGCGCCTTTACTTCCGGTCTTGCTTCGGGATCTGGTTCCCTTCCTGCATTCTGAGATTATGTGTCTAGAATATTTTTTTTTAAGTAGGAATTCCGTACCAATAGGAATGCTTTTACATTCTAGAAGAGTTTATGACATGATTTGTGTCGGGTGATAGTGATCAGGGTCTGGTAACTTCCATTGGACTATCAAACTTAGACGCTGTTAGTGAAGGAGGGAGTTGGATGGTGTTTGTTGCCTGATCTGTAAAGCAAACATGTTTGCCTCAGGTATGGGACCGATGCCTTGATTGATAGTTCAGCTCTCACTTCCTCTCTCACTTCCTCTCTCACTTCCTCTCTCTCTTTCTCCTCTCCCCGTCTGTCCATTTCTTTAAGAATCCCATACATTGTTTCTCCATACTGAATCTCCCCTGTATTGCGATTCCATGAGATGATCCAAGATCTCAGTACCTGAATCGCTAAGCCCGAAGTTCGGAGAACCGAACCTTATGAGCCGCGACTCCTTACGGGGCTCCGATAGTCTAGCTCGGCTCCGCTTCTAGACACCCACAGCAGCTGTCCAAGGGCCACTCAAGTTCAGTCAATTCCGTGGCATTCTCGGCGGACGCCGACTTCTTAGCATCTCCGATGTGATACCCGCTACGGACACCCCACAGGATATGTCTGGGGTTACTCCAGTTCTCGGGTTCGGTCCGTGGCATCGGCAATGTGTTTATCGAGGTCACACCCACAAGTTATGGGGATCTGGTTTGGAGAATGAGGGGAATCAGCAGCGGCCAGCCTTTTCAGAAACGATTGAACCGATGGCTAATCGAGGTATCTGACTAAATCTCACTCTCTGTCTTCATGTCATGAAATGGGCTGTCTGGGGATAGATGTGGAAAAAAGAATTGACTTTCCGGACTACCTCCACGAAAACGCTCTCTTTCGTTGACAATAACCGGAAAGCCTATTTCCTACTTACTATTGATGCGGCATACGGCAGTCACAAATCAACTTATATGAACATGTAGACCTGTCCGTTCATCGATTCTTCTACTACCGACTCTTCCAATTGTCGTTGTTCCAGACCTGTTTCCCTATTTTGCTGTGTGCATTTTATATGATATCGCCATGGGTTTGAAACCGTTTCTTGGCCTTCGAGGAAATGCCCTCCTCCGAGCCGCCCTCTTTCTGGTTGTCTGCCCGACATTTACTTGCTACGGGTATAACATGAGTGTGGCTGGTGGCCTGTTGACGCTCGACGCGTTCAATGATCAATTCCCCAGAATGGACACGATCCACACCAGCGGAGCCCTTCAACAAGAGAACTCGCAGATTCAAGGTCGGCCAATCACTGCAAATATATATACATCCTTGCTCCTCTCTGACAGATAGGATGTTTCTAGGCACCGTGATTGCTCTTTTTACCGTTGGTGGCATCTTCGGCGCGCTATCATGCGTCTACTTCGGCGACCGCTGGGGCCGACGCAAGGTAATTTTCATAACCAACTTCATAACTATCATCGGCGCTGTTCTTATGGCGACTTCCTTCCAATTTGCCCAATTCATCATCGCGAGGCTGGTTCTCGGTTTAGGGATTGGAGGGTACGTAGCGACGGTGCCCGTTTGGCAGTCTGAAATCTCGCCAGCGCATATGCGAGGTTCAAACGTGGTAACAGATGGCATCTTCGTTGGAAGTGGCGTCGCACTTGCTCTATGGATTGACTTGGGCTTTTATTTCGTCAAAGGTAACTCAGTCATTGATGGCTCAGTCTCTTGGCGGTTCCCCCTCGCCTTCCAGGCCATCATGCCGGCCACCGCAATGATTTTTATTACGATGCTCCCTGAGTCCCCTCGCTGGCTTATTAAGACCGGTAATGTGGCGCAAGGACGAAAGGTTCTAGCAGCATTGCTCGATGACGAGGAGGACTCAGATATCGTTGATGACAACGTCCGCGATATTGAAGCATCTCTCGTCCACTGTGGATCGGGGGCGTGGACCGATATGTTCACAAACGGAGAACAACGTCTATTCCATCGTGCATACCTAGCTGCAACAGGCCAGATGTTCCAACAGATGTGCGGTGTGAATGTGATTACATACTACGCAACAACTATCTTCGAGCAGTATCTCGGCATGAACCCTGTGAATTCCCGCATTCTTGCTGCTGCGATGCCTCTAACGCAGCCTTTTGGTGGCTACCTCGCGTATTATACTATCGACCGTCTCGGCCGCCGACCTCTATTGCTATGGAGTGCCGGAGCCTTAGCGGTTTGCATGGCAGGTCTCGCCGGCACCACCTCGCCCGCCGCTGGTGATAATACGGGTGCGCTCGCGATGGCCGTGGTCTTCCTCTACGTCTTCCAATTCATTTCGACAATCGGTTATGCCGGCCTGACCTTCCTCTACGCCGCGGAAATAGCACCTCTCCAGATCCGCGCCGCTGTGAACGCGGTATCCACCGCTACCGTATGGTCTTTCAACTTCCTACTGGCTCAGCTGACTCCTATCGGCTTTGCGACAATCGGAAACAATTTCTATATTGTCTTCGCTGTCATCAATGCGTTAATTATCCCCTCCGTCTATTTCTTCTTCCCCGAGACAAAGGAGCGTTCGCTAGAAGAAATTGACGAGATCTTTGCGCGGTCCAAGAACATCTTTGACCCGCCCCGTGTGGCGCGCGCCATGCAGCGGAAAAAGAAAATGGTTCATATCGGCGAACCGCCTTCAGAGACCGGGGATAATACCGAATCCAGCGACGATGCCCTCAAGGTGGAATCCAAGGCGTAAGAGAGCATTCTTCTACGCAATTTCGCCACGGGCAGGTACAACCTTTATTACCCAAGATACTTTGTCGGAAGCCAAGATGATCTTCTCCTGAATTCCGGCCTTTTTCGGTAATTAAAGATGGTACAACTGCCCTGGGACACGCATCGGGTCGAATTTCCTCTAGAAGGTTCCGGATATAGCAGACGTTAAATGACCTTGATTCGATTCTTTACGCATCCATATAACCACTAAAACGTGCTAAATCAATCTGCGTAATCTTCGTAGTGAACTTGTTGCTCCAGTACAACGTGGCGGGAAAAAAAGAATGTTGTATACCACTGTGAATACTCATATGCTGTTCTCCTCATACGGCTACCAAGCTTTGCTATGGGAGAACTGAGGGTTAACGTGGTTATGCTTACAAAACTTTGCAATCTATGGATCTAACCACTTGGGCAGAATTGGTATATATCTGTCTGATTCAATTCAACTATCGAAATCTGGTGATTTACCATGCCGCGCTAACTAATTTTAATATGTATTTCCGTGTATAATTTCTCATATAGAGGCCATACAGCATTCAAGATAAATAAATCCCCTGGAATTTGTAGGCTGATCCCCTCATTTCTGATGCATAGGCTGAAGTGTTCAAAAAGACCGAGAGTACAACCAAAGGCCAACAGCTTTGTACAATACTGACTAACTATGTAATGGAGACACAATTTTGCTTTCTCTTATTTAGTTCCCATCCCACCAAGTGTAGTTGTTAGTTTCGGCAGGAGTGTCAAAGACAAGCTCGGAGCTGCTGTTCATGGGTCTGTCAGGCCAGACATTGAGCAAGCCATCCCAGATCTCAATGTCTTCGTACTGGACACTGACGCCGGGCGCATTGTACAAAGCAAACCCATTGCTGTCCTCCCTGCTGGGATAGATGCGGCCCGTGAGAGCGAAGCGGTCATTGACAAAGACCTCGACGAGGGAGCCGTCGACGAATATGTTCATTTCAATCGGTTCTGTCATAGCATTACCGCCATGAATTCCTGCCATCTGGTACGGCTCAAAGTACCCAGCCAGCGACGTGTTGGGGAACATCGTGATCTGGGAGGATAGGCGCGGTCCAAGACGACGGACTTCTTGGACGGATCATAGTAGATGTTCGTGTACTCCTCGCGACCGGGCGAGGCAGCGACCGTCACACCTGTGACACCCGTGGTGTTTTTGATACGCAGCTTCAATTCGTAGGAATTACTGAGAGTGCTGGGCAGGCGGATGTTGCTGGTGTTGCTGCATGTCTTCTTGCTACAACGAGACTGGGTGTGGCGAGAGCCACGGCGGAGACCAGCGACTACATCGCTGGCTGGGCGCACGCCCAGAGTGCTTGCAGTCCAGGTGCCATTGGAGTTTGACATATAGCGGGAGTTGCCAGGGGTGACGTCAGCAGGGTTGTGGACAACACCGCTGGTCTCTTTGATGAAGAGCTCCCGGGCCAAGGACAGCGCCCCTTGGTAGCCTTGCTGCGTGATGCCGAAGTTGTTCATGTCCTCGCTTGCCCAGCCGTACTGAATACGGCGGTTGTTCTTAGTGTCATTGAACGAGGTGATCTGGCGGGTCATGTTAGTATTCCATCGTTCGAGTAGGTCGCATGATATAGTTATGATCTGATACTTACCGCGTACAGAATACCCCAGTCGCTCGCACCGCCTGAGATAGGGTTGAAGGCAATGCTGCCATTCGGGCGCGTGGAAATTTCCCCCTCATTCCACAAAGACCACCTCCGGTCGTGGAAGCTGACCTCGCCTCCTTCAGCACCCATGCTGACGAAGTAGCGGTCGCCAATAGCGAAAAAGTTGGAAACTTCAAAGTTGAGCCCATACGATCCAGTCTCCTCCAACGAGCCCAAGGTACTGTTCGCTGTGGGTTCCCACAGAGCACCAAGGAAAGTCCAATTGGTGAGATCAGACGCAGGAGCACTGTACAAGGGCATGCGAGGGCCAACGCCCTTAATACCGGAGCCAAGTATGGCATAGTAGTGAGGCTCGGAGTTCCCTAGTAGCGTGTCCAACTGGGGAAAGGGGAGGTAGAAGGGGTCCCGCCAGCCGGTGACGTTCCAACCGTCTGGCGGGCTGCTGATGACTGGGTTGTTGGCATATTCTTGCCATGTCACTCCACCATCGGTGGAGTATGCCAGACTTTGGCTTTCGGTCCCAGGCAGATAGGGTAAGGTATACGAGGTTGGCAGTTTTGAAACTGATGTGTAGAAGGCGAGAATTGTTCCATCGACCTCACCAGAGATATTGACGGGCTGGGCTGTTCCGGAAAAGATGCCCAGATGGTTGTACATCGGTGGATCGTGGTGGTCGGTAGTCAAGTTGGTTGTACCAATTGACTTCGCTTCTCCGTCTTGCCATCCCACAAGTCCATTGTCGGGGTTGTGGTCAACATCAGTCCAGGTTATGAGGTCACTGGACGTCGCGTGTCCCCACGATATGTTGCCTATATTGATGAGACATTTAGCAAGGATCTTCCTAGACAGCTAAGGGAGGGGAACATTACCCCAGTTGACATGATTGGGGTTAAACTGGTAGTGCATATGATAAATGCCTTCAACCGGATCGTACATAGGTGCACAAGGGTCCTGGATAAATGGTTAGTGACGCTTAGTTCATCTAGGGCTTTTCGGAATTGGAAATGAGACATACATTCATCCACCCTGCAGGGGCCAGAAAATGGGAGTACGGTCTCCAACGAGTGAAAAGGCTATTGTTTCCCATTTTCTCGACCATGTCCTCCGTCAGGGTCTGACCCCATACGGTTGAGACGGCGACACCGAGCACACCAAGAATTGCGGTCTTCGAGGCCATAGTTGCTGTTTGGACTATTCGCACCTCCAAGCGAGGATTGACAGCGGCTTCTTATAGTTGAAGGGCAAATATTTCTCATTTTACTTCACCGGGGTTTCGTCGTAATATCTTCGGGTGGAAGCCTAAGCCCACGGGGCTCCATGTTTCCCCCCACAAAATTACTAAAGGACGCCGATGGGTTGGGGAAGCTATCTAAGTTTTAGTCGGAGTTGAAGCAACTCAAAACCGATGCCACGAGGATGCTGGGGTGCTCACAGCCAATGGCAGTCAGCCGGAATGAATTAGCGTTGCATACCCCCGAGAATCTCCCGAGCCTTGAGTTAGCCCATATTACCCCTTAGGTGAGAACTGTCACCCCGTTCTCTCCCACCCCAGTCTCCAGACTTCTCGTATCACCCGCACTCACCCCAGAGTTGCCGGGGGAGATGCAAAAACAAAAACAAAAACATACAACAGTGAGGATTCGCTGGTGGTCACCCACCCAACTACTAACTCACCGGCGTGTGGCTTAAGTACGGCTGAGCGGACGGGAAGCCCTGTTTTCCACACCCTATGGTCGTATGTACCAGGTTATCCGTTAGAGGGAGTAAAGAAATGTAATCATAGAGCGACAGGAAGGGCGAGTGCGCCATAGACAGAGTGAGAATCAGGGTGAGAATGTGAGAATCACCCAAGCCGCACGCCCACTACACTGTCCTCCTCCGCTGAACAATAACGGAGTGTTATTGGATCTATCCGTTCCCTCTGGAACGCTCGGCATCTTGGCATATACGCATACAACAACCACAACTGGAAGCATCATACAACAAAATTTCTTGGGGTTGCCTTCAACCTCATGGTATGCCTCATCTTTTCGAAGGATTTGAGCTTTGATAGTATTCGGTTAGTCAGGTTTGAGCAGAAGGTCTGGATCAGAGCAACGACTGAAAACATGGCTCGTAAACCAAGGTGCGGGTGAAGCTGCTTCAAGTTGCTCTTCTTGGTTCCCAAGCTTCAGCAGAGTAAAGTGGCCTTGCAATTAGCGATCTGAAAAAGAAGAGGTTAGATAACGACACTAAAACTGAAGAAAGATATTGTGACACCCGTGATGAAAAGTGATTATGGTCAGGTCATCTCGAAATTGAACCTGTTCATCTTAATTCTCAACGTTGAAATTGGATTAAATCCCGCGAATTTTATAGCATATTTATATCGAAACTAATATTCAAGAGCCGTACACCAACAGAAAGATCTCACTACTCAGTCAGATGCCCAGTTGATCGTTGGTCCAGCGCAATATACATTCCTAGGGCTGACGACATACTTTGCAATGCTGATGAGTATAATCGAAATTTGGACGACAACTACTCCCGATCCGGCGATATCTGTGTGAGACCTTGCGATCAACCAGCACCAAACGGAACTTGAACTTCTCCAAACTGTCCAAGAGAATCATTGAGCTGTCCCCAGGCGATTTGGGATCATCTTATACCATTACCGGGCAACCAACTTGGGGCAAGTTCATGACTACCCAGCACCAGCACTAGAACTATGAAGTCTATTGTACTGACTATCTAGGATATATTGCTGAAACCATCATGAGGGCCACATGACCTTGGTATATGAGCAGCTCATCTACACTAACTCCAATGAAATGATTTTGGAGAGTAAGGGCACCCAATCTTGATATTGCGTGGTCGCTATTTCGGCGCCCGCACTTCTACCCTCGGAAGGTTCCGTTCTTTCTTCCCAACCACCCCACGTTCGCTCCTCTCGGTTTACTCTAGAATAGAGTTGTGAAAAGATCGAGTGTCAGAACGTGCTCGCACTATTATTCTTTTCTAAGTCTCACTTTGTGTTATGTATCAACTCACCGAGGATGATCTTGACGATTCCCCCGATCAAGATACCCCTATCATCCGAGCCGCGGCCAAGCGGGACTCAGCTCTACTGAAAGCCCTTTTGGTCCGTCATGCAGCATCAGGTGCAGAAAATGATATGACCGAGCGGGAACGCCGTCAACTGCAATACCTAGGGCCAAGTGGAGTCATGCCCGTGCCTGCGTACCTATCGCCTATCATATCTGCCACCAACGCCCGTTTGCCGCACAACGTCCGTCTTCTCTTAGCCGCAGGAGCAAATCCAAATGGCATAGACCTTATTAATATAGGGGACTATTCAGTCCGGTATATCCGCGGCCGCCATTTCAGAGACGATACAAATAGCACCGCGGCGTGCAAGCTTCGGGCCTCCGTTTTAGCATATGCGCAACAGAAGGGGATAAGTCACCAAATATGTCCCTTGACCCAGGAGGAACTTGATGAACGGGCTCATGGCTTTCCTCGCTTTTGGACGGAACCGAATGTTCCTGGTCAGAGACTGAGATCGAGCTTGAAAAGGGCGTTGACAGGGCTAGAAACCGCGGCCAGGGCTGGCAGTCTAGAGATTCTTGATATGCTACGTGCGGCTGGCGCTGATGACTCCGCATGGGTGCAGGAAGTCTCATTAGGCGAGAAACAATTTCAAGTTGACGATGCGGATTGGTCCATATCATTTTTGTCTACATCGTCGCCTGTCCACGAGGCCATTGCAGCAGGTCAGCAACCTATACTCCGACATCTACTTTCTACCTGCGGGTATTCGCCCAATTATCGCCCATATGCTGCACCAACTGTCGCCCTTCCACCACTATCTTACGCCATTGCTCGATGCGATTTGAATGATTCTGGGGTACAGAAATGTCTGGTCGATCTTTTGTCTCACCCCAGGTTAGATGCGAATTTACGTACACCAATCTTTGAAGTCCACCCTCTCCACTTCGCAACTGCGCACCATAACCCAGAGCTCCTATTATGGCTCGCGGCCTTTATTCCTGGTGGGTACGGATCTGCAGGTACCACGTCACTAGGGCACACTTTACTTCATATCGCTGCACTTCCTCTTACAGCCCATCAAATTGTGACTCGCAATCCGGATGTAGCAAGGAGCATTCACTGCGCTCGCACGTTGGATTCAAAATGGAGACCCCATAGGCTGCCTAGTCCACTTCACATGGACTTCTCTACACCCGAGGGGGTTGCCTACCCAAATAGTCCAATGCCCATGACAGTTGCGCAACAGCAGGCACAACAGGCCACCATCAGGATTTTGTTAGAATGGGGAGGTATCGATGTCAGAGCAAAAGATGTGGATGGGAACACCGCTTTGCATTATCTGGCAGGAACGTTGAACATGAGTGATATTACACTTGCCATGGTTCGCGCAATGAAGGGTGGCGAAGAAGTATGGCAAGAATCCAAAAATGGCTATGGGGTAACTCCGAGGTGGATGTGGGGAGAATACGGGTTGTGCTAGGCTTGATCCCTTTGCGGTTTGAACCGAGATAACAGAACGCTAAATGCCAACCTTTCGGAATGTCTTCAGTCTGGCCGTTTATCGTTGTGGTCTTGTGATTTTTACGCCCGTACATCGGATGGCATCAGCCACTCCCGCTAGAGATATGCGAAAAGCAAAAACAAAAAGAAAAAAACATACAACAGTGAGGATTCGCTGGTGGTCACCCACCCAACTACTAACTCACCGGCGTGTGGCTTGAGTACGGCTGAGCGGACGGGAAGCCCTATTTTCCACACCCTATGGTCGTATGTGCTGTGTTATTTGTGGGAGAGAATTATAGAATGTAATTGTAGAGCGATAGGACGGAAAGGCGAGCGCGCTATAGATAGGGTGAGAATTGGGGCGAAAATCACCCAAGTCGCGCGACCACTACATTAATGGCCCCTTCTCGTACCGTTCCCCCTAGAACGCTCTCTTGGCATTTGTACATAACTATAAGTAGAAGCATCATGCAACCAATTTTCTTTTAAGATATCTTTATGGTCAGCTCGTCTGCCTTACGTTCTCAATATGATTAAGCTCCGGTAGTATTAGGATAGTCAAGTCGTGCTCGCTTATGTTGTATAGATGTTACCGTCTCTCCGATCTAGGTTAATAGTGGGCACCGGCGGTGGTGTACCTAGTAAAGATGCCGATATTCGCCTACGCGACGTGGTTATTAGCATGCTAACTGCGACCTCTAGGGGCGTAGTGTAGTATGACTATAGGAAGACACTTCGTGATGGATGTTTCGAACGCACTAGGTGGAGAATAGATACGTCTTTGGCCATCCTTCGTGCCTTTCCGGCAACATCGTCGTTTAAACTCGGCTTTGATTTCACCATATAATTCCTATCCACACATATACCTGTACATACGACCATAGGGTGTGGAAAACAGGGCTTCCCGTCCGCTCAGCCGTACTTAAGCCACACGCCGGTGAGTTAGTAGTTGGGTGGGTGACCACCAGCGAATCCTCACTGTTGTATGTTTTTGAATTTTTGTGTTTGTCTTGTTGAGTTAATAGAGAGAGTTACATGCCCAGGTGCACTAGGGCTTGCCACCACAAAATTTGCTAACTGCAATATCTTTATAAAGGCAACATAGACTCATAGCCTAGGGCCCGATCCCTGCCTAAAAGCATTTCAAAAGAGCAATGTGATTAGTCTACGAAGTACAGAATATTTTATAATACTACTAATCAAAGTCTATATATAGTATTAAAATAGGGATATGCTAACGACCGTAAAATCGCGAATCTTAATATGACCTTCCCGGAAGGAAAAAGTACTGATTAGATTGCTAAAGCTAGGGAGAGATATATATTGAAGGATATTAGAACTTTAGATTGGATATACCCGACGCTTTATAGCGTGTTAAGTGCTTACTATAAAATTTGTTAAGTCTCCTCGTTGATCGGTTTGCCATACGTATGTTTAACTGGAGAAATATATTCTTTGTGCTAGCTAGACGCTGCCTTCTCTAGGTCATCATTCTTAGTCGCAGAGCTCTCGTTGCAGTATTCCGACACCTTAGATATCCTAATCTTATATCAAGGCTTCGAAAACAATGACCGGTGGCGTTAAACCGGAAGGGCTAACACTAAACCCAAAGGAGACTCCACTGTAGCGGTCGTGGTTAGAGAC